CCACCGACGCCGCCAGTATAACCAAAGTGCCACGCCTTTGTATCGCTCCTCGCTGCAGCAGACGTCCGCACGCGCGTGCATTCACTTAGACATATCCCAGTGAATAAAAGCTCCTGTTAATCCGAATCCGCGCGGCCGCAGTTTTCTAATGGGCGCTCCAGCTGTCGAGGACGGTTAGCAAGCTTGCTCGAGAAAAATTTTACGGCGATTTGGTCAATAAAACTCGGCGTGATAGGACGAAGTTCGTTATGGCTTGTCCGACGAGCGACGTGATAAATGCTCTAATCAAAAGCGCGCGACGCTGTGTAATAGCGATAGGGAGCCGCCGCTGACGCGCTAGTCCTGGTAGATGGCCGTTTGCATTGTTCAACCGAGCATCTTAATACTGCTAGTTTGAGACGGAAGCGATCGGGACTTGGTCATTATGCGCCTGTAGCCTCTGTGAATTCCGTGCATAACCAAGCAATCCGCAAGGATTACGGGAATCCTACTTGCGGCCACTACAACTGCAGATCGATTGATCATCCGGCAAACTTGCGGCGCGAGCGTTGTGAATCTATTAGGCGTATATACTTTGCGTTGGATTCGTCATTCGCGCGACGCGCTTTGATCAACAAGAAGTAAGGCTGGGAGGTAAAGATCTTTTAAGAGAGAGTTTTTTCACTTTTATTACGAAGACTCATCATTGCCAATTGAACTTGCCTACTGTTGAAAGCTTGTCTTTTTAAAGAGCCAGAGTTACGTTAAGATAAATGAAAAGATGGTGAAGTGTAATTTCGTTAATACGTGCAAGATATTTGATTATATTCAAAATGTAGAATGAAAAGTCTCTTCATGTTTTTTAGAGATAGTAGAGTGCTTTTAGTTTTAAGCATCTAATTAAACTTGGTTATTGGTCAAATGAGAGTTTTTGATAATTTATTAAATTTGATGAGCTTACGAAAAGCTTGCGATTCCTTTCATAGACGCCATCGTACTTTTTCAAATTGACTTTCAAAATTCATTTTTTTTTTAATCAATTAAATTTTCATTCCAGCTTACTGGAATATTTCTTCGGTGGTTCGGATTCCACCTTAAACTGTAGTTTCAGGCATATAACATTTTTTCCTGTACCATTTTAAAAAATCGAGACTGTGCGTAACTGCAACGTTCCACACGAACGTAGTTCTTGAAGTCACAATAACAATAACAATAACAATTACGTTTCAATAAATATCCAAATAGAATAAGCTACCTATGCTTCTTAAAATCTTTTGTCGAATTTTCTGTCTTTGCTGATGGAAAAAGAGAAAATCCAACTTTTTATTACAAGTTTTCTTCATTAGTTTTCACGTCAACAACTATCCTCTAATTTTTAGAAAGAGTATAGAAAAAACAGAATATCTATTTAGAATATTTTACGCGGCTTAAATAACACATGAGATCCAAATTATATGGCTGTGTACGTAGGTTTACAAATAGCTACATAAGATTCGCAATTCTCGAGCTGACGAGTTCGTGCCACAGAATTTATTATAACGCATTCATATATTAATGTACTTATTCATAATATTCTCAATAACATTATCAAGTTTTTCTTCTAATTATGAAAAAAATTTTTTCTTGTCATAATTTTAAGATATTCATTTATTTTTGCTACATTTTTACACAATGTATAAAAAGCAATTGCCGTCTTGGTAGTCAAAATTAATAAAAGTTATATAAGTTTTCTGTGCTTACATAACATTCAATGTTGACTTCGCAATAACAGAGTTGCTGATATACTTTTTTTATAGATAGTAGAGCAGTCGAAAATGTTTAATATTAGTCTTAGCCTTTCGAGTATAAAAACTTACTACTAAAAAATAATTTTATGAAAAACTCTTTTGTGTTTAATTTAATAATAAAAGCTTTATTAAAAGTTCTTATATTACATACACAATGTAGTGAGGACGACAAAAATAGAAGTGTGCTCAACTATTTTTATGAAACAATATTTTTTATGGAAAATCAATAAAATTCCTGAGTGTGTATGATAATAACAAAACTCAATCGCGAAATCAATATTGCGCACCTCGTGCTTCGAATGCTCTCAGCAGATGAAGCAGGACGAATTTTATTCACAGCAAGATATTTTTATTAAGTCTTCGCTCTCATGACGCGACTTTCCACGGTTCGAAATTCAATTTGGAATTGCGATTGAAAAAAATTTACATTAAAAATGCTATTCTCTATGAAAATGGAATCAATTTGAAAATAAAACTAAATTTTTGTACAGATAATTTGGCTCTCTTCTGGCCATTCATCACCCGACGTAATCGCAATTTCGTCTCTTCATAGTAATAGACTTAATTATGAAAAATAACAGAAGCCAATGACAATATCAGTCATTTATAAAGTTACATAAAAATGTCGTGGATAGACGTTCTTGCTAAGCAAACTTTCTCTTTCTCCTTCATGCTCAGGAGACGATAAAACGCCGAGGAACGAATTAATCCGTTGAAGCATCCCGAGTAAAAATATTAGTGTGGCGTGCAAGAGAGATGCTGCACTTATCTAGAGAAGACCTCGTGCGGCAAAATATAGCATCGAGGAAAGGTAGGTTTCGCGGTGCACATGAGGTTCTCGCAGCTCGCTGGGCAACCTCATTAGTGACTTTATTATACATTAATCTAACGACGAGCGCTATTTCTCAAGTTGTATAATATATAGAGCATATAATAAAAATTCGTTGCATTCAACTTTTGCTGTGATCAGTTCTTTATAGCAAAAAGAATGTCATTGTGTAAAACTATTTTGTGATTTTTTCTTCCTCGAGGAGAAAGTATTGTTTCGGAGGTTCTTAAAAATGTTCTCTTTTTTGCTCTATTTTTATAATTTTTCAATTTTTGGTTTTTTGGTTTTGCATCTAATTTTAATAATCGCAAGCGCGCAAAGCTTCAATTCTGAAGAAAATGAAGTCGAAAATGTATGCTTTAAATAAACATAACATTTTTAATTTCTCTTCGCGTCTTTCCTTTCGCTAAAGCATCTGCGATTCAGATATTAGTTACTGTCACTCATAGGTTTCGGACATAAACTTTACTGTTAGAGATGCGCCATTCAAAGAACCTTATAACAGAGAAATAAACGAGATTTACAGCATCTACGGAACCATAAATCACTTGTAAAATGAATACCTCAGATATGACCTAGCCAGTCGTCCTGAAATTGATCGTTAATTATATAGTGTCAGTTGCATCATCGAAAAGAATATTATCAAATTGAAAATGATAGAGGTTACGAAAAAGTGACCGAAACGTCATCTATGTCTCGTATGCCATTTTCTATTCACAAATAAAACATCAATTTTCTGCATAAAACTAAATCAAAAATCAAGTTATGAAATTTTCGATATGAATGACATACGTGATTTTTTTTACACTTTCTTAATTTTTTGAAATTAATAAATATTGGACATTTATATCAACTATTTATTATTATACTTGAATGATTTATAGAAACAATATGTAAAAACAAATCATTTAAATTATTTTAAAATTTACGAGTTTGTCATAACAATTTATTAATACGATAACACCGTATATTAAATATTTGTTGACTTTAACCTTTTCAGGACGAGAATTTTTACGTTGAAATTGGACTTCTTTTACACGATATTTGTACATAAAATCGAAGAATCTGTCACGTCAAGTGCCCGACAAATTTGGTAATCGAAATTTCGATCAGTCCCGTCTGGGACAGAAAGTCTCATGTTAAAAATTGTATTTGTGGAATTAACAGTGCATCCCTAAGTAATTGGATGCGCTGAATACGTGCGCGCAATAAAAGATAATAAAAAATGTTCAGAAGACATCTCTGGCCTCGAAAATTGCATTTCAAACTTAAATTCGCTGTTTTCTCTCCGAAATGATATCCGTACGTTTTTTTGTGCGTTGGTTACAGGAAAATAGTAACGTTTATTATGAATGTCATTTGTAAAAAGTATTTCAATTATCATTCTCAACATTACTCAGGGTCAACAGCGTGGATGTAGCGAAGATTTGATTCCTTTGGATAGCTTGATTTTTATTAATCCCCTTGCCTCTCACCTCAAAATATTTGACTTTAATGTTTCATTTGTTATGCACAATACTATTATTTTATTATTTCGTATTTAGCGCATCACATCACGGGCGTATACCAATTTACATGTCGAATGCCGAGTACAAATTTGACCTTGAAATCACTACTTCAAGGTCAAATATGCTACCTAATATTGTTACACTATATTTTCTATATTCAAAACATATTATCCGCAAAATCACTCAAAAATATTATGATACTTCAGTGGTTGAAATATCGATCAGTTCCGTCCTTAAAAGATTAAATTAATGAAAAGTTCAAATTCCAAGTATAAATTATGCAGTCGATTAATTGCCAATGAATTATTATAAAAATGGAAATAACTTTTGCCAAAAAAAACTTAATTTTTAATTGATTTACTTCTATTTAAACGAATAAATATATGGAGAAGAAACGCAAAGATGTGCATCATTGTAATCTCCGAGAAAGCTAATCAATTAGATTTATAACTGTATATACTGTATGTATGAATTATGCATGTTTAATCGTTAGACTACAGGGTTGAGCAATTCTGTCAAAAAGCTTCCAGTAGTTGACAGAATTGCCCAACCCTGTTAGGCTATAATATGGCGCGTCACCTGGACTTTATGTTTACCTCAAAGGCTCGAAACACCTTACCTCACTCGATATGACACACGAGAATTGAGTGTGGCGCCCTCGCGAGGACCTCTAAAATAGCTAGTTACAGCGTTATGCTATAACTTTAACCCAGAATTTGAAGTGGATGAAAAGTCAATTGAGCTTCGGGGGTGATTCCATATATATGCGTAGCGAAAACTACACCTCCATTTAAAAATTTTTTTGAATTTGATACGTATTGGGTTTGGGTATGATATATATCTTTTGCGTTTGTTTCGGTTAATTTGCAGGTGACACAACGTGATGCTGTGAAAGAGGCTGGACGACGAAAAGCACACGTCCGCATAGTACAGAACAATGCCCGTCGGCGGTCGCGTCGCCGGCAAAGGAGGTGGCGTTTACAGCTCTTCGCACAATGGTATAGAAAAACTCACTGTACATACTTTTTCTCTACATTTTCTCTCTCTCTCTCTCTCTCTCTCTCTCTTTCTCTTTCTCTCCCTACTATTCCACCATCTGTGCCCTACACTTATACCGCATACCTTTCGCGCTTTAGATGTTTCTCTTTCTCTTATTCTCTGCATATTCGTGTATATGTGTCTATGTATATGTATATTCAAATTATTTTTTATCGAACCTTTGATGTGTCACGTATGCACGGCAGTTTGAACACGTATCTCGAGTCAGTGAGCGAGCTTGCGACCTGTTTCGATGGCTATGAGCTTTTCGAAGGCCTGGCAAAACCCACCTTGTCATGTGCCAGACAAAAACAAACAAAAGAAAGAAAAAAACACGGATTCTTTATTCGATTTTTTTAACGCTATAGCTTGACGCGCTCGCTGAATTCGTTCTCACGCGTATATGATACTTTTGAATCGAATTTCTCGGGGAGTTTTGAAATACTCATTCAATGAACAAATGTAAACGCAAACTGCTTTACGAACTGCTATCTATTTTTGCCGACTTCAAAAAGGAAGAGACTGCATTTGACCTGAATTTTTTATTTTACTTTTTTTCATGATTGTTCCATAAACTGCTTCATATCCTCGGAGCGATTGATCCAATGGGTGTAGACTCATTCGAAAGAGTGTGATCCCTTCTACTATTGATTCGATCAAAGTATAACTTTGCAAGTAATTGCAAGAATGTTCGAAGTCGACTTTCTATTCAATGAATTAAATATTTTTCTACGAATCACCAGCGCTTTGCCTATTGGCACCAAAAATTTGAAAATTGAACGTGACGCTGCATCAGCTAACGAAATAAATGATAACGGCTTAACGCGCGAGGAGATTGTTAATCAGTAAACTGCCGAGCGTAAGCGTCATGACACTGTGTGCAGCGCAGCGAATGTTTTGGAAGAATCGATGTTATAGAATTGAATGGCATGAATTTATTAGCATCAAGCATATTAATTCTTGTTAACGAGAAAGTAAGGTATTGTATACCGATGTGTACGCTCGTACGTCGAACGTCGGATGGTCTGATGGAAACGAATGACGCAGCAAGTGTTTGGCGGTGAAAACCGGAGAGCGAGATAGTTCAACAGCACTTCACCGATACGATCAGGCATTTCCCGTGAGCGAATGTTCGTTTTTTTTCTTTTTCGTCCATTAGCGCGATCATTTAATTTACGCGCTGCGCCACGCGTGAGTGCAACTCGTTCGTACGCGAACCGTTTGTTATAGTTGCGCGCGCTAGTGTAAGAGAGCCTCGGAACAATATGCTTTCATAATAAGCTCAATTTATTTTCATTGCACGTGCGTTCGCGCGCACAGTGGACAGACGCGAGTACACTCGGTTAAAATTTAAATGGATTAACGTCAGAATGAAGCGCTTCCTCGGCGTAGCCAAGAGAATAAGGGAGTGTGAGAGAATTCAGTCTAGGGCGCGAAATAATATAGTTAAGCATAAATGTTGTCCTTGAAATGCTGCACTTTCGTTTAAATTCTCGATGACAATGAGAGCGCACCAAGACAAATTGCATGCTTTTGTTTGCTTTCAAATTACATCCTGTAAACCATTCGTGTTTCGTTGAGATTTATATGTGATCAACACGCCAAATGAATTGTTTGGAATTTATTATTATTGCTTCTTTTCTTTGTTTTTATTTTATTGAAATGGATTTCAGTGAATAAAGCTTCGGTTTATCGACGTGCAATCGAACAAAATTACATCGCTGTAGATCCTGGTAACTTAATCGAGCACTGTACCGTGTCACGGACATAGTGGAATGTCCGAAAAGTAAAATTAAATATAAAAACTGCCAATATTGGTGTTTACAATTAATACACATGTATTCGCAACAAATTTTTATTAGAATATAAGTGAAGCGTCATAAGATTTGACGAGTTCACAATTTAGCAACTGATCGAACTCAGAAAATTAAGTAGGTCGTCAAATCACCGAGTTTGACGTTACCTTGACTTGTTAGTCCAATAGAATTAGGCCAAGAAAAGTTGAATCAAGGATGTGAGGGCCAAGTTTGATTTTATTGTTGCAATTGGTCCAGAATATCATCTTAATTAATATTTTAATGGTGCACAAGCGACTACCCTTGAGCTATTTATACAATGTTTATAGTAAAAAAAATGCGAAAATTGGTCATTTTTTTCATTACTTTATGTCGTTTTACTCGTGAAATATCAATTAATGACAAATATTCACAGAAACTAAGTTGTAGAGCGGAAAATTTGTTATAGAATCCCATGGTTCAAAATTGCAAAATTTAAAATTCTGCGGCCGCAGTAGTTGCATAAAAAAAGTAACCGAAAAATTGATATTTTTGGAATGCGTAATTCGAATTGAAAATATAAACGGATCTTATTGGAAAAAACTGTTTAAAAATTTCCATATTTGACTAATCGATTGCAAGTCGACGTACGTAAAAACAGCACCCCTGAAGCAAAATCGGAGCGGAAGGAACGATTCACCCCAAAAGAAGAAAAATTAATTGGCGAGTTCAAATTCGTCGGGCACTCTTTATCTCTACTTATCTTCTTCTAACCAACCATTTGGCGTTTTTGTTTAATTAATATAACAAATCTTAAAGAACTGGAATATCGAATTATTTTTATGCTATTTTCATTAATTAACGAATCATGATTATTAACATAATTTTTTTATTCTTTTTAGTAATAATTTATACTGGTTTTAGAAATAAGTTAACTAATGAAGAATAGAAAACAATAAGCATTTAGTTAAGGTGAGAAAAATGTCGTGTCAGTTTACCAGGTGTAGACAGTTACCCGCAGAATTTTACATTGGTTTTTGCAAAATTTGTCTACGAGTGAGACTCCATTTGATCATTGGTGGCATCTTCCTTACAGTTTTTAATTTATTATCGAATTTTCCGTTGTAGTTTTGATATAGAACATTTTGATTCTGCATGAATGGTAAGTAAATCATTTTTCACTAACTTTAAAATGAGCATATAATTTATTACAACAAAGTATTATTTTGATTTTTATAAAAATACTCGAACAAATGATAAGAGTCGCTCACTGAACTGACGTTATATTTAATTTAATTATTTGTCACACAAAAAATCTAATTTCTTTTGTAGAGTCTTCAAGTTGTACATTATTTGTGTAATTCGTAAATTTTCATAAATTTTGTGTTTTTTTTACGGTGAAACTACGGTGTAACCATAACTGAAAAAGAACACTACCAAATAAGAAAAGTTAAATTTTTACATTATATAAATAATCTGCTAAGCGATTATAATACATTATATATTGCCCTTTGAATGGCTGATGATAAACGTTTGCTCCTAGGTCAAGAGATGATATTTGTCACTTTAAACGAACCACAGTTTCGTTAAGCCCGGCATGTTTTGCAAGCCTGCTGAGTGAAGGGTGAGCATTTACTCGTGCGTACCAGATGGGCGGACTACGTGCATTGTTTTCATTTTTTAAATCAATTGAATTTAATATGGATGGTAGTTGCTTAGAGATATTTGTTATCAAATATATCCTGAAAACTTTGCGGATAAGATATCTGGTGAAGCCTGCAGTTGTTCTATACGATTTCATACGTTAGTGCATTTAGCTTTAGGCCAAAAATTAGTTCTTTAGATTTTACGCTAAACGAAGATAAATTTTTTAACTGAAATCATAAACGACTTAAATAATATATTAATAATGACTGGTTATAAAGATTTTGTACAAATACATCAAAAATTTGTAAATCATCTGGAAACTGAAAAAAAAGAGTGCCAACAACGAAACTGTGGTTACTTTATTATAATTTGGTTACTTTAGTTGAACAATTTATTGAAGTTGAGCGATCTGGAAACTGGAAATTACACTTTGGTATCTTGTCATTATTCCACACAAAGGGACATTTTAGATACGCTGAATCAGTACAAATTTCCTTACGAGACATAAAGATTGACAGAAAATGAGTGAAATCGGGTATGAAAATTTTGTCACAGAAGGGTATTTCACAATTAGAAGATCAGACAAGCACTATTGCGGAATCTGGTAGAATATGGCGATTGAGCAAATCTTGATGAGCTGTATGAAGACAAAGGGCGGTTTAACTCGCGGATGGGGTGTGAGTGATGCCCTACTAGCAAGATGGGTTCTAAGTATGCCATCTCTAACTGCTCTTACTGAAGTTATCCAATCATTTTATAATGTTTCACTTGCCTCATTGAAGCAACGTATTGATGCTTGTCCGCGTAGTAACGAACGTGACTTTTGTGATTTGAATAAATTAATTCAATTTTTTTCAACATGTAATCCACATCTAATATCAGAAAATATTACATGTTTAAACAGAAAATAATACATGAAAAAGTTTACCTCTTAAAATCGAGTAAAGGCATGAAGTCGAAGAGAAGTTGGATGACTCCAATGGTTTTGAAAAAGAAAAATTAAAATATTTATTAAGATTCATCCATACGTTTATTAGGTGCGACACTACCTCCGCTTTTTATAATCAGAGGAAGAAAAAAATAATTAAATTGAAGCGTTATTCAATAAAGCTTCAGTATTTAATAAAAAGTAATCCAGCAAAGTAGATATAAAAAAAAGTAGGTTTTTCGATTATTTCAACAATGTACTCTAAACAACTAAAAAAATTGAATTTGAATAAATTACGATACCGGTTGTTTAGAAAGAAAAGGCTGTTTAATTATCTTCCTTGCGACTAACAGAAGTTGCAGCTATTCAGTATTTGTACCGTGTATTTTATCAAATCCAACAATAGTTTGAAAACAATCTCAACTCCGCACACTAGGGTTAGACCGTTAACGAAGAGAAGTTACAGCCAGTATATGGTTCAACTGAATTAGTACCGAAAAACTTTTTAAGACATCAGTTGTCGATGCAAAACAATATGTAATAAAAGATGTCCTTGCGTAAAATAAGGTTTGAAATGTTCCAATTATTGCGGGAGCTGTCACGGACAAAACTACAATAATATTTATACTGTTGAAGACGTAGAAGTACAAGACGGCGATAAAGACGTAAATGTTATCGATGAAAGTGACGAATTACCATTGAATAATAGTGAGAATGAAGTTAATAATGATGCTGGTAATGATGGTAGTGGCGATGAGAGTGAGGGTGGCAATGATACTGATAATGCTGCTTATGATTATGATAATTCAGCGTGAGCAAACGAAAATAGCGGAGATTCGGATACCGGATTATTAGTCTTTAGTGTGCGAGAATTGAATAATGTAATTGAATAATGTATTTTTAGTGCGAATTGATTCTGTTTTTAAGTAAATAACTTAAATTAAATAACTAAATAAATTGTAAGATAAAATGATTTGTAGCTTGATATTGTTAAGTAACTACATACTTTTCTTTTGTTTAAAACAGTAATATCAATGTTATGAACAATAGTCAAAAAATTAAGTTAATAATCGTGATTCATTAATTAATGAAAATAGAACAAAAGTAATAATTCGATTAGCCTTAGATTATTGCAAAAAAAGTTTATCACATTTTCATAGTCTTAATAAATATTAAGATTACTCAACAACTAGGATCCGTCTATATTATTGTTAATCCGAGTTACGCATTCCAAAAATATCAATTTTTCCGTTACTTTTTTTTTACTATTGCGGCCGCGCAATTTGAACCATGGGATTCTATAGCAAATTTCCCACTCTAAAACCTTGTTTCTATGAATATTTGTCATTTAATTGATATTACCAATTTTTGCATTTTTTTACTATAAACATTTACTATATAAATAGCTCAAGGGTAATTGCTTATATACCATTAAAATATTAATTAAGATGACATTTTGGACCGATTGCAACAATAAAATCAAACTTGGCTCTCACATTTACCTTTCATGCTAATTCTAATGTCGGCAGGCGAGTTGCGATGTGCGACGTGCGACGGCCAAACGACTGATTTGAGTTAATATAACGTCATAATATCTTAACTTTTGTGATTCAATTGTCACTTGTTAGCTATTATTATTGAATAAAGGAATTATGATTTGAACTACCGAAAATCGATAAGTTGATGCGTACTTCATGCTCGTCATCGATAAGGTAGCAATAAAACAACGAAACTACACAACAGCTAGGTAAGGCTTAACGCCATATCGAATAGAGGCGTAGAGGGTGTTCAGTTGAAGAATAAAATAATAAACAGTGAACGATGAGTCAAGACTCAACATGAAAATAAAAATTTATGTATAATTGCAATATGTGTAGTGTTAGTAGTTGTAATTCTATGTTAATTATGTAAATAAGGCAATGGTCGTATAAATATTGTATGGCTTGATGTTAGAACAGTAAAAATCCATGTTTCATCCGTGACAAGGGTATGCTTCGAATTGAAAGAAAGGAAAGGAAAGAAATCTATCCTCCCGGCGATAGTAATCGAAAGCAGTTTGTAATAAATGGCACTGATTTATTTCAGACAAAAGATCTGAAAAGAGACGAAGGCGGCGCGATTGTTGATGAAACGCAGGGGGTCGGGGAACGCAAAAAGCTTTGAAAGTTCTTTCCCTCCGTGAAAATTTCTTTGGCCGCAGCGGCATTGGATCGCTGAAAGTAACCGGTCAAATTAAAAGGAATGATAACGGATAACAATAAGTGTCACGCGGGTGCGAAAAATAAGAGGCCTTTGAGTGGAGAAAAGGATAAGGAATGTCGATAATTCGCGAATAAGCTGAAGCCGTTTGTTTGCTGCAATCTGATGTATACGCGCGCGCGCTTCCAGACACATACATACGAGTAAAGAGAAAGGAAACCGTTCGATCGATATAAGAAATATAAGAGTTTGACCGAGACATGGCGGTGCTTGTAATCCACATAACAGTTTTTTCTCGTTATGACACTTGGGTTCCAGTTTCTATATATTATTTATCGGTAATCCTCCCAAGGAACGATCGTCGGCGACCATTAAGTTCCCGACTGTTAACGCTCATTGAGAGCTCTGTAACTGCGCGCAACGGCGAGCAGTTCTGCAGCGTGAAATCCCTCCGCGACTCACACTCGCACGCAGCCTCTGTAACTTTAACCAACTACCATCGTGGACCGCAAGAGGTTTGAGAATTTAACAGGTGGGAAATTTATATTGTATGCTTTGCTTTGCTGCTTCTATTTCACAGCTGGATTATCATGACTATAGAGTATAGTTTCACTCTGCGTGCTTCGCTGCATGTATTCGGCGCGGGCAGCACGGTTGTTGGATGAAATTTTTGGACGCACAGTTGCGTGCTCGCCATTGTGCGCTGCAGATACGTAGCACTGATCCTTTCATCGTCAAAAATGCACGTAAATCTTGTTATTGCTTTGTAGCATTCAAAATATTGTTTGATCGATGGCAATTGGAGAACTACAGAGGAATTCGTTTGAAGTACCGAAAGTGCACTTTTCTGGCGGCGTGTGCTATTTGAACGGACGTATCCCAAGATTATTTGAAAAGTTGGTTTCGGATCAGAGGAGAACAACGGTTACAGTGAAAATATCCGGTTCCCATTTTTTGCGAAACAAAATGCTATCGGCAGCTTTCCGTGAACATTCCGTAACAATACTGCACACGCTGCAACGAGCAAGATGCATTACTATTTCGTTTCCATGAAGCAACCCACGCGATACCGAGACATGAAAACCGCGGTGGCATTCACTGAACATACGATTTGAACGCGCGCAAGCAAGTTTACATTGCTCGAGCTTTTGCCGCGACGCAACTAAACTTGATACACTGCAGCAGCGCAGCGTCTCGGGAGTGGGCAATTGTCGAGAGACGAGCGCTAGAAGATCGATAGAACCTGACGCCGGCTGGACTGGTCCTATCGCGCCGGCGACTTCCGCAACTCCCTTCGTCAAGCGCCTTTTTCTCCTTCTCGCGCGCAGTTTCGCGATTTATGGAAGACGACATTTCGCGAGCGAGCGAAAGCTGCGGGGGCCGCTAACGCAACCGCTGTAGCGCGCCAATGAAACGAGGCGAAACGATTGCTCGTCCAACTCGAGTCGTGCCTGGAACTTGTAATAACGACGGGTCACACTCGCGCCAGGCTGTTTTTCTCGTACCAATATGTTCGTTTTCGAAGCGCGCAGTTCGCGGGTTTTTGCATCGTTAACGCGGACGCGCGATTCCCCGCGCGAGTACGCGTGCCGGTCGTAAAAAGCGAATAATAGCTTTTCTCTAGGTCGAGTAAAGCTCTATTGGTCGCGCGTGGGGTTCGGAAACTCTCTCGCGTGCACGGCGCGCATTCGTTTGATTTTGCGACGCGGTAAAATGCCACGCGCCCGGGCGTTGGCTTTTTTTTACGGCAAGAGAGAGAGAGTAATCGGGAGAAATTTTAACGTCCGCGTTATCGGATATCTATGCGGATGGAATTTCACCCAAATCGTAAAAAGCTTTTGAGCGTTAAGTGCCGAGGATGGCGAAAGAAAGGGTGAAAGAAAACAAAATAAAAATAAAATCGCAGTCGAATATTTTGTCGAGTCAAACGATTTAAAAACGTAAAAAGTCACGCGTGCAGCGAGTTTTATACACGCGGCCGATGCGAGCGATAACGCAAATAAGAGTTCCTGTACAACGTTCTATTAGAGAGAAAAATATTGGTCGGAAAAGTAGCGTATAAGCTCTATAAACTCCGTAACTGCAGTTAGCGGGAGAATAGATTTAATACGTACCTGACCGTAAATAACCATTCCAAAGCTGGTGCAGCAGCTGCTCTCGGTTTTTCTTTTTTTTTTTATGCGCCAAGTAAAACCGTGCGATTACAAAAGCAGAGCTTGCGCTATCGAATACGCACACGCCTGATTCACGTAGACGTAGCGTACATTCAATAATAATGGAAATCTTTGAAAAAAGTTTACCATCTTTGCGAAACTCAAAGCTACGACATTTCTTTAACATGATACACGAGTAATAATTTAAACTGCTTTGTTCTTACACTTTATAATTTTAAGCGTCCAATAATGTAGGACTAGAGAGGACAGACAAATCAATTCACGTTTTTCAGATGCTCGTGAAAAATATTAGGCTCCCTGAAATGACATAGACCTCGAGTTTTCTTCACCACTCAGCACAAATGCACAGTGTATATATTTTTTCTGCTTATTACAGCAGCCATATTGTTCGAAGAATACTTGAATTCAAGTCCCGTTCCTAAAAATCTAATCCTGTTGAATAATTGTGTGTTCGTAGGACGCGGGTCAAGCGGGGTGAACGAGACGATAATCTGGACGAGCGTTGGCATGGGTATAACGATCACGCTGCTGATAACGATCGCCTTGTGTTATATCGCCCGTGAGAAGTGTAAGAAGCGCCACGAGCCGTTCAGATGACGAATGTACCCACCGCCGCGCTGGACGCTGCGTTACAATCCACCGACGGGTATCGTCGTCAGCCCAACGCTCTCCTCATCGGGCAGACCTCGTGCCTACTATCTCACCATTTGAGAATTCGTCGCCGATAATCTCCCCGTCTACCTGCTGCCGATCACTGTCATTCGGATTTTGTAGCGCGTCGATCGCGCGGAATTGTTAATTGGCAGGTGCGCGACGTTGCAACTTTGTGCCGCTTGTATCGGGGGTCATGGAACGCTTTGCACGTCGATTAAAAGGATCGCGCGTCGTCTCGAGGCTACGTTCTACCTACGTAGGCTCATTGACGCTGAGTTTCGACGCTGATTATATTGTAACTGGAATGGCCACTTGTCCGTTTTTATACTGCTGCAACATTTGCCAAATTCTACCTCTCATTATGATTTCATCGGTGACTCGTTAAATCAAGTACATTATTACAATATGGAGTCGTTCTAATTTCGTAGCAAGCGCTTTTTGAAAATTTATCTGAAAAAATATATGTATATCGCGATTTATATTCGGATAGGCTGAAAGCCGCAGCATTTTAAACCTAACTCGCGTTGTTTGCGCACGACCTTCGTACAAAAATCAAAGCGAAAGACCGTGCTCTCGAAGGAAAGAAAAAGGAAACGAAACGATGTCGCACCACTCGCGTTTGTTCCGTATGAAAGGACAACTCAAATTCATGTGCTGCGCATGAGTCTCGCATGGTAAGTGCACGCGTGTACGTACAGCGTGAAAGCCGAGAAGAATGGAAAAGAGCGTGTCGCGTTGGCGACGTCGAGTGACACGCGGCGGGACAACAGAAAAAGCAACAACACCGACACCGAAATGAGAGAAGGTGGGGATGGGGGGAGGGGTGAGCAAAAAGAAGAAGCCGAAGGAAGGTGCAAAGCTTTTCCTCCTGAAAGTAAGCGGCAAAAATTCTCGGGAAAGAGAGAGAGAGAGATAGAGAGAGGGAGAGAGAGAGAGCACGGGAGCGCGCCAACTGCAACCTCTCCAGCTTTATGTCGACCGTACACAAGATAAATTTTAACATGCATCGCACGAGCGTAACTCGCAGACGCCCGCAGGGCATCGGGGCAGCTCTTTACCGGAATGCCAACGTCGTGCACCTTCGCTCGCGAGCACCCGACAATGATTTTCTTTCCTTTTTCCCGAGCTGTACGCACCACGGCTGTCGGATTCATAACTAGCAGGATGCTGTCCAACGAGATGTCAAGAAACTTCGTACGCTAGCTGTCACCGAGAATTGCAGTTCGCGCGAGATCAAATTTATTTCCACTTTATCGATTTACAGCTGAGCCGTGCGAGCGAGAACATTGCATAGCGACGCTCTCAACAAGTTGGAATGTAGCTCAAAGACCGGGCGGCTAAAAGACAAGGTGAAAATATTGAAATAAAGAGCACGAGAGGAATGAAAATTAATGGAAGATACCAGGTCTTGGAAGAGAAGAGGTGTAGCTGTTTGGAAAGAGAAAAAGAACTCCAAAGTTTTTAAGTTCCTTCTTTTCATGCACTCTTACTCTCTCTCTCTATCTCTCTCTCTCTCTCGCTCTCTCTCGCTCTCTCTCTCTCTCTCTCTCTCTCTCTCTCTCTCTCTCTCTCTCTCTCTGTCTCTCTGCCTTTGCCTCTCCTAAAACGCTTGCTCCAATTAGCAGTTACCCCCCGTTAAGAATATTACTGGCAGAGTACTTTTTTCTCTTTATTGTAGAGGTATGTTTGATCACAGAAACGAAAAATCTACTGATTTTATAAGTTCAGGTGTAATACAACTAAAGTTTAATCAATCTTAATCAAATCATTACCAACGAGAAATTGTCTTTGTTGACTAGATTTTACTATTGGAAGATTTGCATTTTTATAAGATTGGTTGGTAATACTCGTAGTTAGTCAATACGTGAGGTGTAAATATACATATTCATGTGTTTATTTCTATGAACATAAAAATCAAACTTTATCAATTCTTTAATATCTGCTAGATAACAAAATAATAAATTAAGTGACATTACAAATATGCATACATAAGTATAAAAAACAAATATTAATAACGTAATAATAATAAATGCACGTGCATAAATACAATAAAATAAACTAGGCCTCATCGGCCCTTGGATGTGTAAATAATTAAAACTATGCTTTAAACTTTTTACAATCTTTTTAATAGATTTAATGAATATTTGATGAGTTTTTAAGGCGCTGTTACATGTTGAACATTTATATATGCAAAAGAAATAGGTAGATGATATAAAGAAATGGTCGATTTTGAATGTTAATTATATGAAGGTGGGTCACATTTATACGTTAATTTGGATACCAATGTTACTGGTAGTATATGAATAATAATTAACAAAATAATAACCGATGGGCTAAACTGTCATAAAAAAATGATATCCCACATTGCAAACTAGCCAGCCGTTATTACTAGTGCTTTTATCTCGCGCGAGACAGCGCGTCTGACACTTTTTGTACTCTTCACGGCAAATTTTTAACGAATGCCCTATATGAAAAAGAGTAGACGTTCGAATCTGAGAGCTTCCATCATTACATACGCCATCGTATTTCATGTATATCTACAGTTTGGTTACTTATAGCCCACCGAGGATAAAACAACGTGCTATACTCTATCTTTGATTCAAGCTATAAATCTGTGTACGCCAGTTTCCAAATAAATCAGCTTTGACACGAGCTAAGTAGTTTCTACTTGCAACACAGCTAACTTTGTATGTCGAATGTAATAGTGAGCGATCGATTGGCTTTCGACTGTATCGCGATTTTTACATTGCCCATCGAAAACTTTGGTTTCGTGAAAATATCGTCGTTCCCATCGAACACTATAACAAGTTCATGTTTATTTGATCTCTATCGATCACAGAGCAAACGCGAGCACAATCGTTGAAATTTTAAATACTCATTTGCGAAGATAAAATCCCCTCGATCGCAACGAGAGCTTCTAAAGGTACGCATTTGTATGCGGTATTTACTTAGAAAGCACCAGTCTGTTAATCAAACAGTCAGAAACGGATGAAGTACAGGCTCGGCTTGCCTCTCGAGAAAGCTCGTTTTTCGTTAAGCGTAAAAATATGGGGGCGATGTGAAATGAAAATCAGTATATAATTGGCTGAACGCTTGAAAAAGAAATTTGAAATAACGTGCAGTAGGCTGAGAGAAATATACGAGCAAATAGCGCACGAGCGAATAACGGTTGACACGACGAAAAAATGATGGTGAATTCATCTTCTTGTTTGCACTCGATGGAGCAGACACTTTGTATGTTGATTCGTCTGAAAAGAGAGGTAACACGAGGGAACTGCCATTGTCGAGAGAAATAGCCTGAGCTCGAACGACGAGTTGAAAAAGCGTACATCAATATAGGATGCAGCGCTATTCTGTCGTTTATGCATAAATTAAGATAAAGTATCGACAAGTAAAGCTCAACGAAATTTGTTGGCGAAAGGAAGTAAAAGGTGTGCGAGTAATAAGTAACTTACGGTCAAATATTATATTGGATGGATGTTCTCGAAGGCATGTCATATTTTTGTTTTACAGTACAGAATAATTAAAAGCTTCGTAACTTACGACATTCGCACCTTCACCTTCATCGTAAGTATTTATTATCAAATATTATATGTATCCAAGTTAATAATTGAAGGAACAGCAAATGTTTGCAGCGGTACGGAATATTACTCTCGTAATTTTAAAGTGAATTTCGATGAGTGCACCTGTCGCCAGTATTATACACGAATAACCAATATATTCTAAAACTTTGTGCCGACTTAGTAGTTTGAAATTTTTATTTTTATGAATAATACTTTATCGTAGATTAGTCGAGGAATATAATAAATAATTGAACGAAAATGATTTGGTAAAAGAGATGAAGATACATCAAGTTGCCTATTTGTACAATTATAAAAGGTTAGTGGTTGACGAAATGGCTTACGTCTACAGTATGGATTTAGTGTTATAGATCATTATTGTTTACAAAAAAATGGATGATTACGACACTTCAAAAATTTTTATTTGACAATATTGTCTCATTACTAATTACTAGATATCCAATCAAAATAAATTAAACTTTCAAATTCACACGTCAAATGTGCGAACAACGGACGAGATGTTTCCGTGATGAAAACGAAAATAGTTGATACGAAAGATCTTTCGATTGTTTTAGTTGAGTTTTGCTACTTTTACGAAAGTAAATTTATTACTTTGTGAAGTAAACATTATATACATTGATTTCCTTCACTATTAGCAAAGTATTTGCTTTTAGTGGACGTAAAACATCTTAAATATATCAAAATAAAACAAAATACACATGAAATAAAAATATAAATGTTAAATATTTAAATACTCTGCAAAAAGTATTAATGAGATGTCTAAACTTAAGAGATTACAAGAGGAAACAAGCGACGTATAAAACATAATTATTAATGTATTTGATTGTTACACGTTAGTTGGTGTTGAATTACGAATGACGATATAAAAAATATAAAAACTATGAACGATATTTGACTAAATTTAATTGATTCAAGTACGTTGAGTGAAAAATATCGGTTTTGTTATTCTACAGATAGTATATTTGGGTGCAGTAATTTTATTGATATTGAGTCATCCTTGCGAGGAAGTACATATTCCATTTATTTTATCTCAACTTTTGATTCCTGTCCTGCGACATGTAGCATTATTAAAAAAAATCAAGTATCTAAGAATCTATCGGTATTCCTACCAAGCTATCTTTATAAATCAATTTATAAACAATATGATTTTCAATGGAAAAATAAAATAATATCAAAATTAGTTTTGTCGTGTTTTCTATGTTTACAGCGAATCCCTGCTGCGTCTGTATATTGGTTTAACTGTAACTTATTCGATACTGATTTTGTCAAGCTAATAAAACAAGAAAACTATAAAGCTCGTTTCGAACTTATACAAAGATTAATCTTCTATTTGCAGTTTTCGACTATTTCCATGATGAATCTTAAGTAGATTGAATGTTCGTAATAACATTTTCTTTTGTTTTTGAGTCATCTTCGTTAAATCCGTATTTTATTATTAAAAGTTTTGAACGACAGTTCAAACTGCTCAAGTTGCTGCATGCTAAAACCGAGGAAGTTTTACTCTTAATCCACGCATTCAGTCAATGAAAGCCCCAATTATAAATGAATGCCATGGAAAACGAAGTGAGCTGAGTTTTATTTGGATTTTTACTTGCCAAGTGCATATTATAAAATGATGCGTTATAACTGTAGTGGCACATTGACTACAAAGAGCAGTAAGTTTTACGTTCTTCTTTTCTCCTGTCGGCCACATGATTGGTGTTTATTTGTAATGAAAAAATTAGAATAGTAGCTGGAAAAACAAAGAACGTCCTAGATCGAATTACCTACATACTTCGATTCGCAGTCACGTGTGGTGGTACGTGGTACAATCAATTTGACGTGACCAAGCTTCCACGGAAAGTGTCGATATTTCTCTTTGGCTGCATTGGCGGAAACGTACGTCATGTTTTCCAGTACGTAAAATTTTCGTTGCACGCGCCTTTTGAAGTGATAAGAAACTAATACGGTAGGTCGGAAAAGATGGCGATCATTTATCTAGAAGCTAGCTTGTCCACGTCACGCTTGAGAGGCGTCGTTATTTGCGAGAAGAGTTGCTATTGGAAAACGTCGATATTTGCGCCAGGGATTTTACGACGCTGTGTAGCACACTGTCATTCGTATTTGTCGTGCTGCATTTCAAAGAGTGAAAGGCGATGCATTCGAAGAAAATCTCGACAAAGTCGAAGTGGAAAACGTCTGTAGAGGTCCCTTTGGAACAGATGCCGCTCTACAGTATTGTCGATTCCGCACACTCGGGCATCGTTTAAATATTTTTCACGCGATAATGTAGCTTTATTCTCGAGAATCTTTCGTACTGCTCCTCTAAGGTGAATACTTTACATTGGCGTTCTGCTGTCCTCGATAAAACTCAACTAATTTTCATTGCTATCGTTGCCATAAACAGTACAAGACAAAACACCAATCACATTCGAATTTGAAATTCGACAAAATACAACGAATAACCACGGTCTCGGGCGCACCACTGCAGGTCCGCTTACACCACTTCACACGTGCTTACACCATTCGCGCTCGCAGCCTGCTGACGCAACTCGCGAGTGACTTTCGTTTCGCCTCCGCGATATCAATTTAATCAATTTATTAAATATATAATCTAGTATTTATAGTCACCCACGAAACCGTAACCTTAATTATAATTTGCTTGGCAATATCCCACTAAATATGTATATATTATTTACGACTGATTCTGTCCACCTATAGTTAATTTATAATACACTATTGTGACGCCCTTGCGGCTTTGCCTAATTACTCTCTTACCGCCTCAGCTGGTAGCACTTCCTAGCCTCGTCACCAGCCGCGGAAACAGTTGTTGAAGCTACTTAGGCCTGGCATAACAGTGACGAGCCTGGAGCCTGCAGCGAGCGCAATCCACGTGTACCCCCGTATCTGGTCGCCTGACCTTTTAGACTATCTTGGACGAACAGAATCAATTGGCGACGGTTACGTAGTAGCGCGTAGCGTATTTTCCATATTGAAATCAGCGCCAACAAAGCAACATAGCATACGATTTGACAACAATGTTCTACCGGCATAAATTTTGGCAACACAGATTATATATATGGGTAATTCTAGGCTATTTCGATTGACTTGTAACCCTTAGATTACGGATTTTTTTTTAATTTGGCACAATTGTTGTACACATAAAACTGAGATTTTTCCCAAATTTTGGAGACGATACATTAATTATATCAAAAGTTATTAACAATTAAAGAAAAATGATAAAAAATTTTCAAACAGCTATATTTTAAAAACTAATAAAGATATCGAAGTCGGATTTTTTTCAAAATACTTATAATGCCTTAAAATTTCGAAATAATTACAACAATAAACAATAAAAATTTTTTTTCGAAAGTTATTAACTTTTTGTTTAAACAATTGCTAATATCTCAAAAAGTATATTTTTTTTTTGAAAAATTCTTGCTCCTACGTATTCCTGAGGATTTTTGCTATCGAAATCAATCATAAAATTCAAGGGCCCGACATATCGGAAAGCGTAGCCCTAATCAAAAGAAGATGCCTCAGTGTACGTCGCAACGACAGCAGGACGTCTTCGTGGTCTTACGCTGAGGCGTCTTCTTTTGATTAGGGCTACGCTTTCCGATATGTCGGGCCCTTGAATTTTATGATTGATTTCGATAGCAAAAATCCTCAGGAATACGTAGGAGCAAGAATTTTTCAAAAAAAAAATATACTTTTTGAGATATTAGCAATTGTTTAAACAAAAAGTTAATAACTTTCGAAAAAAAATTTTTATTGTTTATTGTTGTAATTATTTCGAAAGTTCAAGGTATTATAAGTAATTTGGGAAAACTCCGATTCGGTATCTTTATTAGTTTTTTAGATTAAAGCTAAAGTACCTTTCGACCGTGAGTCCGCTGGAGCGCTACCGCAGCCTTACGCCGAGGCGTCTTCTTTTGATTAGGGCTACGCTTTCCGATATGTCGGGCCCTTGAATTTTATGATTGATTTCGATAGCAAAAATCCTCAGGAATACGTAGGAGCAAGAATTTTTCAAAAAAAAAATATACTTTTTGAGATATTAGCAATTGTTTAAACAAAAAGTTAATAACTTTCGAAAAAAAATTTTTATTGTTTATTGTTGTAATTATTTCGAAATTTTAAGGCATTATAAGTATTTTGAAAAAAATCCGACTTCGATATCTTTATTAGTTTTTAAAATATAGCTGTTTGAAAATTTTTTATCATTTTTCTTTAATTGTTAATAACTTTTGATATAATTAATGTATCGTCTCCAAAATTTGGGAAAAATCTCAGTTTTATGTGTACAACAATTGTGCCAAATTAAAAAAAAATCCGTAATCTAAGGGTTACAAGTCAATCGAAATAGCCTAGAATTACCCATATTGCTATAGTGAAGACATGTTTGCTTATATTAGTGCCTTGGGTGCCTTGTTGGCCTGTCAACGTCGCTCTAGTGAGAATTACGGAAGTTTAACGCAAAATCTAAAAAACTACGGAAGTTCGGAGATTTAGCTTTTTCTCTAAAGTAAATTTATAAATATTTTAAGATTTTTATTATATAATAAGTCTTTCATATACTTGAAAAACATTATAATTCTTTAAATATTAAATTGATTCAGTTGTTTGTCATTTAACCTCAAACTTAAAATAAAGTTTGCAAACTAAATATAACAATAAAAATTAATGAAATTAACTTAATTTTGTAATTACTTTTTGAATATACTTTCTTCACTATTTATATTTACTTATTCAGTAAAGAAAAACAATATTTAAAAATATGAAACATAACAGAAGTTTATCATTTGAAAAGTTTAGACCCATTATAACTTTGGTAAAAATTTCTTTAACTTATTTACATTTCTTATTATTTCTTACAGATGAGCATTACTGCTTATATAGAATCACTTACAAAAATTGATGAAACCAAAAGTGTAAACAATGTTGCTTGGTCCAGAGTGACAAAAGAAAAAGTAAAATCTAAACCACATTTACAGGGAAAAGGAGAGTTACCATTTCAATTTGTAAGCATTTCTTTTTCTATTTGGTTAATGAAAGTAGTCAGATAGTTAAATTAAATAACTTTAGGAATTGGAACAAACTGATCAAAGTAATTCTTGCCAAAAAGATAAAAAATATTCGGAAGAAAAGAAGGTAATACTTTATAATTATGATCAAATTTTTGAAAATATCTTTAAATATCTTGTTTTTTGTTTTCCAGGCACATTTTTATGAAAAACATCACAACACCAAAATCATACATAATGAATATAGATTTGCTGATATAATCCCCAGAGTAAGAGAGGTAATAAAAATATCAAGTTGTATCTATGTAATACGAATATATTTTCTACTTAACTATTATTATTTTATTGTGATTTTTCATTTCATCAAATTATTTGAACTTTTTATCCAAGGTTGGTGGAGGTTACAACACATTTAGTAACCAAGCTATTGAAAGACGCTTCAGAGAAAACCAATCAAAACACGCATCAGCAGAAGAAAGTGATTTGAGTTCAACATATGTAACAGCAACCTCAAAATCAATAGAGAGTTCATACGACACTACGGTAGAGACTCTTGGCTCATTACAACTATCCAGTAATGAATCCAAACATGAGGTTTCAAGTAATGAAAATGAACAATACAAAGTGGATGCTACAATGGCAAGATCATTACATACACAGAACAATAAGTCTTTAGATATTGATACGTGTACTGATATATCATTAAATAGACACAATGTATCACTAGAAAGAGAAAATGAGGAAGAAAATTGGGATGATGATGCAAGTGATGAGCGAATGTATAAAGGGCGTATCACTCGATTTTTTCAAAGTACAGAAGATGAAGATGTATTTGAACATCCATTAAAGGAACAAATCAAAAAAGATCTTGAATGGCAGAATTACCAGTTACAAAGAAAAGGGATTAAAATTATTCAAACTCCAAGACAATACTATCTAGATTTAGATGATGATGATTTCAAGTTTGAATGAAGAAAGTGCATGATATAAGTATATTTTAAATATTATCTTCTTTTATCAGAGTCAGATCCACAAAGATTTATTCTGAGAGATAGTCTATCTTTGTTGATCTAATATAAAAGAAAGTAAGCAGTTTACTGAAACATTTCGCTTTAAAACTAAATTTTATTTTGTTGGATTCTCTTTATTATTTCAAACGCAAAATATATTTCTAGATTTTAAAGCAAATTTGGAACATGTAGTTCAAAGTAGGTTTACATAAATAATGAATTTTATTAATAATACAATTTTCATTAGTCAAAACACGTAGAAAGTATGTGTGTTGCCTTCATTATTAATTTGAACTTGACTATATTAGATATTAAATTTTTACTGTGTTTTCCACAGTAGGAAGAAAAATAGTGTAATGTTTTAATCAATGCAAATTTTAATTCCTTATTGAAAGCTATTAAAGTACCAAATTTTATTGCTGAATTTTGTGCAATATCAATGAGAACAATTTCTCAAATTCAATTGTGAATTAAACAAAAATAGCAAAAGATATTTCAAAGTATTAGTAAATTAAAAGTTAAAAATATCAACAGAGTGAAAGTACAATACATATTTTGTCTACAAAATATTAGATTTTACAAAGGAATAAAGATATGCTGAATTAATATTTAGAAATATCCTAGTAGTTTAAAAATATCAAAATCGTGAAGAAACAAGACTTATTCAACTTGAAAATAATTTGTACTTTTTGAACAGAAATAGGTGAAATTATTAATAGCATCACATATTCAATAATCAAAAGTAGTGGTAATTATTTTAATAGATAATTGATTGTAATAACTTTTGTTAATGTTGAATAAATTAATCATTTTTTAATTTTATCGTAGTATAAGATAATGAAAAAATAATAAAAACAGAATAAAAGAAAATTGCAAAATCTAAACTATTTCTAAAGTTTTCACACAAAATCTTACTAATAACGTTTATAATCGCTGATTAATTTTACATTTAATGTAACACTATTAATTTTTACATTGAATGTTTTTTTACATGAACTATGTACTTTAAAAATGTTTTTATCCTAAGATGTGTCAAATTTTGATTATCCTACAATAGATTATCTTCATAGTCTGTCTATCGTAAGTGATATTTTTACCAATATTTTCGTTATTCATATAAAATAGTTCAACACTGACATTATTTCATTAAAATAGCTGTGATACAAAAATATATTGATCTCTTACATACCATTGAAAAATAGTACGAATATAAATAGGTATTAAAGCATGTATAATATTATTTTATCGATTGAAATGATATTTTATAACGTAATCAATGGCGATGAATTTGCAATAAAAATTGCAATTTTTTATACCTTGAAAAAACGATATTTGTAATTAATATTAATAAAAATGGTATTAAACAGTTATATTATTGCATTACTTTTATATAATAAACTTTCCTTCGAGACAAAATAAAAATAAAGTCTACGATTGATCTATTAGAAATCATATAACTAATTACCAATGGTATCCACGCAAAAACACAAAGGTATTTTGCTCGTAACAAAACCCGCACCGATCAGCTCGTTTTAGTTTACGATGTCGCGCGCCGTTTGTCGGTGCATCCGATTAAACTATTTTTTGCGTGCTCATCAAAAGAGGCACGGCTACTTCCTTGCCATTGTGCTTTTTTTTTTTTTGTTGTTTCGTCTCCTCAATCCGTAACGGATGAAATCGCGCGCGTGGGTGCATCTTTGACTCCACGTGCCGCGAGTTGTGTACCTCATTTAGATGCCTACAGCCCATGTGTAGCGAGACTTGATTGCGGCAGCAGAAGTATACGTAGGAAAATCTGCGAGTAGCTGATACATTATAATTGCTCGTATCTATATGATGAGATTGCGCAAGCCCATTGCGTAGCGTTCAGGAAGTATGTACAGATTTGGTTTTGTGGTATAGTTCACATAACCGTTTTGTACTGTAATTGTTGTCATTAAATATATTGTAGCCTATTTTTTCTTTACAGTCGTTATACGTTCTAACATGGCTTTTCCATGTAACTATTTAAAAGTCACATTAATTGGATAATTTTTTTATTGCTCTTCTAAGCTATTGAGATGCATTATTCACATCATTTCGCAATCCATAAATTGATAGATAAATAAAAGAAACTTTAAAATAATAACAGAATTGAATGTATTCGTCGCAAATTGCCAAGGGATTTCGGGAATAACCAAATATTTTCAGTCGACTGAACATTCAACATACTAAGATAATCAATATCATTTTTAAATCGATAAAAGGTCGAGCAAATGATAATTAAAGCTTGAAATTTGGAATGACTTTCAGATAGTTAAATATTTAATGAACTGGATGTGTACTTTGAGTTTCTTAAATTAACAAAAGTTGAATGTTATTTTAAAAAGAAGATTCACAGCGAATCATAATTAAAATTCGAAATTTTGATTGGCTTTTTGATATTGAAAAAAGCAGTGAAGTGTATAAGCATTTGCAGTATCACGGTTCGTCTGACACATTAAAAAAATAATTATTTCTGGAAAAAAAGAACGAGTGCGTCAATCGTTATCCGTCGCTTAGCAGTTTATCGCTCAACCGACTATCGTCGAACTAGTGCGTGATTTGCCAACGAAAAAGTTTACCTATATCTTGGTTAACAATACTCATTCAAATTACCCCTTTCATTTTTCCACCTGTACATCTTTGAAGTAGAAAGAAAGAAAAAGAAAGAAAGAAAGAAAAATAAAGAGAGTGAAAGAGACAAGGTCCCCCACAAAGATCGGAGCGTTTAGTTCCACATGTCATTACTTACGAGTGAAAAGATATCGCAAAGTGCTATCAGCATTTCCGCCGTGTGTGTGCGTACAAATGCACGCAGGTGATTTTCCTTGATTATTTACGGGAGGGGAGGGGGCAGACTATTATTACAAAGCACTGTCGAATCATATATTTGAGAGCGCAAATACTTTACCTTCTGCGAGCGAGCTTACGCGGACGATTTGAGTTTTCGCACATCCCTGCGTTTAAGACTGCGGTAGCCGGCTCAATCACTGCTCCATATATAAGGGCTGCGCGCCGGTAGATATGCTGCGACCGCTCAAAATTGATAAATGCTCTCGTTAATAATTCCCTTTGTAGGCTATACTCCTACGCAGGCTCCGTGTGGAGGCATACGCGTGTCTTCGGGTGCACGTCGGTGGTTTCCTCTGATGAATCTTAACTAGGAGACGTCCGCGCGAAGGATAATGCTCGCGATCGTGACAATTCGCTATCGACTCGCTCTCTCGAGCGTATATTTAAGAAAACTCTCGCATCACGGCTGGCGTGCTCTGTCGGAGAGGGAGGAAGAGCCGTTGCACTCGGCTTTATTAAGGCCGCCGTGATTGATTTTCTCGCAGCGATAAAGTTAAGCTTGCTACGGCGCCGCTTTGTATCTATACGAAAGCGCACGATACTCCCGCGGAATCGGCGTCAGCCCGTTCGTCATCGTGGGCTACAGGATTTCCATGATTTCCATTTATTCCGATGATTAACAGGCTTGAAGGTTTCAAAGAGAAAACTGGAAAATTTTCGAAATACTACTTGCTTGTTTGTTTCGTGTTTGTTGATGCATACGATGATAATTTGTATCAACAATTGACTGCAACGTTGCACGTTTCATTATCTCAATATCGCACTGGGCAATAACTGATTTTGAAACTGGATGAATTGTTGCTTTCTCTGTATCACGCGGCCATACATGTATGTACTTCAATCCAATGATAAAACATTATTGCGATTGGGATTTTCTGATCAGGTGCGGTTGGCTTTTCGAGAAATCATCTGTCACTGCTGACCAATATTGATAGTGCTGTGTATGCTTATACGTCATATAATAAATTAACTGATTGAATGAAATTATGCTTATAATATTGCGAATCCAATGTTATACTCCCATGTGGCCAATTACACTAGTAGCATTAGCTACTATTAGGATGATTTTATACATATTCACTGTTTGTACATATTGCACGTACTTGAGAGAAAATGCAATTCACCTTTGGTTCTCGAATATAATAAATAGCGGTTAAATAGAATTTTATGAAATATTTGCAACACCGGTAAGAATTTTGCCTAAAATCTTTTAGAAGTTTCTGTAATTCTTATTTTCAATTATTCAAACTATATAATTTTCGGCGCGAAAAATTCTCGTGTAAAGTTCGTGTAATGTATGAGGAAAAACCTTTCTATAAAAAATAAATTGACTTTTATGACGGCTCCTCATTAATTCAATTTTTGAACGATTGGTTTTTGATCGCTACTCAATAATAATGCAGACTCTCATCACCTATGATAAAGCAGTTATAAAACTTTCGACATGTGAAATATGCATGATTTTTTAAGTTTGCATAACTTTTTGTTAAAGATCTTTGAAGCGTACGTCGTTCGTTTCGAGAAGAATTTCAAAAACTAACTTGCCCGTATTTTTTGAGAAATGAAATATACTAATCTGTATAATTTTGACGTGTATTATTACTTTTATTTGGATTATTATCATAATAGTTGAATATATTAATAAATTATTATAAAATCCGACATGCTCAGCAACATGTATAAAATATAAAAGTTTTCCTATCACACGCAGAAATGGTATATTATGAAAATAGTTGAACATACATATAATTAATAATACAATGGCATTAATGTTAAGTCCTTACAATGCCAAAAAATCAAGAAGCATTCAAATGTCCTGTATTATTACATAATCCTTCATTCAACTAACATCCCAGATTTATTATTATTTTGATTCTGTTCGATACTATCTATAAATCGCACGTCATATCACGCGTTTGTTTAACGTGACAATAAAATGATCATGCGATTAATAGACGTTTCAAATTCGTTGGATTGATTTATTTATTATTCGTCGAACTATTTGAATCTTTCGTGATAATAAAATATTCTCTTGACTGAATTTATTTAAATTCAAGTTTAATATGACTGCGTTGAGGGCGCACCGAAAATGAGCATTAAAAGTAATTATAGGGTTGAAAGAACAAAGAAAAAAGAAAAAGAGATATAAAGTAGGCGAAGTATTCAAATTTGCGTTTATGATACTGATATGACAGGACAATGCATTGAAAATGTTATATGTTTCAGTTGTACATTAATTATGAGAGTTATTTTTCAACAACGGTTATCAATAATGATTAGAACCTAATACGTTATAAGATAAAACCTGGGAACCCCGCGTTTTGAAAAATTAGAAATAATACCTCACAATGCTCCAAAGCAGTTATACGCTTTATTTGCGGCCAAGAGTCTTCCTTTGTAAGTTTAGCATCTGAGATTTTCTGTAAAGTGGTGTCGATTACAATTAGTTAAAAGCTTTTTTATTTTATGCAAAATTAATCGAAAATATAAAAAGTCGATATCAGTTGAAAATATACGTTAAAATCATCAAACATACATTATAAATCATATTATATACGATTCATTGATACTTGCTATTTTACATAATCATATAAAATTATAATGGCTGCTCCAAATAAGCATTAAATAACCAGATGTTTCCAGAGTTGATGAATATGCAAAGAAATATGGCGTGCATGGTTTCAAAGGATATCACAATGTTGACGTAATATTAGGTATCACTGCCAATAAATGAAAAATCTATTCACCTCTAATAGATTCGCTTGTTGTAATTCTCAATGACAAATTTCTATGGCTGCAATAAATTTGGCCAGCAAAAAATTATTGATGAACGAGAAATTAATATTGAGCAGGGAATAGGGTGATTTATGTTTTCACTGTAAATGTACGGAACAGGGATGGAGAGCAAACATCCATTTGTCTTACAAAACAGAAATCTATAGAAATTTCGTCAATGTCATCGACGAATAATGATGAAACAATAAAGAACGCAAGAATTATAGCAGCGCGTAATTACATATCAATGGAAAAGCAATGGAGCGCTCGCACTGCCCATTTGATCCACGATACCCCACTCTGCTACGCTTCCGCCTTGCGGGGAGTCTCCTCGGAGCGGCGTAAAAATAAAAAATTACGCGCCTTATCATCGTGCCACGCGTCGTGGGTGAGACAGACGAAGATAACAATAGTCGAGGCGCAACAAGACTATAAAACCGTAGCGCAGCATTCGCGCACTCTGCAGAAGTTGAAGCCTGACCGTGTGTACCGGTCGACCGTACGAGCTCAGTTTTTCGTGACGTTATTTTAAAAATTTTTTTTCATTTTCCGACGCTTGCGAAGCACTCGTACGAAAATTCTACCCTACAAAGTTTTGATAATTAAACTGTTCGGTCGACGTCGACGACGGGTCGAACGGTAACGAATCGACGATATCTTTCGTTTTAACGAGGAGTCGAAAATATTGCAAGAGACACGACCACGACAAGCACCGAATCATCATGACACTCTCATTGTTCCCGTCGAGATTCCCGAGCGACTTCGATGAAGTTCGTATCTTCGACGACAAACTCGACGATCTCGAAATCATGAGGAAGATCATTGCACTGGAGAATCTCGAGGATCCTTTCCACTTGTTCGACGTTGCGGATCTTGTTAGCAAGCACAAAACTTGGATCGAGAGAATACCTCGGGTCGTCCCTCATTATGGTGCGCTCTTTCTCTCTATTATGGAATTTTATTATTGATTTAACGAAAAGAATTTCACGTGCGGTTTCGCTTTGTCGAGTCATTGTTCTCTATTGTGCTACCTGTGGCTGCGGAAGTTCTCAAGATGTTGATCTAAAAAAAAGTTCGATCTTTAACAGCGCGCAAAAGCAACTCGCCAATGAATTTAGCAATTGATTTTGTCAGAACGCGAGCGAAGCAAACTTCATCGTTTGAATGTTACAAATTAAACTTTACTCAATGACGTACGTTCGATTTTCAGCTGTGAAATGCAACCCCAATCCAACTGTCATTAAAACTCTGGCTGCTCTGGGCGCTAGCTTTGATTGCGCGTCGAAGGTGAACGATTATTTTTAAATATCGAAATATTTATTACTTTGTCGTAAAAAAGCAAACAATTTCGTTGCAGCAAGAGATCGTCAACGTGATGGCATATGGAGTGCCGGCCAACAAGATTATCTTTGCCAATCCAGTAAAAACTCCGTCTCAGATTCTGTACGCCAGAAAAATTGGAGTTGCTAGGATGACGGTCGACAGTATGTGGGAACTGAGAAAAATTAAAGAACTATATCCGGAAGCCAAGTGCGTATTTAATTATGTTTTAATATCTTTTGATTCGCGTGAAACTCTAAAAATGCTATTACCAATTGATTATTACAAAGTTTCAATAGAAGTTCGATCTTTTAATTCTGCATTCGAAGAAAAAGATGTTATTTTAATTATATAATCAATATATTATCTCGACTTTCCTGTTAGATATCATTGACGCTGCATTTTCAAAAACAGTGTCATGCATGTCTGTGGCGAATTATCATTTCGATGGCTTAGCCACGGAAAAAACGACTTGAAATAACTGTATTCATCGTGAGAATGGCCGTCTTGTAATAACAACGCGATAAGGAAAGTCGTTGCCGTCACCGACAACTGTTGCTTTCGGAAATTCTCTTAATTTTCCAATCTATATTATCTTCGCAATGAGGCTCTTTTACAAATAACACGACTGATCTTATGACACGCACGTTGGTTTTGAATGATTACGACGCCACTGGTCATCTTCGAATTGAAAGTTGTATCAAGATCCACGTTTCCCTTGATTCCAGAATAATCATCCGTTTCCGGAACGACGCAGCCGTGTCGGACGTCTACCTCGGCACCAAATTTGGTTGCGATCCGGGCGAGGAGGCAGTACGCCTGATCCGCGGCTGCCGCGACCTCGGCCTCGAGCTTCACGGTTTCAGCTTCCACGTGGGCAGCCCGTGCGGCGAGGTGACTGCACTTAGCCGCGGCATTGGCATCTGCAAATATCTCATCGACGTGGCCCACTCGTACGGCCTGTACGACGTGCAACTAATCGACATCGGCGGCGGGATACCCGGCGACAGCGAGTTTCTCATCGACGAGGTATGGTCGTACTTTTCTCGGCTTCGCAGAAGCTTCGTGTTCAAGGATTTGCTATTCGAGTACAAGCATCTGATATTCTGGCTTAACGACTATTACCGCACCAATTGGAATTACCGCAAGGTCAAGAAGATCACCACCACCACTTGGAAGCACACTTGGGCCCTGCCCTGGTGATCCATCGCGACTCGTTGTTTTGCTGCTATTGCATTGTGTGTTTGTGGTATGTCCGAGGTTGTACGCTTCGATTTTTAGTCCACCGTTTGTTTCGTTTGTTCTCTTTACAGTGTGCTTACCGGTCTCCAACCGCTCATAGAGATATATTAGTGTGCTTTTGTTTGTCGGCAGGAATGTTAAAGACCCTGGCGCTCCGCCAGCATTCGCACTGTATAAGGATAGGCCGCGAGCTCTTTTGTATAGCGAGAAAATATAGTCACTGTTTGTCAGTTCAACAATATATTGCATAATGTTAATGTTGCTTGATAGTGTAGCCGTATCGTAGAGTGACCATTTCCGCAGATTCGACGCAGAAATCATTTATGCGGTATTTCATCATTTATTCGAATTTTCGTAATTTTCGTACTGTGATTTCAAATTATACCATGACAAGCGAGCAATTAGACTTATAAAAATCATGACAACATACATTTGAAAATTATTCGAATTTACTGAATTATCGATATCTTGGATTAATGTAATAATAGAATTTACTTCGCTAATAAAAAAAGTAAACAAAATCTTCTTGAATATTTTCAACTTTTTACAATTCACATAGAAAAATTAAATTAAGAATATCGATACACGTACTTAAGAACATTAATATAGTTTTAAATAGTCATTGATCATTGATTAATTGCTAACAATTTTACCTTAAAAATATGACAATACCGTTTCTTCATAAAGAAACTCGTGGTGACAGATACATTAGTTGATATCAAATAAAGGTAAGATATTTTAACTTTATATAAATACAACTTTTTAATTCTTTCTAATTCGAAATAAGTAATACAATGTTATACTGAAAGTTGATATTTAATAGGGCCGGGTCAGAATCGTGAAGGTACCGAGTTTACACAATTTGATGCTACATGAATTTATAAATTTCATTTTCTTAACATAATGCTTTTTTAATTGCACAAGAAACAGAAAATAATATTTATTAGAGAAAAAAGGTTACAATTAAACATCTAAATTTTTTACAAAAAATTTGATTGACAAATAATATTTCATTTTTTAAGAAAATAATATTTTATTTTCCGTATTCAATAGGTAAGTATTATGTTTAATAAACAAAAGTTTTTAATCGATCTAGAATCAAATCGTGTAGAATCGATATGTACACGAAATAAGCCCGACCTTCACAATTAATAGCATGAATGAATTTTTAAATTTGCTGCTTCTTAATATAGTAATGCTTCTGACAATACAGTCGATTGTATAAATGTACAAATCGAAAATCTTTTTTCAAATCTTATACAAATAATATCTAACTCTATTAAATTTAAAATATTACGAAAAAAAATTGTAGTCTTTTCGCAGAAACCTTGAAATAAAAACCATTATTGCCAAATGCTGGAAATAATAATTAATTACTCTAGTTAACATTGAATAGTAGCGAATGGCTTTTTTGGTGCTTGGCTTTGAATGTATTTGTATTAATTATCTATTGGCAAATAACACATCGCGGCTATTGCTTACATCACAAAAACCAAAACTTGATCAAACATTTGAAAATTAACACATAGTTGCATATTAAAACGGCGATACATACATAATCAATTAAGTGGATTGCGATTATAACGCCATCGGGACTTGCTTAATCGTGACTAATGCGGAAATCATGCATTCAAATATAATACCTAGATATCCAATTTTGGACATACGCTCAATCATTTGATTCGCCTGCTATACAGATATGTGTAAGATCATTAATGAACGCGCGATCAGAGTAGCGGTAATTACGTATAACACAGCGTTTATAAATTAGATTACGTATCTCTTTCTGGTCGATTGATCCAACAATTAAGTAATAGCATATAATCTATGGGAATTGCGTATGGTACACGCAATGATCACAATTGAACTTTTGACAATAGCTGCGCGGCATCTCAACTGTGCAGTGACGTTATAGCACGCACCGTGCGTCGAGGTAGATATATATATATATATATATATATATATATATATATATATATATATATATATATATATAGCTCGATCGCGGCCTTGTTACCGATCCGTTATTTAATACATTGTGCCTGTCTGTTGCGCGCAACGTAACAGATTCGCGACACATTACACATGTCGCTACACGTGTCGATATACAATCTACATCGGTTGAAATTAGTTCGCAGACGTTATCAACGAAGCTCTGCGGGATATTGATCCGTCAATTCGTGTGATCAGTGAGCCTGGCCAGTATTACGTGTGCTCAGCATTCAAGGCTGTTGCCTTCTTGCACGGCAAGAGGATCGTCGTTGATAAAGGCTGCAAGAAGCGCATGTACTACGTGAACGACGGCGTGAACGGATCGTTCTGGGACGAACTCGTTATGATGAAGGCCAGATTGCCGAAAGTTCTGAACAAGGTGAGAGTCTGCATTATCGATCACGCACTTTTGCTTATTTTTCCTCGATGTCACGATGCTGCAACAATTCACAAGTGACCCTTTATCGGCCATTTACTTGCTGAATTGTTTTCTGGCTGTTTATTCGTGGAAGGTATGACTAGTGTAAAGATTTATAATTTTGAATATTCACGCGCACAAGCGCGACGTTAAAATTTCTCTGGCCAAAGGGAAATATGATATTGACGCGTCAGATAATTGGAGTTTGCGTATTGAATATACTGGATTACATAGATCCGATGGCAAGCTCAATTACTGGAATAAAGCGATGAGATTTGAACAATTACTGGGAGAGCATTGATCGTACAGTATAGCGCGCACGAATTGGACTAGAAGTAGAGCGCATTGGCAATCAGCGAACTCGATACGAACTTTGATCGCTTGTTTGAATGCAATTGGCAATCGCATATATCAATACATATGCGCCTCTACAATTTTGGAATCTTGCCATCGACATTCATTGAACCCATACATAGTTGATATTTGATTTTTTTTTTTTCAATGATTTATATACAATCTAATAGATTGGAACGCATTGGCAGTAAGTTCGACGTTCAATTTAGTGCAATGCGACGAATTTTTCTGGGAAGCGTTCGGAGTCTCTTAAATTCCGATTTATTGGATTTTCCGTTTGCAAAGTTCGAGCATCGAAGCTCAAAAGTAACTAATTGTAAGTGTACGCGAAAGAAAATAATTCGTCGTTGCGAAGAGCAATATAACGCGAAGAAAGTAGTGTCAATAAAGCGCAATCGAAGAGAGCGAGGAAGAAAACGTAGAAGCTCGGATTACGAATGGATTTGCAGCCACACGCGGAGAACGAGAAGAAGCACTTATCGACTCTTTGGGGACCAACGTGCGACTCGTACGACTGCATCGCCAAGGATGTTATGCTGCCGGAACTTGAAATCGGCGACTGGCTTTACTGGAAGGACATGGGCGCGTACACTACCTGCCTCTCTACCAACTTTAATGGCTTTACGCCTCCCGTAGTCTATCCGATAATGAGGAGGAGCGCATGGTAATCAGTTTTTAACGAGTACTCTCAGACTAGATAAATAAAAAACTCTTGTCGAGTGTCATTCGCTGGCTCCTTTTCCATTCAATCTTGTCGATTCAATACAATTCATTTCCTGTTGATTATTTAACACCAGGAACTCATTTCTTGCCGAGATTCACAAAGATGATGACAAACCAGTAGTATTAACGCAAATCGATGAAAATGGTAATCTCAACTATGGTAGCCGCGGTGACAAGTGTGATAGTAATTCGTAAGTCTCGTAATTTTCTTGCACTCCTGTTGCACATGCGCATGAGTAATGATGCCAATTTACGATTTCATTCAACAGAAATTACGTGTAGACACGCTTCCAAAAGTGTCTTTTACAAACTCTGATGGCCATTGTATTGCCATACTGCTGATGGAATAAATGGCTCGTTCAAATGCTACACATCGGATTTGCAAACATGGTATTATCAGAAATACTATTTATATTTTTGATCTTACTGTTATCTTACAATTTGATTAATAAATATTGATTTTTAATTATTTATCGTCGCATATTGCCTACTACTAATTTCTTCTAACTCCGTCCAGTCCTCTCCCGAAAGGATATTTATCATTTGTTAAAAAGTAGTAATTTCCTGACCTGGAATAAAATTAACGTTAGTTAATTATTAATATTTCATCGTTAAATTTGTTATATCGTTGTTGTTGTCTTCAATAACATCCTTTTTTTAATTGTTGTATAGCAGAAGGAAATGATTTTCATTCACACTCAAAGAAAAAGAATTTCACAATTTTTGAAAAATGTTATCAACTTACGAAACGTTTTTTGTCATAGCGTAGCCAAAATAAACTATTTCGTTATTGCTACAGCCACCTAGCCGGAATGATTTGTACGAGTTACATCGTACGGCCGGAAAAGCTGTATTGTTTACAACGGACTCCGCGTAAAAACGCCAGGATCTCCAATGGCTGCAGAGACCTGTTCGTGTTGAATTGATATTTAATCGAAATTAACATACGTATAGATATGATTTTGAATATACCTCTCGGTGAAAGTGGTACTCCAAAAAGCTGGCATCCCGGCTGCGGTCTACTTCCACCGTTTGCGAAAAAGTCAAGACTTCCGGTGGGAGGATATGCTCCGTAAAATCCACCATCCGTGTGAATTATATCCACGAGTTGACCACTTTTTTCGTTTATATGGTCGGTATTGAATTGATAGAACAAAGGATTCGCTGGGTCAAGGCCTACAACGACAATTTTCATTGAAATCTTTCCAAATGAGCACCCATTTTAACTGAATGTTGAATGAAGGCTTTGCTATCAAAAAGTGTTATTTAAATTTTCATCGTTATGCGGGTACTCTAACGATAAAATGAAGAATTAACAAAACAGTGAAGTTAAAATTAAATAAATCATACTTCAACAAAACGACCACAAATAACATATTTATATTTTAACTATTTTAATTTTAATCATACCTGTAACTCTGGATATTGTGAAATTAAGATATTGCCCCATGAAACCCGCTATGTGAGCTCCTAATGAATGGCCTACGACGTGTAAACTGTCATTCTTCATTCCAGCTTTCACCAAGTCAAGAATCGTATCTGAAGTATATCTTGCAATATCTTTGGTGCGTGTCGCTACAGAGATGTAATTTCCAAATGCAAAGGAACTCCAATCTAATACGATAATATTGTCTGATCCTCTTTGCAAATACGCTGATTGTTAACATACATGAGAATCACAAGGGATTCAAGTTTTAGTATAAGATAAATTAAATATTGCAAGAGTAGTCGTATAATTATTTTCATATTATGTTTGACGATGAGCTTTATAAAAAATAATTGCTGCAAGTTGAACGCGATAACTATTTCTTGAAGATTAATTAGATAAATAAATATACCTGATACTACAGTTTGAATACTTTCATTTAACGGATGTTCTTCATATCCATGAATGTAAAGGACTGATGGTTTGCTTATGTTCATGTATTTCATTAGTTCCCTTGACTGCTCAAATGTATAATTGTATGATGAAGTTGCATTTGAAGATCTATTGATTACAAATTTATAATTTGCAAATTCATGATCCACGAAAAAAATCAACCGAATATACGAATATTTATTATTTATAAAATGATTTAATTAAAAACAATGGATTTAATTTAAAAAATCTACTATAAAAATAGTGCTAAAACTATACTAGTCTAGCCTTCTTTTTTGATAAAATGATAGTGATCAAGTTGATTGTTTCGTCATTGGTAAGAAATTATCTCTATTATAATAAGTAATTAATTATTTCTTTATGTTTTCGATACCAACCCATTATAATACATCATTTTAAGCTCCTGCATTGCATTTGGAATCCTCTCGGCGCTTCCGGAAATACCTATGATTAAAATACAATGTATATAAAACTTTTAATTGGAATATATACGGCAAACTTAAGAAAAATGGATATGGATAAAGCTGAAAATATGAAATAATGCTGACAACTTTCAATTTTCATTCGTGATTGTTATATTAAAAAGAATCAAATAACAATATCTGCGTCAGTGTTTTTGCCGTTTTACAAATTAACTTGTTCAATCAATAGTTATTGCAACAAAAAATAAAAATATTTTGTAAAATGAATTCAAACAAAATTTCGTAAATAAGTAACGTAAAGTATATACGTAAAATAGCGATACAATACCAGCAGAAAAATTCATGCTTGAAAGGTTGAATAATAAACCTTTGACACATATTGAGTACAACACAACAAATGTATAAAAGTACAAGCAAATTGTCAACTTTCGCGTACACATAGTTCACAAACTTTTTCTTTTACAAACGCAAAACAAAAGGATCGACTACTATTCGATACGACGTAACCTATTTGATTGAGAGTATTATGTGACATTGACGACTATGTTTGTCGCTGAAAAAGAGACTTTTGCTCCCACCACAGAATAGTATTCGGCCATCTCTTACATTACGCTTCGGAAATTGGTCTTCTGTACAGGTAAAATCTTATTTATAGATTTCTATTCGGAATTCGCATTCATCGTGTATTATTATGAATTTCACACGAATGTATTACATTTTTCATTAAAATACTTTTCTGAATAGAAAAATTTAACAATAAATGCATACAAATATCCGTATAAAGTCAGTGTAAATTATCTCTTAAAACATGAAGCTAAACAGCAGCCGTTCAGTCAACTTTTTGATCACAATGTCCAGCAATTACAAATCCTTCAAATCTGATTCGATTTGAACAGAGTATATATCACAAAATTACCCTCTGTGCTCTTTATCTTATGTAGAATATATAAACAGATGTATACTCTATAGATTAGTGACTTCCGGCAGATTTTTACCGATAATTGACGAATTTAATCTAATTACGCGAAAGACGTTTTAATGAATCACTATAATGTCTACGAAAAAATATTATAACTCCATATCATTTGATTTTATGTTTTCGAGTTGAAGGAGTACACAGCCATTGATTTATTATTTGAAATAGCATTATAAAACGGCTACAGTTTTCTTGTTGGATAATATCAAATCGGACTCATATCGTGCATACAAACTTTTGACTATTGAAAAAAATTGATCAGACCTATTAACTATTAAAAATTGATTAAAAAACGTGATAGTAGGAAACTGGTATTACTAAACAATTGTAAATTAATTTTTTTATTTACAAAAGTTAGTTTTTAGATTTGATCACATTAAAATATAGATTGTTCTAATATTGTAGATATATAGTGCTCATCAAAATGATAAACTATGTTACTTTTTAATGAAATCAAACATTAAGCAATTATATTATAAAGTCAAGCAATTGAGGAAGTTCGAGAATGTAAGTTCGAATAGCGACCCCGAAAGCTTAAGTAGCTTTCTAAACTACACTTCTTCTTTCTTCTTCTTGAACTTTTGTAGAAGTTTGAATATTCAATTAAAGTAAACTAAAATATATCACATTAAAATGAAAATGCATGATAGGATGGTTGTTTCACTCCTATACTTTTATAAAAATGTTCAACTCATTAACAATAATTGTTTTCTAATTTATCGATTTTTGACAATAATTATAATCTTATAAAATCCATCTCGAATAGCACTTTGATACAATGAAAAATTGTTTATTTTTAATATTCATAAATACAATTTATGGCATTCATAAATAAGCATTTAAACAATAACGAGTTTCATTTTTTCATGGTTAAAGTTTTTATTAAACACGATATTATTACCAAGAACTGCTATTAATTTTCAATGTTATTGCTGTCGTACAAGTAGATTAATATATATTCATTTTTAATCTTCAATCTTTAAATATCTTTATCAATTTCTTCTGAATTCATTCAGCTTTGTCCCATAAGGATACCTGTTATTTGTTAAAAAATCGTAGTTTTATGATCGAAAATAAAATTAACGTGTATTTATTATAAATATGTACTTTAGAGCATCATTTTTTTTAATTTTTTGCTTAGCCTATGGAAATAATTTTCATTCAGACTGGAAAAAAACCTTCAAAATTTTTGAAAAATGTATCAACTTAAAACACGTTTCTCGTTATATCCAAAATAAACTATTTCGTTATTGTTATACCCACTTTACCGAAATGATTGGTATGTGTTTCACCGGCTGGAAAAACTGTATTGTTTACAACTGGTTCAGCATAAAAATGCTAGCCTCTCCTATGGATGCAAAAATGTATCATTTATGTGTCTGTGTAAAACCTTTGAAATTTTAAGTAAAAACTATTTCCAACGATGTAAGAAACACACTGAAAAGTTGACATCCCGACTGGTAGTAACAACCTTCGCGAAAAAAGCAACACTTCCAGTTAAAAAAGACATTTCATATAAAAGCCTCCATCTATATGAAGTACATTCACTAGTTGATTACTTTTCTCGTTTATGTTGTCGGCATTGAATTGATAAAAGAAGAATACGTTCGGTCAAGGCCTGTAACGACAATTATAATTGAAATCCTTCAAGCATGTCAGATAAGCTATAAAATAATCACGAATGAATCTTGAATGACAACTGTTGCAATAGTTTTATTATCAAAATGTGCGATATGCATTATGTTCTTGATACAGTTACTGTAATAATAAAATGAATAAAGAATTATAAAAATATAATATAGTAAAACTAACATGATTAGAATTTTAACATTTTATTTAAAAAAACAGATAATACAATTTAATTTTAATTATATCTGTAACTTTGGAAATTGTGAAATATAAGATATTTCGCCATGTAACCAGCTATATGAGCGCCGCAGGAACAGCTTACAACGTGCAGACTGTCATTCTTCATTTCTGCTTTTGTCCAGTAAAGAATCATATTTGCTGTAATATATCTTGAAATATCTGTGACACACGTGCTACAGAGATATAATTCCAAAAGCAAATGCATTCCTATTCAATACGATAATATTGATTGTTCCTATTTGTAGATAAGATAATTAATAAAAAATAAAGAAGATTAATAATTTAATTAGATTTTGCGAAACCCTATTAGCATTTAAAAATAAAATTGACAGTAGAACAGCCTACTTATGTCAATCACACCAACCTTTCGTAATCTATCATTTTCAACTTCTCCCTACAGCATTTGAAATACTTTTTAATGCTTCCAAAAGTATTTCTTTTTCCCGAAGACTACGCGATATATTTAGAAGATTTTATTTGAATATATAGGTTTTATTTATAAAAAAAAGAACTGAAAATTAAAAAATTATTGCAGTAAAAGCCTAAAATTTTAATTGTCCAATTTTTTCAGAATTCAGAATTTAATTTAAAAATTTTTTCAATCGTGAAACTTACATGTTAAAGAAACACAAAATTAACCTGTAAAAATTATTAGCGCCAAACTCATACAATTTAAAAAAACTATATATCAGTATGAAATATTTTCCTGAGTGGTAGAAATATTTTAAAAGTAAATTCAAAATTTTATAATAAGCGACATAAAATATTTACAAAGTAATGACACATTACCAACAAAAAAATTGTTGCTGGAAAGGTTGATAGATAAAGTTTGATTGACAAATAGTGTATACAAAACAAGAAACGTGTAAGAACACAACAAAATTATTCATTTTTGCGTATCTATATCTTAACTATCTACTATTCGATTCGACTATTTAATTCTGTATATGTGATATGAACCAGTTTGATAGTCACTGAAAAACTTTCGCTCTTGCAATAGAGGCTGATATTCGAACATTTTAGATGTGTACATACGTCGATAAAAAGGTTGTTTTTTATCCAAATAAAACAGTTTATGATACAGAAATTTTAGTCATCGTGATTTTAGGCATTGTGCTGTAATTTTATTATGGCACATTTGACATATTTAAATAATTTGGAACTGATTCTGCAATACTATAATTAATTTCTTTTTTATTGTAACATTTATTATACATAAGTCGATGAAAAAGCAACTAATAATTTGGTGTAATTTTATCATATCCCATACCTGTGTTTATATTTTATTTAATATTTTTTTAATTACATCAAATATTCTTAAAATTCTTATTTATTCAAATATGTCCACCTAAAAAGAAGTTTGTTTTTAAAATACCTGAAGGTAGAAATTTATAAAAAAGAAATACTGACTCTCTTGCCGTTTGACATATTCCAGGTGTGAGTTTTTCCCTTTCTTGGGCAATCTTCATTTCCTCAACATTTATAATGTCTTCGTAAGGCGATTCTAATTTCAAAGAATCACGAATCTGAAAACCATAATTATTTTACATTGGTTTCCTATAAATTAATTATACATTTATAAATATCCTCCTGTCTAATAATGAAGAAGAATGATTCAAAATATTTAATGTTCTTTTTTCATAAATAGTGAAAATCTTGCTTTTACAGACTGTATTATTTTTAAATTGTATATATTAACTAAAAATCTAATTGTAAGTACTCTACACTTACTTGTTCCACTTTTTTCAAGACTCTAATGAGATTTCTTCCTGCAAGTTTTTCCAAATCGTCTCTGTTCCAGTCTGGCTCACCTTTTTTACTATCATAAAGCCGATCGAACAGCGCAGGATATTTTGAGACATCCTCAAGACCTTCAGGAGTACTACAAAATAATTATAAATGTACAAAAAATATCAATTTATAAAATTAAGTTAAAGCTGAATCAATATTGTGAATACTTAAATGATGTAATCTATAAAGAAAAATATTTTTGAAATGATAATTAGCTTGTTATAAAATAAATGTTTAAAAAACTTATGAATTATTCGTTTGTATTAGATCTGAAGTCTACCTATTAATATCACAATATTCGTGAAAAATCAACACTTCCAGTTAAAAAAGACATTTCATAAAAACCTCTATCTATATGAAGTACATTCACAAGTTAAAAATTTACTAATTTATATTAATTAGATTAAATAGATTAAATTTTTCACGTTTAATTTTTTTACCTAGGCACTCCGTTATAGTCTGCACCAATTCCAACATGATCCACGCCAATCAATTTTGTAATATAATTTATATGATCTGAAAGTATATTAATTTATATGATTATCTTTTTTATTAACTATAAATTTATCATTCTATTGCATTAAAACTGTATTGAAAAATGAGAAAGTTTGAAACAGCCGACATAATAATCGTAATATCCAAGCGTAGTACAATATTGAACTGAAAGTAGAAATAACTATAATTAATATTGATTTTTACCAACGACATCGTCTAACGTGGAATTTCTCGATTTGTTACAATTCACAAATCCATTGTAAAAATTAACCATTACAATTCCGTTATTGGATTTCTGCAAGTAAAATAATTTATCCAAATACACCTGTAATAAAATAATTATTAAAATAATTGAGTTAAACTTACTACTTGTCGCAGAACGTCATCTGGAACATTTCTGTGATGATTACAGAGAGCAAACACCGATGAGTGAGAAAAAATAACTGGAGATTTGGTCACAGCAAGTACATCACACATCACATTGTGTGACACATGTGACAAATCAATTAACATACCCAGTCGATTCATCTCCCAAACAATTAACTGTGTAAAATGTTTAGTATCATTTTATAGTTATGGTACGAAATCATGTTAACACAATTTACTATTTAAATGTACCATGCATCGATTAATTATATAATATTTAAAAGTTATTTCAAATATAAAAAAAATCTTACGAAAACTATAGCAGTATATAGCAATAAGTATGAAAATTTTAATCTTTGATAAAGTAAACGATTACAATTAATTCTGTAAAATTATAAAAATGTTACTATTGACCTTTCCAAAGTCAGTCAAATTATTCACAGGCTTATTAATTGTAGGTGATCCATCTGCCCTGAAAAAATATGATGAGAAATTAGTGAATCTTAAATGAAATCAGAATAACAGTAAAAATACAATAATTCATTGTTAAGCTTAAAACATAGTAAAAATTATTTTCGGTTTTTCAATGTCGGCGAAAAACTTTCACATTTGCCTTAAATTTTAGCTATACAAATTTCTAAGTATATTATGCAACATAAATGTGCCACATACCTAATTTTGAAATACATATAGTAATCTTTAAACACTGATTTTACATGAACGCAAACGTAACGAGCTGTAAGAAGTTTTTTGTGCTATGTTTATAAGAATATAATCTTCAAAGTTTAGCATTTTACTTAACAAGTGTGCACACACGCGCGCATGTGTGCATGTCACGGATATTTGAATATTTATAAAAATTAAATAACTCAACTTAACAAAAATGCACTTGATAAAAAAGTTCAATGTACACGTTGATTACTTCATACTTATAATGAATGATCTTGTTAAATTTAGATTTTAATATTAGATTGTCAAATTATTACCATGGTGTGTTGCAAGTATGGGTCAACGTAATATAACGTACTCCAAGCTCATAGTAGAGCCGTAAAATAGCCAAGCTAGAATCTAATGAATGTCCACCTTCAACACCAATCATGGAACCAATTTTTCCTTTCCTCCAAACTTTTTCAATATTATCTGCTTCAGTCACAAATTCGAGCTCATCAGAATATTTCTGCACCAATCTTTTGATAACGTCGATCTGTCTTAATGTTAACTGCACTGCATCTTTGTACTGAGAATTACAGCTGACATATGCTGACCAAAACTGTAAATGTAATGATAAAGAAGTATAATGACACTTAACTCAATTAAGTTGAGGCTTTAATATTATAAATATACTAGCACAATGAAAAAATGATCAATAGTTCGATACTATAAGCTATTGGTTTTTGCTTTTTTTGTAAATGTTCTCAATGAAATGAATTAGTATTGTATAAATAATAAAAATTTTTAAATACTACCGTTATAAACTTTTGAATGAATGATTTTATTATTATATATACCTGCGCTCCTACTTTGCCAGCTCTCAATCGCGGTAGGTCGGTCATACATTCTTTACAGGCGTCTTTTCCCCAAATACGGTCATTAGTCAAATTTCTTTTAAAATCAAATTCTTTGAGGTCATTATTTGTTATTTCATAGATAGTAAATGGTAGATCGTTATGCCTATCAAGAAATATAAATATATCGGTCTAACAATGAAAGACTATTGCATAGATAATTGATAATTTCAATCACTTACCCATCTATCAAAGGAGCGAATTTGAGAGCATCGCTGCCTTTTGTGAAATCACTCACGGGAACTCCTAACGATATCCCAAGATATGTTGATACAATTGCGATAATAATAATATACATGATGTCTGTTGAGAGAAGAAAATAAGTTTATTTTTACTAAATTCTTAAAATATTGTTGATGTGATACTAGCCTGCGTAACGATTAACGCTTGATTACATACGATGAAATTAAAAATACTGGTGTTTATCAATTAAACTACAAAGTATTATCACCATAAATTTGTTTTTCAAATCCATTACAAAAGTGCTTTATTTTATAAAAATAAAACATTTAATTTATTTATAATTATTAATAAATTAATTTATATGTAAATGTTAGAAGCAAAAGCTTTATCAAACTTACATAGTCACAACTTAACAAGTGTCATGTTTGCCATTGTTAATAGTTTATATTTTGTTTGGAAATTAACAAAAATTTAATTTATATTATTTGTGGAAACGGCATTAATGAAAAATTTTAAATACATTTACAAATGTCTCGGAAAAAGACTGGAGAGGTGCGTAGGTAAGTTCTATATTAATGTAAACATAATAAATGTACTACGAGAATCTTAAGAAATGGATTATATGTACTATATTTATTGTTGGGCTTTACAGTTAAAGAAAAAAAAATAACATACCACGTTGCTCTCTCTTTCATCCGTTATAAAGGCAGTTCACTCTGGAAGTTACGATAGTATACTGACAGTAAAAGCCAAGACGAACGCAAATAAAGATAAAGAACTCTAAACTGAAGCAATATATATGTCCAGGAGAACTACACATGGGATTGTAATTTCCATCCACGTGTTTCATTGGTACAAAGGAATTAAGGCAAAATGAACGCGGTATTAGTCATAGATAAGAGCAGGTTTTAATAAATGTTGTCACATTTTAATATTATCAGTATGACAAATAGATAATATCATTACGTAATCTTTATGTACAATTTTATCCTAAAGCAGATTTATTATGCAGCTCTTATCTTAATAATTTGTCAATTCAAATGATCCTTTACATTCAATTATACCAAACATTTCATTCAAAAATTCACGCTTTTTAATTAAAAAATTTTTTCATCAAATAATGATTAAAATATATCATTGAATTCTTTTTTGAATTAAGCTCTACAGATGAATTTTTCAATGTATTTATAGTTTTAGGGCAATAATTATAATAATTATTCATACAGTTTGTTTAGTAAATAGTTGTATTAATTTTTTTAATAATATTACAGTCAAATTATCAAGCTTTTTTTAAGTTTCGCTATTTTATTTATAGAGACAATGACTATTTCTGATGGACACCAATAGATAGAAAAAATCAATCTATTTTGAAACATTAACGAAATATCATACTATCATATCACATCTGTAGAGGGCACTTTATCCAGCAAACAGGTTATATATGGTACGACGTGACGTATCTCTATGTATATATACGTATTATGCAAGCATATTTACAATCAAATTTACAATAAACATTAAACAAACATTAACAATAAAATTTACAATCATTCAAACAATCCTGTGTTTGAATGTTTTGGTATTGATAGTTTTGATTATTATTTATTGTTTGTAAATTTTACTAATTGAGAGATTTAGAGATTTGGAGTACAACATTTCAATATAATAAACGTTAAGATTATTATATGTTAAACATATATATGCTTGTGTGTCAGCGCTGACGATTTTTTTTATGGAAAAGATATTGTTTGTTCGTTTGGAATACCTTGACGTAAGTTACAATGATTTAAGGATGAGAACTTTGAGTATTTTAAATAATAAAAAAGTATCTGTATAATCTTTATTTAATTTATTTTAAAATAAGATTTCTCTTCAGAATATGCCGTTGAAAATCATTGTCGTTTTTGTTAAATAGGTTATAAGTTTCGAGACAAATCATGACAGTTTCAAATAAATAAGTACAAGTGGTTGTTTTCAAGACAATATTCGAATAACGATAATTGTACTTATTTTTTGATTTTCTAACACCAAACGTCGCTGATATTACTTCTCATTGTTTTGGTATAAAAGACTGAACATAACTTTACCATTGAAGCCCTTAACATTGTTTATTACTGATCAGACAACTATTATTCCAACTGCAAGATTTTGTCGTAGTTCTCCTATATATTTTAAAGAATTATTTCCAACATGAGGTGTACTAAATTGGTTTATTTAGTTATTTTATTGTGCAGTTGAATATGCATTTAAATTTATTTTGACTTCAGTTATATAAGTTCTATTACAAATAATAAGTCCAAAATATGCGATAATAATTTCATAAAATCTACTGGAATTCTTTAATAGAGTTTTTATAGATCATTTATATTAATATCATGATAACAAGATCCGTCTTCATATGCAAGTCCTTTGAATTCAATTGAAATTCATGTTAATGTGTGATTTCTAATTTTTAAAGTGTAAATCAAATCAATATTTTTTAAAGCTTTATCAATGTACCTCTAAAACCTGGATGTTGAAAATTTAATTATATGACATACATCTCTAAATCGACAAAATATTTTATCATTTATTAATCATAATTAGAGTTAACAATTTCTAACGAAATACTTGATTCTTTCATATGTCAATCACTCAATTATTGCAATTGTCAAACATATTTGATAAAAATCTTTTATCTGCATATAAATATTTTCTAAGAACCTCTAATATAATTCTATTTTCAATTAAATTACAAAAACTAATTTATTATTTTTAAATAAAGTATTTTGTTTTCAGATAAAAAAATTTATTTTGTTTTCAGAAAATCATGACATCAGAAGCTGTTTACAACTTTCTAAAAATTCAAAATAGGCCTTATAGTGCAAATGATGTATCAGCTGCTTTGGATAAAGAAAAACATTCTAAAAGTGCTGTGCAAAAGGCATTAGACAAACTTGTAGATAATGAAAAAATTTTTGTCAAGGTAAAAAAAAACTTGTTGAAATGGATTTATCTACTATGTAGCATAAAAACTAATCAATATTTTTAATTGTACAGGTAAATGGTAAACAGAAAGTGTACTGTATTGCTAGTGAAGGCAAGCAAAATTTGGATGAATTGAAAAAAATTGAAAGAGAGTTACAGGCACATTCAAATGAACAATTAAAAAAGTTACCAGAGTTACAGAAAGAAGTTGGATCTCAAGAAGCTCTTCTGAATTCTCTTAAATGTGGCATGAGCTTTGAAGAAGCAGAAAAAGAATTGCATCGATTACAAGAAAGCAACCAAAAATTATCACAAAAATTAGATGAATTAATGGAATCTTCAGGAACTGAAAATTTAGGTGAAGTTAAGAAAAAAGCTGAAAGTAATCTAAATCTTTACACTCGTGAGTACAACAAAAGAAAAAGAATTTGTAATGAAATACTTGATTGTATCTTAGAAAATTATCCAGGAAGTAAAAAACAATTGTATTCAGAAATCGGAATTACTGAAGTATGATAGTTTTTCAATTGTCGCAATTTAAATTGAATGCCATAATATATAACAAACAAGTTTTCAGTAACTAAACTGTTAACTAGAATGATTTAAATAATTTTATTTCATTTTTTTTATTCCTTCTCGATTATTTATAATCTGTCATACATAATCAGACAATAAGTAAATTTGGTTACAGTTTAGATATAGATTACATGAGTTAACACAGCGGTTCTATTGAGCACTCTATCCTAGTTTTAATTGATGCATTTAAATTATAATATATCGACTAAAAATAATTAAAAGTATGAAGAGGTATATTTTTATCATATTACATTTCACACCGCGATAATGAAGAGGTGTTACAATTTACAAAATATTATAGTATTTATTTTTTATAAAGAAATATATTTCAATTTATATGCTACTGTGTAGCAAACATTATTTAAAAAAATAAATATATTAAAGAAATAAGTACTGAATGCTTTGTGTTTTGATTTTTTCACATTCCTACTTATAGTGATATTGATGGTTCATTCTTGAAAAAGTTTTATGCAAAATGATGTATCATTATTGATTTAAAATAATAATTAAATTGCATAAGTATTCATTAAGTATATTAGTAAAAACAATTTATATTATTAAGTCATAAACGTCTTTATCAATGCAATAGATAATTTCAATAGATGACATGCTTCCATATGAATGTTACCTATGCAATTATGCAATATGCAATTATGCCAGCAAAATTGGATTTTACTTTTGGGGATTAAATAGCCCAATCAATAACTATCGATCAGTCGATTTAGTACTGTCGATCTATCGATTATATGTGTGTGTGTGTCCATCTGTCATTTGTCAATTAATATATTAGGGGATGATTCTAATACACGTACATAGACACACATACTGCCACATGATGGTAACTATGGAAACTACCTTTCTGCCAATGAGATCATAAATAAAATGCGTTCACTTGGCAGACCATCACTTTTTATATAGGGAAAAAAAAATATTATATTTAAATTAATATTTATTGTGATACGCACTTACATATTTCTTAATCAAAAGTCATCGAAAACAAAAATGTATTAAGTTTTACTTCATATCTCAACTAATGAATTATTTATTGGCTTGCATACATTGTGATGTGTGACTTCTGGTCTGCAAATGTGCCCAAATTCTATAGATTGATTTAAAAAACTAAATATTAACTTTGAAACATGATTCAATTTTTCCTGAATCACTGATGGCAGAATAATAAATATATTATTCTCAATTATTCATATTATTGTCAATTCTAAGTAAAATAATACTTCTTACTTTTTATTCATTGAACGGTTCGTAAAATTTCATATCACGGAGTTGACGTAAACTTTAATTGATATTCATAGATTTCAGACGAAAATAGGCGTTGATGTAGCCTTAGGGTGGACCTTTCAGTACCACAGGTGTCTGATAATTGCCGTCTTAATAAGTATGAACGTCATTTAATCATACCTGAAACATTACTTTTTTTTTAATTTCAACAATTATAGCATGTAAATAATCCTTATTCAATGTCAGTTCTAATCGCAAATAATATAAAATAAGCGCATAAATTCTCTAAGCGCGTGACACCAAAAGGTTGAAAATAATCTCTGGTAGCAGCATACACTGCAGTATCTTTGTCTAATTTAATTAATTACGTGCAAAATATGTCATATATTTTCCGAAGGTTTCGAGTTGTAATTTATAGAAGGCAAACGAGATTTTCTTATGCGATAATCATCTCTCTCGTGAACAATTTCCACAATTTCGTACTCTGAAACGAAAAGTGAAATATTATCTCTTTTTAAAAATATGTATGCTGAACAAAATAAGGATGGGCAGTTTAACAAACTTATTAGAAAAAGTAAATATTTCTTGTTTTGTTTTGTTTTGATAAATTGTAGTTATTTGGTTATTTTTAGTTATTATACACTGATTTATTAAGTTATCGCATTATATACGTTTAGTTGCACTTGGAGCATGAACGAACCTTGTCGTCTGACAAATACTCTTGAATCTGTAAAAGAACTCTTTATTAATGGACCGTTAATAACGTCTATTTTCACACAGTGAACGAAAAGAATTTGTTTGAGACTAATCATTAGAAGAATATTTTTCAAGCAGTTCAGAAGCATAGCCGAATATACAATGATATAGTGCATATTGAAGATATACATTTTATTGAAAGAAGTTCAATACGAATTACAATCGTTTAAAATTGTTATGAGGCGCCTGGTAATCACTGATATTAGAATTCGATTAACTTAAATTTTGGTTTACTTATCACGCCGTTCCTTCAACGTCATACTTTTTGGCATTATGGCTTTTTGAACAGTTAAACACTTGTGTATGTAGTAATTATCTCCAAGGCATACATGCGTGATTATAATTCGTGAAAATATATTGGATTTGTTCATCCAGAATTTCGGATCACATTGACATGCTACTTAATAATTGTTAAATGTAACAGTTTTGATAATGAAACAGATTTAATGATGATATAGTTTGAATTATATTTTTTTAAATATATTTGTTGAAATTTTTTTTTTGATCTTGTATTATAATACATCATAGTTGATTAAAATTTCTCTGATTATATATGTCTAATTATTTTATATACAACTTATAGTTGAATTATTTGAGTGTCACAAGCACATCGTAATTCGTATTGATCTTTCTAATGCTTTCATACTTTGTACTTCGTGCAAAGAAAGTGAGAAATAATAGATAATTTAGTATGCTTAGCTTGTCGCAACGAATCAATCTTTTACCAATATTGATTAAAAAAAAAACTATTTAATTTATTTTACTTTCCTGGAGCTAAATTGAGGCTACTCAAACAGAAACCCTATCGCAAAATAATCTTCAATAATATAACTCAATACATTTTCTTTGACTCGGAAAAAAATTATTTACCGACTCTCGGGGATATAGTCTTATTAAGCCAATTAAAATAGAATAAATATATGCCTTGGAGTAGTAAAATTAAAACAAATATGTATTTTAGAAAAGTTAAGCTTCATTTCATATTTTTCTTTCATTTTAATTTATTTTACTCAGAGTCGCATAATTATTGCTTGATGTTTTTACGATTTGGAATTTTGAAGTATTCTCACGAATTCAAATGTACTGTGTCATTTCTTCTTACTCATAGAAAATCGTATTTGGCACCGAATAATTTTTGATAAGGAAAAAATCAATCTAAAATCAGAAAGCTAGATATTTACGAGCTAAAATAGAATTAAAAGCGTAATGATTCATACCAGTAAATTAGGCCATCTATCAAAAGGTTCAGTAGCTTGGAATAACTTATGCAATAATATCAGTTTGATTTGTTCAGTTCGTTATATACAGGGTGTCCAAAAAGTAACGAATCAAGGAAATAACTTTCCAGGTAGCAAAGCTTTTGCGAAGGTCAAGGTCGTTTTAGGACTAACTTTCGACGAGGAGCTTAACCTCAAGGTCATTTAGCTTCATCAAGGTATGGCTCCACGCCGTTGTCCCTGGGTGACGCTAAATGTAATAATAAAATTGGTGTCAAAAGTAGTGGTTTCCATTTAAAAAAAAAGTTGACCTCCAAATGACCTTGACATTGAGGTTGAAGGTCAAATCCAAGGTCACCATCGAATTCCTCGTCGAAAGTTAGTCCTAAAACAACCTTGAGCTTCGCAAAAGCTTTGCTACCTGGAAAGTTATTTCCTTGATTCGTTACTTTTTGGACGCCCTGTATGTTATTTTACATAAAATTTAATTAAAATGCAGACAGTGATGTAGCAAACAAACAAACGAAAAAGTCAGGTAAATTTTCCGAAAGAAATCTGGTCGAAGGACTGAAATGTTTCGCTCTGCACACTGGTCTCCACGGCCTTAAATATACGCAGGATAAAACTTTATACAAAATTGAGCGTATCTTTTGGGCGTTACTTTGTCTTATAGGACTTTGTTTTTGCTCAAACATCATAATCCAATTGTATGCCCAGTTTCAAGTGAGTATTCCAATTGAAAACAATTTTTCTTGTATTTTGCTTGAGCACACCTGAAAGAGATTTTCCACGAAGGCAGAGTATACCGTTATTAACATAGCCAAAGTTAATCACGCTATCGACGAAGTTCCTTTTCCGAGTGTTACTTTCTGTTCTGACACTATCGTCGATTGGAATAAGGCAATTCAAGCTGTAGATAATTTAACGCATTCTAAAGTAATTCACAAAAATAACACTTCCGCGCTTATAAAGATCCTGAAAGAAATTTCGAAATTACGATTCTTACATCTAAATGAATTAAAGATTGACATTGATCAGTCAACTCTGCACTCTCTTAAAGGTAATAATATTGAAAATACGATGAATATCATTCAGTACTTATGATATTTGACAAATCGATAATTAATGTTTTGTAGATGTAGATTTGACTTATTTATTATACAAAGCAATGCCGAGCTGTGAGCAGCTTTTTTTCAATTGTTCATGGAGTTATCAGAAAATAAGTTGCTGTGATTTGTTCGAAACCCAAAAGACCGTCTTTGGATTTTGTTATTCTTTTAATTCTCTAACTTCTATAAGCCATAAATACAAGAGTGATGAAGATTTATTCAACTCTCATAATTATGGCATCCGCGGAGGCTTAGAATTTTCAGCGAGATATGATAATATTTCTTATTCACCAGACGCCAAAGGTATAAAAATGCTTTGATATTATACTTGTTATATATAGCTGGAGTGTATATATCAACTGTTCTTTCAAGAAAGAGACACTGCTCTTTTGATGATATCTCCTCCGAATATGCATCCATCAAAAGCTCGTAAAATTAGATTAAGAAGAAAATACAATGTGAATATACAGTTTATGTGTGTAACCGCTTCTTCTGAAGTAATTCAACAAGAGAATTCCAAAGACAAGTTCGTGTGTAAATACGAAAATAATACATATAATTATAAAGCATGTTTAGATTCGTGCGAAAAGACACAGCTTATTAATATGTGTGAGTGTAATCCAACTTTCTTGTATCCAATCAACGGTTTGTATTATTCGAGTATTAAGATGTTGTGGTTTAAATATCCCCTAATGGCTATTTAAACCCACTCTATTAACGATCTTTTAATACATCGATATCTTAATGTAAGTCATATTTGCACCAACATTTAGCTAGTCATCGCGAATGTAAAATTGAAGACCTTACGTGCCTGACAAAGAAAACTGGTAAGCGAACGTTTTGGAATCACGCGGATATATATTAACAATTGAATAATTAACAATTAAGGCGTAAAATTCTTTATTCTTTTTACTAAATACGAAGATAAACAGGTCAACTCGTGTGTTTGTTTAAAAGACTGCAAGTACTGCTATTACGATGACGAACCAACAAGACTTGACTTTGATGAAAATGTCATTTCCATAGATGTACATTACGATAGCCCAACAGGAATGCTTTATAGAAAAGAATTGGTTGCTTCAGATTTAGATTTACTAGGTAATTAGCGAAGAATAATTCATCAACTACAACGATTCTACTTGATGATACGCATTTCAATATTTTTTCTACAATTGAATTTGAATATATATTGTGTCAAATTATACTCTTTTTCCAGTGCAGTTCGGTGGTATCTTTGGCTTGTTTCTTGGTGGTTCATTGATAACCGTAATAGAATTCATATATTACTGTTTTGTTGGTACTATCGTCTCTATTTTTCAAATTTTCATTAAATTGAAAAATAAAAACAAAATGGCATTCAACAATACGACTTGATCAAGGTGATGCATGCGACATTCTTAGACTGGCAATTCTCATCTAATGATGATTAAATATATATTGTGTTTAAATATAAATGCTATTGAAAATGATCTACTACAGGTAACCAACCGAATGTCGTATCATGATACTACGAAATTGTCTATTAATGAAATCATTTGCTCTTGTTATCAATTAGGTTATAGTTATTTACAAATATTCGCTTACAACTTCTGTCAAATGTGACAATATAGCTTAGTGATTGTCTTATATTAAAATTAATGTAATTATATTTGTATAACTTTTCACTAGATTACTATTAACTAATAGTATACTCGAAGTGATGCATTTCTTAATTACATCACGTATATTTATGTATATACTACATACAATAAAAGTGAATTATAGACAAAAATTATTATAGCGTAAATTGAATTTTTGAATTAACCGGAAAGAGCTGAAGCTCATAAATCTCAATCGAGTTGAGCGCCAATCACTTACGCATGCGCAGTCGTGAGTTACACTTTTCTGCTGGCTCCCCTTGGTCTTTTGACACCCTTGTAAAATAGTTATAATTAAATTCGTAAGTGAATAATTAATATATTTACATTGAAGTACGACAAATTCATTCTTATTCGTCATATTTTTCTGTGTACATTTAGTAATTTATACTAATTTTATAGAGCTCGTTGATTGTATCCAATAGTAGGGTTATCAAATTCATACATACCACTTGTGATGTAACATTATTCGTATATCGTAAATATATAAAATTAATAACTTCAGTTTATTAATGTTTTTAGTAAACATGGCCACTATTACCCGTTCGTTACGCCCATTGTTGAGGTGCGCTCGCACACAAAAGAGATTTTATGCTGATGCTCCTGCAGCAGATCAAATGAAATTTACATTTGCTGGTGCTAACCAGGTATAATGATACTATATAATTATTTCATTTTTTAAGTTATTATTTTATTTATGAACCATGTTGTTTTAGGTATTTTATGACCAAGCTGTCATTAAACAAGTAGATGTACCATCATTTTCTGGTTCTTTTGGTATCTTACCCAAACATGTTCCTACTCTTGCTGTTCTGAAACCTGGTGTTGTTACAGTTTATGAACAAAGTGGAGATACGAAAAAAATCTTTGTATCCTCGGGTACTGTTACAATCAATGAAGATTCTAGTGTGCAGGTGAGAAAACTTACATTTCTAGTTTATTGTTGATAGTTTATTTTCATGATAGATTATTTCTTGGAAGCTTATCTGAATTTCATTGTAAAATTACCTTGGTTTTTGATATTTTAATTTTTAAAATGCAATTAGTTACAATAATAATATAGAAAAAATTTCGTTCTTGTTAAATATAAATGTATATATAATGGCTTTTATTCAACTATTTGCTATGTAATCTCAAAATTAATTTATCTTATGTAAAATTAAACATTTTTATTTATTATAATCTAGTATAATACTCAGTGAGAATAGTAGGGTCATTTTTACCATGTAGTTTTTAACATAAATATTACTAGTCAAAAGTTAAATGTTAAAGGTACAATAAATCTTTTTAGGTTCTAGCAGAAGAAGCTCATCCTGTAGAAGCATTAGACAATTCTGCGGCAAAAGATCTTCTCAGCAAAGCACAGCAACAGTTATCATCTGCTTCTTCTGATAAAGACAAAGCAGAAGCTGCAATTGCAGTTGAAGTTGCTGAAGCTTTAGTGCAAGCTTCATCATAAATTTAATTTATACTAAAAAATTATAATTATACAAAATGTAAAAATAATGTTTTGTTGTATTTCATTTTTAGAAACTTTTAATGTAAAATAGATGTCATACAAAATACGACATTAAAAGGAAAAATCATAATAAAAGCTTAAATTAAAGAAAATGGGAAAGGATTTATTTAAACATATGGAAAATATAAAAGCCAGTATTTATTAGACATGTTAAAGCAAGTTATATTATGTCTGAACACTTTTCATATGTAAATCTAACATTTAGATTTAATAACGTTTATTAAAAATAGAAAATCATTCAGGCTGTTATATTGTATCAACAAACACGATTATAAACATGTATATAAGATAACTTTTTTTACAAACATTAAGTTTTTTTATGAAATTAGAATTGCACATTTCATTCAATGAAAAACTTTAAGCACTATATAGTGCCATATAACAAGTGAAAAAAATATATTTGATTTCTGTAAAAATGAAATCAAATCCTTAGCCTTTGGCACTTCATCACCGTAGATAAACAATTTAAATTAAGAGTTTTTCCAGTCAACATTTTTAAGACTAAGAATATTTGGTAAAACATCATATAGTTTAACTATTTACTTGATATAACAAGTATCATTATAATATAAAACACATTAATGATTATTTTTTCGCAAACAACAAATACTTCTATTAGTTGATTTAAATGTAGTTATTGCATAAATAAAAGTTACATTAATATTGCTTTATATATTAATGCTTAATATAATTAAAAAAAATAAAATATCCTGTAAAGGATTCAAAGCTCTCAGTTCTCTATGAAAACGAAGTTTTATACTTTTTTGCACACAATGTGCACTTAATATTTAGTGCAAAGTAACAATTCTGTTACAGACTAGTTTGTTCTTCACTGATTGCCTGCTATCTGACTCATTAATGAAGGTGAAATTAACATACTTGGTTTGTTTATAGAACTACTCTTACAGCATCCTGTACTATTGGCGCTTGTTTTTTTGCAACATGTATTGAATACTTCTTGCAATTCCCGTAAAGTTTTTATACAAATGACAACACAGCACGATCCGCAACTATTCTGGCTATCACAACAACATTTGCTTTTAAAAGATGAAACTATGTCTGTTACCTTTAATTGCTTTGATTCATTTTTCTTAATTTCTTGTATTTTCTCTTGATCTCTACTGGAAGTACCAGGACAGCTCTGACAGTTATTTCCTTCACTATCACATTTGCAATTAGAGCATCTGCATATTCCAGCATCAGCTGTAATTTCATGCAATATATTTCTTGATGGTTCAATTCTATCTGGTTGACCTTGTGAACAGTAACTCTTCTGATATTCGGCATAATTCATTATAATCTCAGCATTTCCATCAGTAAGGTTTTCTGTATCTACCAAATTAACTGTTTCTAGCACAGGTGGATTTTGAAGCCCATTTTTCAGTTCTAATGGATATGGTTCTGGTCCAAGTAAATTTACTAATGAGTGAACAGCTGTTGGTAAAGCATTTGTTTCTGTCCATGTAGACTCTGTTCGAATAGCTGGTATCGTTGCAGGAGCTACTATTTTTTCTGTTAATTCACTTGTTAATGAATTGATATCAATCCATGGCGATTGTCTTTCTTCTTCGGATGCTAATGCTAATTCTAAAGCGTGCGATTCATTACTAATTACTGAATCAGTTGCTATTGTATGTGACACATTTTGAATAGATGTTCCATTTCCAAGAGCTGTATTATTCTCCAAAGATATTTTACTAATATTATCTGCAATATTTAAGACTGGCGGTATCTGACTAGATAATGGATCATACAAAATAGTATTCTCACAATTATTCAATGTTGTATTCATTAAATTTATCATTGGTTTATCTAAATAGTTATCGGCTTTGGTCATTGAAATTGTTTGATTTTTTAAGTTATCTGTAAGATTAGCTTGCTGTGTATTTGAAGTACAAACATTTAAATGATCCAAAACAACATTTTGGCTTTGTAAAATCGAATCATTATTTTCATTAAGTATCTGATTAGTCTCATGGCAATTGTTTTGAATATTATTAAATAATTTTATATGATTATAGTCTAAATCAGTATCAAAACTATTCATAGAAGTATCATTATTTTTGTTCTGTTTAGTATTCGAATCATTATAAATACTTAAGGGGTTAGATTCTTGTTGATGTAAAATGTTAATTACTGAATTATCATTATTGTTGATAATATTCTGTACTTGAATATTTGTAATATTATCATTGGTTTGCATTGTAGGTGAGGATTCATAAGGAGAATAAAGTACTATTGCAACAGGAACTTCATGTAACACCGGCTCTAAATTATCATTTCCATTGTTTTCAGAAATAGTTTCTACCTTCCCATGACTTTCTTTTCCCCCGCTGTTTGAATTATCCTCATTTTTATTCTAAAAAAAAGACATTAATTTAAATTCAGCCACATCGTCGAAAAAAAAAAACTAAAATTTAATTACATCATCTGATGTTGAAGACGTTTTTTTATGAGTTTTTAAGTGACTTTTCAAGCTGTGAGGTGTGGTAAATGATCTTTTACAATGACCATGTGTGCAAATATACGGACGTTCACCAGTATGTGTTCTTTTATGAGTTTTCAAATGGTGAGAAGCAGTAAATGCTTTTCCACAACCTTTTTCTCTGCACCTTAAATTATAAGAGTTGTTAGAAAAAGAATTAAATAATGTGAATTGAAATATTACATACATAATCTATTTTTCAGAAATTGAAATTTATGTATGTGTGAATTCTAATCACGATGTCTGTACTTATTGTAACACAGTATTGCATTATAGTGCTTATTTAATCAGAATATTTTTTGAAATGTATAAGTTGAAATATTAATGAATGGTCGTGCGAAATACAGGTAAAAACATACTTGTATGGTCTTTCTTGAGTGTGAGTGCGTATATGTTTCTTGAGATCACTAAGTGTTGTAAAGAATTTTACACATCCTGTTTCTTCGCAGTTGAAAGTATTACCACTGTGAAGTCTTTGATGAGCTCTTAGTCTGTATAAGGTATTAAATGCTTTCTCGCACCCATTGTGATTACATTCAAATGGTTTAACTTTTGTGTGTACTCTAATGTGAATTTTTAAACTGTATGAAGTTAAAAATGCTTTTCCACAGCTTGGTTCTGAACATTTAAATCGATACTCCCCTGAAAATTGAGAGATATTCATATTATGCTATTCACTTTATTGTTATTACTAATTAATAAACGGAGTATTTTGAAATATAACTAACTTTGAACAAAAGTGTTTCAATCAAAATGGTGCAATGTGAGTTTTTATTATTCTATTCAATAATAAAATGGTGTTAGGGAAAAAAACATTCATTATGAGCAACTTACCAATAATGTTAGCCTTTGATTATGCATAATGGGAAAGATATATAGAAGTTAGTAAAAAAAAATTAGAATCAATCAGAAATTATTATATGGTGGCATTTACTACCAATAATTGATAAAAAAAGAATAAAAATATTACATTTTCACCAACCTTTATGTGTTTTCATATGTGTTCTTAAATTACCAACTGTACTGTAAGTACGTGAGCACCCATCATATTCACAATTATATCGACTGATGTGTTTTTGATTAGTATCTGGATCTGTAGATTCAATTGTAATTACAGCATGAGATGGATCTTCAGGCATAGAGTTATTGTTTCCTGGATGTATCCGCATGTAGATTTCATCAGAACTGATTGTATGGTGAATATATCTAAGAAATAAAAGTTTAATTTTTAATTATAATAATGAAATTATTCAACATATTGGATCATAGACAAGATATTAATGATTCAACGTACGAATGAGAATCAATATTAAATTAACTAAGTTGCACAGATTTAACTTTATAATGTACTTAATTGACTTATGGGTCTCTTTCATCAATTGTGTATTAGGTTATTGTTAGAATAAAAATATTTTTTTTTGTGTAATAGGTTTTGTAATATTTTATAATTGATATGAATATCTTAATGTAGCAGATTGATATATTGAAAATTAATTTTAATAAACTAATCTGATGACTATAAAAGTATTTGTAAACAATCATCTATTATAAATTAACGAAAACGATCTGTAAATTTGGTAGGTCTAATTTCAAATCTGGTAATGCCCTTATATGGGAAGGCCAAAAAAAACGTAAAGTATATGTATAAAGCTTTAAAATACGCATTACGAATCTGTAAAATGAAAAAGCAGCTTGTTTCTAGCACATGATTGGAGATGGAAAAAGACAAGCAGCATATCAATCGTGGTATTTAGCATTGCCAGAAAAAACAACGAATGTCGTCTTGTGTGTACCCTGTGTTTTCATCGTGTAGAGTCTCATTGTAGAGGGGATCTTCGTCAGAGTACTTTTCGTAGTCAAATTCGGCGGACTGGCCGTAGATTTTAACGAAACTGGGTAAATCGAGACTGTCATCGAGGCAATCCTGCAGGTCGTGAGTCACAAGTATGTTGTTGAAATTCTCCTCAATATCGTCGGCATTTTTAGGCTCTTCAAATTTTTCGCTTACCCACGTCGCCATACTCGTTTTCTGTTGCTGCTAGCTCTATATAGCGCTAGTTGACACTCCGTCCGTCTAACTCCGTCTGCTTCTGGAAAAAGATAGTCTACCACTACGTAAACCTTAAAGTTTCGTAAAGTTAAGTTTTTATCCTGATCATCATGGCTGCAATGATTCGCATGCGCAGATCGATTGGAGTTCCATTGAGTTCCAACTTCCAAATCCAATTCTAAAACCGATCCAAATCCAGTTCCAAAACTTCCAAATCCAACACGTGTATTTTTTGTTTATATCAGTCTCTTACTTCCTCAACTTCTTTGTTGACAGGAGCGGCGTACAAGAAATTTGAATAGGAATGATGTTCAAAGTATTTACAAAAATAGACAGACTTCAGTAAATATCTTTTTATTGCTATCACTTAACTATGTTTTAGTACATTGATGATTGTTGATTAGGTGACAAACTCAGAATGAATTGTGTAAATAGCACGTGCTCTCCTATATGATACAATTAAAAGTAAACATATTTAAAATAAAAATAACATTCATTACACCTATAGGACTAGTGCGTAACTTTATTACAATTTTTTCGTAAGAAAATTTTCTGTTTAACCGTGCTACGTCATAATAATTATCAAATAATATCTTTAAATGTTAAAAAAAAAATTCAATTTCGTTTCATTACTCATTAAATTTCATAGTTACGCACAACTTTTGATTTGTCTTTCGAATAAAAAATTAAGATATTGTTGTTTATAAGGTTATCAGCACAATTAAATTGTTTTTGAAAAAAAAAAGGTTACCTCAAACCGGTAATATCCCCATACAAAAGTCATTATTTGAAATAGTTTTAGAAGTACAATGGTGATTGTAAATAGATATTTGTATTTACATGCTTATCTTATCATTCGATAAATTAAAAAAGAAACTTATATCTTAGTTACGAGGTCTTAATGCGAGCTTTCATTTGCAGTTCAAATCGCCTATTCATACGCACTCCTTGCAAAGTACTTCTCGCATTTTCTCGCTTCTGTTGCCTGAAATTAAAAAATTCCATTATAAATTCAAATTTTACATTTTTTAAATAAGTTGTAAATAATAACCAAATTTACCTAGAATCAGCACTTGCAGTTTGCTTTTTAGAAACCAAATTAACAGCTTCATTCTTCCTCACTTTGAATCCAAATCTGTTGTATGCACCATTAGTGGACTCTGTCGCTACTAAGGTGTATTCATTAGGTTTATTGTTAAATATCATTAAGTGTGCTTACTTTCAATAAATATTTACCTTTTTTGGCACTTCCTGCATTTAAAATTATGTGCCTTTTTTCAACCCGCTTTTTTAAATCCACCAAAGACTCCATTTTTGCAAAATTCTTTTGATGGATTTCAGCAAAATTAGGAATTTTTCTACTAACTGGAGTTTTAGTTACTAAAAAAAGTAATGTAATTTTAGTAATACGTATTACTATTAGGTATTAAAAATTAAAAACTTTAATGAGTAATTCAATCACCTATTTTCTTATGTGAATCTGTGACGTTTTTCGATCGACTGAGACGATTAACTGAAGCAAGTTGAGCAGCATAATTGCTCTTAGATTTGTTAGAATCGGTTATAGAGCTTCTTTTGTTCAAAGGGGTACTTGCAGGTGTTTTATTGGCCAGTACCAACGAACTAATTCTACTTCTAACGGAAGAGAAAAGTGAAGTCTTTGTTTTGCCAACTGTTATCGGAGTTTTTCTCGGATGAGCAGGCGTTCCTATTCTATTTATGCTGGATGCTCGTACACTTTCTCTAGCAGGACTGGTAAAGTTGACCTTACGACTCTTTTTAGCCGATGATTCGGCATTTAAATCTAATTCAGCATCTTTTATTGTTCTCTTAAGACCAGGTGTTTTTGGTTCATTTATTTCATAAGTGTCATTTATCTTGGATTTATTTTTACCAGAGGAAGAAGATTTACTTACTTCAAATGTACCACTCCTGTTGCTCCTTTGTGAGGTATTTTTAGGAGACTTGCCAGTTTCAAATGTATCGTTCTTATCCAATTTCTTTAAAGATTTTGGTGACTTAGTATTGCTGGAATTTTTGTCAAATGTATTATTTTTTCGAGGAGTGTCTATATCAAAAACGTCACTCATGCGGATTAGAGAACTGTTGTCTAGAGATGGCTCAGATTCATCCTCAAGAAATGGTTGATTTCCTTTAATTGTAGACTGGTTTAATCTTTTGATGATTTTCGATTTTCCAAGAGGAGACTTAGTTACCTTACTCCTCTCTCTTGGTGTTGATGTATTTTTTGGTTTCAAATTAAAAAATTTATTACCTAAAATACCAGTTGGTGTACCGGCCTTGGAATCAGTACTTGCAGCAATAGACCTAGTCATACTTTTGGTATATCTGGCAGATTTGACAGGACTTGATTTTTTATTTTCTTCTATTTTTGGCGATTTTGGGCTTCTACCTGAAGAAACTCTCAATTTATGAGTTTCATGATCTACTGGCACCAGGGTTACACTCGGCTGATTTTCTTTGGCCCTCAAGTTATTATTTTTTAATTCTGGTGAGGACAATTTACTCATGACTACCTTTGGACTCATAGTTGTATTTTTCGATGTATTTTTGGTAGGACTTGATGTTCTGGATTGCTGTTTTGATGGAACTTTGTTGACATTTGAAACTGGAATACTTTTAGAAGCAGAAGTTACTTTTAGAGTTTTTTTTGCACTTGCTGGTGTTGCTGATTTTAAGGATTTCTGTGGTGATTTCTTTTTTAGAACAATTTTAGGCATCTTAGAGTTTGACAAAGAAGTGTTCTGCATTTTTTTAGAACTCGTGTTTAGTGAGGATCGAACAGATTTGGTTGGTGATTTCTTAGATTTGGATATCAATAATGATTTTTCAAATTTTGTTGGTGATGCAAGTTTTGCTGGTGTACTTTTTAAACTAATTTCAATTGATGAAGGAACTTTAGATAATTCTTGAGATGCAGCAACTGAAGTATTTTCAGATTTTGATGGAAATTTTTCAACTTTTGAAGGAGAGCTACTTTTAGATTTCATAGGTGAAGTTTTCTTCGTTGACTTTACTGGGGATTTCTTCGTTAAAACAATTTTTGGTGTGCCTTTAGGGATACAGGCAAATTTAGTTTTTGGTTTTGTTTTCATAGATACCGATGACAAAATAATTTTAGGTACACTTGTTAGACTAGATGATAACAACTCAAGTTTAGATTTAGCTGGTGATGTCATTTTTGGAGATTTTCCTGGACTTACAGAAGTATTAGCAGATTTGTTTAAAGATTTTGATGGCGATACAGTGATAGTCTCGTTGAAATTAATTAACCCTGAGGTATTATCAGTTACTGATAGAGATTCGTCTATAGTTGATTTGAGCGATTTTGAGGCTTTATCTGACTTTACTGAAGACTTTTTCTGTTTTGAAAGAGCAGATTTTTTTGATTTAGCCTTTGGAGTTTTCAGAACAATTTTTGGAGATTTAGAAAATGTTGGTCTTGGTTTAAATGGTGAAATAGTTTTCTTCTTACTAGATATAACATTTAATTTAGATTTTGAATTCATACTACTCTTATTAGTATTTTGTATAGATTCATTCCCATCATTCAAAGAGTTATTTTGATGTAATGAATTTTCTGAAGAGGTAGGCGAATCTACTATGGACAATTTTCTTGGTTTTATCAAAAACTTGACTGGATTTGGTGAGCGTGTTTTAGGAGATCCTAAATTAACAGGAGATTTTCTTGGAGTTTTCTTAGAACGATGTGGGGTAAATGAAACATTCAATGCAGGACTAGTTTTTGGTGTGACATTTTTGTCAGAAGAAATATTTTTTAAAGATCCTCTTTCAGGTGACTCCTCTGGTGTATTGGCTCCCTTAGATGATTTTGCTATTTTTCTCAATGATACTCCAGAACTTTCTTCATTATCGCTTATTAAATTGTAAGACACTCGCTTTTCAAGCTTTACATTATCAGATTCTTTCTTACTCAAAAGTGTTTGAGATTCTTTAGTTTGTGATTTGCTTCTTGTAATTTGCCTTTTAGCCCTTGGAGTCTTAGCATTTTTTTTTGGTTCCTCAATGGTCACAGACAAAGAAATGTCTTGAGACTCAGATGCTTTTACACCTCTTCTTGTTTTCTTTACTTTTGATGAAGTTTGATTGAGGATGCTTGTAGATGCAACACTTTCCTGTGAGCTGTATACTTCCATAAGATTCTCACTTTCATCTTCTGAAACTTTAGCATGACCTTTCATTCAATTAACCAAAATTAAAAATTAATTATGTTCAATTGAATTATTTATTCAAACACTATGAAAAAAATTAACTCACTTTTGTTTGCACGGTGACTTTTCTTTGTGATCTTTGAGGTATTTTTCAAACTGCTATCTATGGATGTCTCCATGACACTCTGTCTTATAGTACCTAAAATATTTATTTGCAAATATTGAGCAACAGAGAATAGTATAGTGTTTGTTAAACAGCTATAGCATACCGCATATAATATATTAAAAATCTACGCTGTAATTCAACAGGTTATTGATTGGCTATCGCTATGGACAGTATGTAACAGTAACAACATCAAGGCACAACATATAAACACGAGAGGCGCTGTGCCTTGAAAAAAATAATATATTTCGCCGTCGAATGAGGGCGATAAAAAGCTTCGATCATAATATTATAGATGAATTCATCATAATAATCAACAGATTATGTCACAAACCAAACATGAGTCGCATATATTTATTGCTTATCGCGAGAAAAAAAATCAAAATAATCTCGGCTTACAATAGTAATGTTTACGGTATTTTCATTTAAGGCGCCAAAACGTACGCCATGTTCGCTTTTGCCAGTTCTGCCCGCCCAAAACTACGTCGTCGAAAAACTTTTTCGTTGTAAAAATCCTTAGGATTTACCTCGTCTCGTCCTCCTCGGCGACATCCTTGGCTAATTGTTCGGCTTCTCGTTGCAGCAGCAGAGTACAGCTTTTTCTCTTTCGCGTAGGTGAAGAAATGCGAACGTTCTTAAAACGAGAATCAGGCAGCCGACGAACAAGTGCGAGTTTATGTGGCCGTCAAGCGGTTATGGAAACACAAGCGCGACAACTCGCCGACTCGATATACCGGCGTGCATGAAACACCCGGACATCGCCGGCAGCCGGTTTGAAATTTCACTGAAGTGGCGCTCGCATCGTTTCGTTTCTATATGTATCATATATATACGTGCACATATATGTTTGTTTTGTTTGTGCAATGCAATATATTATAGTATAACGGACAAGCATAGATAGTTTAATTTACTATTAGCTTTCAAAGAGCGTTATATGGTGCGAGTGTACCCATTACCGGCCATGACAATCTTATTTAAATCTTAATTCAATAATTATCTTGTATAATTATATATAACAAAAGTTATTCAACCTTCTACAGCAGACTATACATTTTGTTATTTCCATAAAAGAATATAAATTTAGAGTTGTTTATTTCATTACGAGCGCCTAGTGATTTACTGTCGATTTTTTATAGTTTTTACTTATAAAAAAACCCCAGACACTAAGCTTTGTTTGAAAAATGTTGCTGCAATATTATCTGTGAAACGTTGCAACCTTTTCACCATCAACTATGAAGAAAGTTTCAAAAACATTACAGCAACGTATACAAAAATTCGCCTTTGTTTAAAGTAAAAAATTGCCAAAACATTGTCGAAACAATTTCTTAAATTCTGTTTTGTTAGAGTAACCTTTAAACAAATACTACTATAGCATTTCATTAATTACAATCGACTATTAAAAATGTTGTGCTAATGAACACTACTACCGTGATTTTTCCCTAATGCCAAGCTAATCTTTCAGCTTTTGATATAAACATAGAAAACATTTCTACAATAAAATATTGACATGTCATTAAGCCATTTATAATAAAAATTTCACGAACAAAAAGCTTGTCATAGCATTAACAAAACCCGTTTAACACAATGTTTTGATTATTGAAATATTGTAGTATAGTAATGGTGTACGAAGGTTAAGCTCGTTAAAAAAGGAATTCGAGAAATTGTTTTGCCTCAAACAAAGGCGGACATTTTGTACGATGCAACGTTCTTGAAACTTTTTGCGGTTGCCGAAAAGGTTGCAGTGTTTCACATTATAACGATGTAGCAACATTTTAAAAACAAAGTTTATCAGCTGCGGTTACATTCATCAATAATAATTTTTCAATAACAGAAAATTACTGAAGTTTAGTAGCTATTAATTAATGTGTACCACTTCAAATATACTTAATAAAAACAATATAGTCTTGTTTTTCTATCTATCTATACATTAAATAACTTGTTGAGATAAACAGGGTATGCCGGAAATAAAAATTAGGTCATCTTAATTGGTAAATATAAGAAAATTCTACGATTTTATTTATTAATTTTAATAAAATATTAAATATGTACAATAATTATCAAATATTACTATACTTATTATTTTATACTATTTAACGTAGAGAGGTTAGAAAGCAATCCATTTTAGATTAAAAAATGTGTTTACGTTAATTATGGCAACTTACAAAATAATAGATAACCTTTATACTGCCGCGGATTGCAACACTCTGCTCCTGAAATTCTCAGCGTATAACATGTTTATTGTAGACGCAACGTGAAGCGATCCACCGACATTAAAAATGCTGAACAGCTCTGTTATGGCAACAATTAGAGCAAAATCTGTCATCGCTGATCTTACTCTGCTTTAAAATTATGAACAAATGGCATACCAATTACCAAAATTATACGCAGTAAACTTTTCATAAATGTCTTCACTATGATTGTGCTAGAATTTTTCTGGATCTGTATCTCTAACAGAATCGTTTGTTAGTAACGAATGAAAGATGGAAAAGGATTGAAAAACTATGGTTTGAAAGAAATTAAATATAGGATACCAAAAAATAAGGTAGCTGAAGTTATTGAAGTTATTGCTAACATTTTTAAATGCCGCTTAGATTAAACCTCATTATTAACAAAATGACTGTAAATAATTAAAAAAATACTTTTTTGAGAACCGGTTCAGTTCATGAGAAATCAGAAAAAAATTGATTCATGAGAACTAGTTCCAAAAACCTGTTACTGAAATATCTAAAAAAAGTTATTTCTTATAAATTTTCATAAATTAAATTTAAATTTATGAGAAATTATGAGAATTTATAAATAATTTATATAATTAATATATAAATTATTTTTTAATATATTCATAATTAAATAATATATTGTAAATAATTGTATTATTTAACTTAATTATTATATTTAAGTATAATTATATATATAAATTTATTTTGATGTATAACTATATTATTATATTTTAATATTATATATTATAAATATATTATATATTTATAATATTATATTATAATATAACCCAAATAACCTAACTTTTTACTCATATTATATTCTTTGATTTTTAGAATTTCTCAATTGATCCTACTAAGCAAAGAATGTTTTTTCGTAGTATCAATTTTCTGATATAAGAAATTCCCAACTTTATTAACCCTTAACTGCTATGTGGGGTAAATTTACCCCAGACAATTTTTAACAATAAATAAATTTTTTTTTTTTTTTCAACAATTTTTTTCAGCGTGTGTAACATTAAAAATTGTTAACCTGAATATTTTTTTTTGTAGTAAAAGGTTTGAAATATACTAGAAAAAATTTTCATAGCAAAATATCTAAAATTCTCTGATTTATTCGATGTTTTTCGGGCTGGGGTAGATTTTACCCCACCAAGCAGTTACGTGGCCAAAATGAGGTGTGCAAGTTAAGGGTTAAATACGTAGATTTCGCGAACTACACAACAAACTTAAAACCTAACATTTTTAATATTATAAAAATACGTAGATTATTTTGAACAACACAAAAAACCTATAAACTAACTTTTTTCAAATTTTAAATTCTCTGATTTCTGAATTTTGCCATTGATCCTACTCAGCAACTAATATTTTTCGTAGCATCAACTTGCATACATGTGTTATTGCATTATAATGGTTATGGCAAACTTAAATTTTTTAAATGTTCAGTTTGTCAAATAAATTTAGTATAGGAAATAAGCTTTCGAAAATCTTAAATATTTCAATTTAAAAACTATAACTGATTTTTATTCACTGATTTTATCATATATTTTAAATAATACTTTTTTTCTATAGGAACTTATTTAACAAATTATCTTTTTATAATTTCTTTTTTTGTTTCAATGTAATGAAATTGATACAAAATTGATGTAAACCTTTTAAATGTTGATGTGGATATTTTCTGATTAAATAATTTAACAGTAAATAACTATTAGAACAATACGAAAACAAACACTTATTTATAGAAATAAATATTTACTAAAAAGCATGTGAATTTGTCTGTGAGATTGTAATTTTTCTATAGAATATTATAATACAATATAAAAATGTTTAAAATATTAAAGAAACAAGTAGTGTATTAATAAAAATGTTACTATTGATATCTATTAAAATAGAGTTTACAATGTAATTCTTATGATGTACTGGTAGTACATACTTAAAATCTAATTAATAATAATAATAAAATAGTGTCTAAACTTTAAAATCGTTACAGTTTTTCATTAAAATAAAACGTGTAGCAATCAGAAAATCTAGTTTGGTACTTTCACAGCAGATATTTACCTGTTGGCGAACAACCGTCTCTGGTTAATACCACCTTATTTATTGGCGATTTGGAGTCAGTTCACTTCGCGTACGCATATGGCACCTACAGAGCTTTCAACCTCACAAATAATGAAGACACTTGTTAATGGAATCGCAGGGTTGTTGTAAATGTATATAAGTATATTCTTGAGATAATTATCATCAGCAATCAGTTCGATGCTTCCGAGCACTTATTTTTTACATCAATTCTGGTTAATCAATATTTGGTATGGAAATGTCTGAAAAAAATTTAAATCACTTGACTACGCCTTACTTTTTTGCTTAAGGTTTGATTTATTGTACAACAATCTCATTTTGTCCGCTGTCGTTTAATAAAAATTATCGTTGTTCAAGGTCCCACCATACACATTTATAGAAATAGGAGAAAACGCGGTTGGGCCTAAGCATCTTTATTAAGTGTCATATTACAACACTAAAAATATCTTTTATTTTTGTTGTTGTAAATGAAAATTTTCCATTGAAACAGATACAGCGCTTGTTCCGAAATTGGCCAATGGTAATCTAGGTATGAGCATTTATCCACAGTACGTTTTCGTCCAATTCTCCATTGTCAAGTCAAATCAAGTCTACAAATGTAAATTCGCAACAAGTTAATTGATCCTGTAATATGTAAAAAATTTACCTGACGAATAAGACTAGTATAATGACCGCAGTGATGATCATTACGCCACTACATTACTACGCCAGCTGCATAGTAGGCTTGTCCGCCATAAGCGATATGATAGTATCTGTGCAAAAAAAATGACAATGAAAAAAGCAAAGGTGTTGGATGGTTGTCGCTTCAAGGCCCGAATCTCGTATTCTTTAGATTAAATCGATCGGAATGCGGGTAACAGTGAAGTAAAATCAACAGCACGCAACAAGTCATTTATCGAACAGCACAATGTATTCCTGAACAGAATCGAGTTTGTTGGCGGCTTTGTACACGTGTACCGCTCGTATACTGCTTCTTCTCGATAGTGATGACGCGCAGAGTGATGTCTGTATACTCGTCGGCGGTGGTCAAGTGCGTGACGTCATAGTGCTGGTTGTTGGATAACAAGTTTATGTCGTACTCGGCAGTGCCTGCCCGAGCCGCGGACGCGATACAGTGATCACCGAGGCGAACTTCTCCTCGCGGTTGACGTTGCGACGCGCACTTCGGTCCACTTCGTTCTCCGCCACGCAGTAGCATCTACTTGATCTGTGTGGCCCGGAGTTGATCCGTTAGCGACGAGCTTCAACGGGCGCGATGCGAAACTCGACGACACGCTGATTGATCGCCGATCTCCGAAAGCGCTATTGACTTCTATATTGGAACACTTGACTGGACTCGTCGATCGTAAAACCGCCGCGACTCGAACGCTTCAAATCGTATTAGATAAGCTTATAAGCTTTACTTGCAAGTTGGAACGGTGACTTCTAATCGTGCACCATTAGTTTAAATGAGACGATTAACTGATGACTTAAGGTTCCAAATACGATAGCAGAGCCCAACTTATAGGACCTAAATCGACCTATAAGACCTATAGTACAATAGTAGATACCTGCAGAGGGTAGGTAGAGGACGAGGCGTTGGATCTAAAAGCGAGCCGGCTGTCACGAATGACGAGTGATTTTGATCCAGAACACCGGGTAGTCCAGGCTATATTGCTCCACGCACACGAAATCCATCGTCGATCCGATGTCCTTGATTTGCTCCTGCGATATGTGGGATATTTTTGGCGTCCTCTGCGCGCCGCGTCATGGAAAGCAATTAGCGATATTATTCGTCAATCGCGTCGAGTCACGTCATTATGAAATGACCATCCCGCGGAATAAGGCGCGTAGCTTCTTTAGCGCGCGCAGTCTCTGGCGACGGGACCACTGATGTAAACAAACAGTTGTGTTGTGCTCGCGCTCGACTTACTGTCGAGGCGGTGCATCCATGGCTCGATTAAGCGCACAGAGAAAGAGAGAGACCGCGTCCGATTTCCTGACCGAGCGCGCGATCGATCATCGGCCAACGACGGATCGGGGCCGCCAAGAGAATTAGCGAGCCAGCTGATCAGCCCAAGCGGGCGCACCCGATGCATCGGCCGACCGCATTGACACGCGGCCCCCGCTGCTTGCGCGTGCGCAACGCTCCAGCGCATGCGTTAGGCCCCGGTCCTATAGGTATAGGTACGTAGAGATCATGGAGACTATATACAGAAGTGTAATTAAAGTGCTGTGCTATAAAAATGCACGGTCACATTTCACATAGAAACACGTATCAATGGCATTCTTTTCAAGTTCCCATTAGCTATAATTTAAGCAAATCGCAACTACATATCCTATTCGGTATATTTATTTACGCGTACAGCAGGATCTTGAATATATATAAACAAAGGTAATATATACATTCACAGATAATTGAATACTTCATTTTATCAACAAAATAACAATATTATAAATGGAAAAAATAAGTAAAAAGACAACGCTCGAATGTTCACTCGTGTTATTTTTAATACATTTACAAATCGAAATATTGATTCATATGCGATCTATAATGTATCTGTTTTGATACAAAAATATTTTATAGAAAATTTGGAATATAAAAACTTAACAAATAGCAAGAGAAAAATAACAAACCTATACGAATACACTATTCAAGTTTGCGTGGTAATCATCAAATCGCAAGAGTAATTGTTCACTGGAGATTTATGTATTTTCAATACTGGTTTGATGGATTTCATCCCTTTGATGAACTTTATCTCCTCCGAGAAAGTTTTCTTAAAAGTGACCTATGAAAACATTGAATAATAGATGAATTCTTCAAATTCCAATCTTCTTTATTAGCTACGCTCACCTTATTTGATTTCGAAACAGAATAAACATTGATAGCAAACTCAAAAAACAAAACGACAAAGGATACGACGAATCCACCTCCTAATACGTAAAAAACACCAACCAATTAAGTCAAAGTCATGGGTGTAGGTAGACTTGAGCTACCGTCCTGCAAAATAAAAGACACCATGGAAAACAGTGAAGATGAATTACTCGAAAATACAGCTTACAGTGCAAACAGCGCCTTTCTCAGTCCACCACTTTTTGTACAAGTTCTTTACCACCGAGTTCTCATTGAGTTTGGATAGAACTTCATCGACTTTCAAAGCATACTTGAAATCTGCGAACAAACATATATGAGTAAATTCCAAAATAAAATGCACTCTTTGTATATAGATTCACGGTCTTTTCTCAGTCCTATGGCTTTCGAATATTTTTTTTCTTGCTGTTCAAGATCACAAACGAATGAAAAAACTTTTTATTAGGTAATTTTGATCAACGATTATTTTTTTCTCCTTGAAGGTCTCCATACGTATTATCATAGTGCCTTATTAGATACTTATTCAGTATTATTAGAAAGCTGAGTAATAAGTATTTAAAAATTATTCTTTTTGTGTCTATTTCCTAGTATACGATTTTTTTATAACGATCAAAAAAATATGCTCGTAGTGAAATTTACCATTATTCACGAGCATCGTTTATTTGTTTGACGGAAACAATGAGATGAAAATTATTAGAAAGCCCACAAGCTGCAAACAACTTCACAATTCTAGAATCGCAAAAAGTACATTTTATTTTGGAATTTATTCATATGCCAGGATTAGCTAATGTTTTCGCACGACATAAGTTTGATCACAGATAGCATTGCTCTTACTCGAGGCGTAACCGATGGCGTAAGTCTTTTGATCAATCAAGCCACCTGCTTGTTCAAGATTACATATCCTATGTTGCACGTATTCGATGGTAGGTGATTCCGTGAAGAAAGCATAATTGTTTTCTTCGCTTGCAGCCAATGCAATTCCTTGTTCGTTCGTATCTACCATCCACTTTTTCGACCATTCTGGATCCACCATATTCTCAAACATCGCCCTCTTATTAGGATTGGTCGAGCTCTAAGAACAAAATTTCTGAATGTGAACGCGGGGAAACACAAATCAACGACTATATATGACTGACTTTGAAATATGTAAAGGTGGCGCCGCCTTTTTTAGCACCATATTTGATTGTCGTTTGATTGTAGAGATCTCGAATATCTCGAACGATGACTTCAGGTTTTTCAATTGTCAGAAAAGCAGCCAAGTTGGCCGTGTACGTATTCGTGATGATCAAACAGAAGAACCACCTGTTGCATTTTCGAATGACTACTTTCTGTTCAACTACTTTTATATTAACAAAAGAAGATCGTTAATAAAAATGAACTAACCACCATCCTGCAAGACATCTCGTCGACATCCCTCTGGAAAATAGGCTTACATTAATCAGTTATTGAAAATACATCTAAAAGTATTGTTAAAGAAGTAGTAAAATGTGAAGGTACATCGGCGCATACTCGGTACCCTGCTGCAAAAGGGTGCCAATGGTGAACCAAAAAGCATTATCAATTTGAAATTGATTCTCCAGCTCTTTAGGTTCATCGATGCAAGGATATGGGTTTGACTAATCTGGTGGACTGATACGACCAAAAGTATAGAAAAGCACGGAGACTATTATCCATGTCAAAGCTAAATACATCCAGACGCGACTGCTAAACGGCATGAAGAACGAGTACCACTTTGGTTTGGCTTTCTGTGGCTTTTTGTAGAGAATGCTCATGCCTAAATTCATGAATGTCGTTGAAAATTGTATGCATCTGGCGCGATTTTCCGTGATCGCCATGTCCATTTCCTTTTGATAAACAACATTTCCATCGATATCATCAATAATGCAATGTAAAACGATCAGAATCACGTTACCATTAGAACTTACGTTTCTTATAAGTTGACCCATCATTCCGCTGCAAGTACACTGCTGGGTCTTTTCATTTTTCGTACGATTGCCGTTATCCGAGTCCGTTTGCACGAAAAACGTGTAGTTGAAAAATTATAAATAATTTTAAGAAAGTGAAAAATCAACTATATCAATTTATATCAACTCCTTGTCGAGGGTCTTGATAAGGTCGATAACGAAGCCCTCGTAACGAGCGTTCCCCGTCAAGCTTTTCGAATGATTGACTTTGTGTGCATATGGCGGATTCTGGAAATTCGCCATAAATTAGTAGGTGTTCGCATGATAGAGAAGAGTATCGTCGTGGAATAAAAAAAGCTCACTATGGTGATGAGAACTTTGAAGTGCTCCATGGCGACTTCATTGGCGAGATTCAACTCGTCGAAGCCTCGAAAGGAATTCCAGGTGCTAACCTTCGCCAAGCCCGTTTCATGAAGATTCAACAAGTCGAGTTTGAAATACCTTCGGACTCCATCTGAATCGAACATTAGCGGTCCTGTCAAACCGTTCAACTTGTTCTGCCGCAATGAACAAATATTCAAACACCATTAATCGAACGTATGGAACGATTGAGAGCACGTCCGAATAACCCAACCCAACCCAATCCAATAACCCAACCCAACCCAATAACCCAATAACCCAATTTTTCAATCTTTCATGATTTTTCACTTTCTTCGTAAAGTTTTCGTAATTTCATGATTTTTCAACTTTCGTTCAATTTTTCGAAATTTCGTGACTTTTCAACTTTTGGTCAATTTTTCGAAATTTCAAGATTTTTCACTTTTTTCAAATTATCTATAACCCAATTTTTCAATCATTCATGATTTTTCCCATTCTTCGTAAAGTTTTCGTAATTTCGTGATTTTTCAAATTTTGGTCAATTTTCGAAATTTCAAGATTTTTCACTTTCTTCAAATTATTTATAACCCAATGACCCAATGACCCAATAACCCAAATTTTCAATCTTTCATAATTTTTCACTCTCTTCGTAAAGTTTTCGTAATTTCATAATTTTTCAACTTAGTCAATTTTTCGAAATTTCAAGATTTTTCACTTTCTTCAAATTATTTATAACCCAATAACCTAATTTTTCACTTTCTTCGTAATGTTTTCGAAATTTAGTGATTTTTTACTTTCTTCGTAAAGTTTTCGTAATTTCATGATTTTTCAACTTTTGGTCAATTTTTCGAAATTTCGTGACTTTTCAACTTTTGATCAATTTTTCGAAATTTCAAGATTTTTCACTTTTTTCAAATTATCTATAACCCAATTTTTCAATTATTCATGATTTTTCCCATTCATCGTAAAGTTTTCGTAATTTGACGATTTTTCAACTTTTGATCAATTTTTCGAAATTTCACGATTTTTCACTTTTTTCAAATTATCTATAACCCAATTTTTCAATCATTCATGATTTTTCCCATTCTTCGTAAAGTTTTCGTAATTTCGTGATTTTTCAAATTTTGGTCAATTTTCGAAATTTCAAGATTTTTCACTTTCTTCAAATTATTTATAACCCAAACCAACCCCAATATTCAATCATTCATGATTTTTCACTATCTTCGTAAAGTTTTCGTAATTTCGTGATTTTTCAACTTTGTCAATTTTCGAAATTTCAAGATTTTTCACTTTCTTCAAATTATTTATAACCCAATGACCCAATGACCCAATAACCCAAATTTTCAATCTTTCATAATTTTTCACTCTCTTCGTAAAGTTTTCGTAATTTCGTGACTTTTCAACTTTTGGTCAATTTTTCGAAATTTCAAGATTTTTCACTTTCTTCAAATTATTTATAACCCAACCCAAATTTTCAATCTTTCAAAATTTTTCACTCTCTTCGTAAAGTTTTCGTAATTTGACGATTTTTCACTTCGTAAAGTTTTCGTAATTTCATAATTTTTCAACTTCAGGTCAATTATTCGAAATTTCGTGACTTTTCAACTTAGTCAATTTTTCGAAATTTCAAGATTTTTCACTTTCTTCAAATTATTTATAACCCAACCCAAATTTTCAATCCTTCATAATTTTTCACTCTCTTCGTAAAGTTTTCGTAATTTCATGATTTTTCAACTTTTGGTCAATTTTTCGAAATTTCAAGATTTTTCACTTTCTTCAAATTATATATAACCCAATGACCCAATAACCCAATGACCCAATGACCCAATAACCCAAATTTTCAATCTTTCATAATTTTTCACTCTCTTCGTAAAGTTTTCGTAATTTCATGATTTTTCAACTTTTGGTCAATTTTTCGAAATTTCAAGATTTTTCACTTTCTACAAATTATTTATAACCCAACCCAAATTTTCAATCTTTCAAAATTTTTCACTCTCTTCGTAAAGTTTTCGTAATTTGACGATTTTTCAACTTTTGGTCAATTTTTTGAAATTTCAAGATTTTTCACTTTCTTCAAATTATTTATAACCCAACCCAAATTTTCAATCCTTCATAATTTTTCACTCTCTTCGTAAAGTTTTCGTAATTTGACGATTTTTCACTTCGTAAAGTTTTCGTAATTTCATAATTTTTCAACTTCAGGTCAATTATTCGAAATTTCGTGACTTTTCAACTTAGTCAATTTTTCGAAATTTCAAGATTTTTCACTTTCTTCAAATTATTTATAACCCAACCCAATGACCCAACCCGAACCCGAACCCAAATTTTCAATCTTTCATAATTTTTCACTTTCTTCGTAGTTTTCGTAATTTCATGATTTTTCAACTTTCGTTCAATTTTTCGAAATTTCGTGACTTTTCAACTTTTGGTCAATTTTTCGAAATTTCAAGATTTTTCACTTTTTTCAAATTATCTATAACCCAATTTTTCAATCATTCATGATTTTTCCCATTCTTCGTAAAGTTTTCGTAATTTCGTGATTTTTCAAATTTTGGTCAATTTTCGAAATTTCGAGATTTTTCACTTTCTTCAAATTATTTATAACCCAATGACCCAATGACCCAATAACCCAAATTTTCAATCTTTCATAATTTTTCACTCTCTTCGTAAAGTTTTCGTAATTTCATGATTTTTCAACTTAGTCAATTTTTCGAAATTTCAAGATTTTTCACTTTCTTCAAATTATTTATAACCCAATAACCTAATTTTTCACTTTCTTCGTAATGTTTTCGAAATTTAGTGATTTTTTACTTTCTTCGTAAAGTTTTCGTAATTTCATGATTTTTCAACTTTTGGTCAATTTTTCGAAATTTCAAGATTTTTCACTTTTTTCAAATTATCTATAACCCAATTTTTCATGATTTTTCCCATTCTTCGTAAAGTTTTCGTAATTTGACGATTTTTCAACTTTTGATCAATTTTTCGAAATTTCACGATTTTTCACTTTCTTCAAATTATTTATAACCAATGACCCAATAACCCAAATTTTCAATCTCATAATTTTTCACTCTCTTCGTAAAGTTTTCGTAATTTCATGATTTTTCAACTTTGTCAATTTTCGAAATTTCAAGATTTTTCACTTTCTTCAAATTATTTATAACCCAAACCAACCCCAATATTCAATCATTCATGATTTTTCACTATCTTCGTAAAGTTTTCGTAATTTCGTGATTTTTCAACTTTGTCAATTTTCGAAATTTCAAGATTTTTCACTTTCTTCAAATTATTTATAACCCAATGACCCAATGACCCAATAACCCAAATTTTCAATCTTTCATAATTTTTCACTCTCTTCGTAAAGTTTTCGTAATTTCGTGACTTTTCAACTTTTGGTCAATTTTTCGAAATTTCAAGATTTTTCACTTTCTTCAAATTATTTATAACCCAACCCAAATTTTCAATCTTTCAAAATTTTTCACTCTCTTCGTAAAGTTTTCGTAATTTGACGATTTTTCACTTCGTAAAGTTTTCGTAATTTCATAATTTTTCAACTTCAGGTCAATTATTCGAAATTTCGTGACTTTTCAACTTAGTCAATTTTTCGAAATTTCAAGATTTTTCACTTTCTTCAAATTATTTATAACCCAACCCAAATTTTCAATCCTTCATAATTTTTCACTCTCTTCGTAAAGTTTTCGTAATTTCATGATTTTTCAACTTTTGGTCAATTTTTCGAAATTTCAAGATTTTTCACTTTCTTCAAATTATTTATAACCCAATGACCCAATAACCCAATGACCCAATGACCCAATAACCCAAATTTTCAATCTTTCATAATTTTTCACTCTCTTCGTAAAGTTTTCGTAATTTCATGATTTTTCAACTTTTGGTCAATTTTTCGAAATTTCAAGATTTTTCACTTTCTACAAATTATTTATAACCCAACCCAAATTTTCAATCTTACAAAATTTTTCACTCTCTTCGTAAAGTTTTCGTAATTTGACGATTTTTCAACTTTTGGTCAATTTTTTGAAATTTCAAGATTTTTCACTTTCTTCAAATTATTTATAACCCAATGACCCAATGACCCAATAACCCAATGACCCAATAACCCAACCCAAATTTTCAATATTTCATAATTTTTCACTCTCTTCGTAAAGTTTTCGTAATTTCGTGACTTTTCAACTTTGTCAATTTTTCGAAATTTCGTGACTTTTCAACTTAGTCAATTTTTCGAAATTTCAAGATTTTTCACTTTCTTCAAATTATTTATAACCCAACCCAAATTTTCAATCCTTCATAATTTTTCACTCTCTTCGTAAAGTTTTCGTAATTTCATGATTTTTCAACTTTTGGTCAATTTTTCGAAATTTCAAGATTTTTCACTTTCTTCAAATTATTTATAACCCAATGACCCAATAACCCAATGACCCAATGACCCAATAACCCAAATTTTCAATCTTTCATAATTTTTCACTCTCTTCGTAAAGTTTTCGTAATTTCATGATTTTTCAACTTTTGGTCAATTTTTCGAAATTTCAAGATTTTTCACTTTCTACAAATTATTTATAACCCAACCCAAATTTTCAATCTTTCAAAATTTTTCACTCTCTTCGTAAAGTTTTCGTAATTTGACGATTTTTCAACTTTTGGTCAATTTTTTGAAATTTCAAGATTTTTCACTTTCTTCAAATTATTTATAACCCAACCCAAATTTTCAATCCTTCATAATTTTTCACTCTCTTCGTAAAGTTTTCGTAATTTGACGATTTTTCACTTCGTAAAGTTTTCGTAATTTCATAATTTTTCAACTTCAGGTCAATTATTCGAAATTTCGTGACTTTTCAACTTAGTCAATTTTTCGAAACTTCAAGATTTTTCACTTTCTTCAAATTATTTATAACCCAACCCAATGACCCAACCCGAACCCGAACCCAAATTTTCAATCTTTCATAATTTTTCACTTTCTTCGTAGTTTTCGTAATTTCATGATTTTTCAACTTTCGTTCAATTTTTCGAAATTTCGTGACTTTTCAACTTTTGATCAATTTTTCGAAATTTCAAGATTTTTCACTTTTTTCAAATTATCTATAACCCAATTTTTCAATTATTCATGATTTTTCCCATTCATCGTAAAGTTTTCGTAATTTGACGATTTTTCAACTTTTGATCAATTTTTCGAAATTTCACGATTTTTCACTTTTTTCAAATTATCTATAACCCAATTTTTCAATCATTCATGATTTTTCCCATTCTTCGTAAAGTTTTCGTAATTTCGTGATTTTTCAAATTTTGGTCAATTTTCGAAATTTCAAGATTTTTCACTTTCTTCAAATTATTTATAACCCAAACCAACCCCAATATTCAATCATTCATGATTTTTCACTATCTTCGTAAAGTTTTCGTAATTTCGTGATTTTTCAACTTTGTCAATTTTCGAAATTTCAAGATTTTTCACTTTCTTCAAATTATTTATAACCCAATGACCCAATGACCCAATAACCCAAATTTTCAATCTTTCATAATTTTTCACTCTCTTCGTAAAGTTTTCGTAATTTCGTGACTTTTCAACTTTTGGTCAATTTTTCGAAATTTCAAGATTTTTCACTTTCTTCAAATTATTTATAACCCAACCCAAATTTTCAATCTTTCAAAATTTTTCACTCTCTTCGTAAAGTTTTCGTAATTTGACGATTTTTCACTTCGTAAAGTTTTCGTAATTTCATAATTTTTCAACTTCAGGTCAATTATTCGAAATTTCGTGACTTTTCAACTTAGTCAATTTTTCGAAATTTCAAGATTTTTCACTTTCTTCAAATTATTTATAACCCAATTTTTCATGATTTTTCCCATTCTTCGTAAAGTTTTCGTAATTTGACGATTTTTCAACTTTTGATCAATTTTTCGAAATTTCACGATTTTTCACTTTCTTCAAATTATTTATAACCAATGACCCAATAACCCAAATTTTCAATCTCATAATTTTTCACTCTCTTCGTAAAGTTTTCGTAATTTCATGATTTTTCAACTTTGTCAATTTTCGAAATTTCAAGATTTTTCACTTTCTTCAAATTATTTATAACCCAAACCAACCCCAATATTCAATCATTCATGATTTTTCACTATCTTCGTAAAGTTTTCGTAATTTCGTGATTTTTCAACTTTGTCAATTTTCGAAATTTCAAGATTTTTCACTTTCTTCAAATTATTTATAACCCAATGACCCAATGACCCAATAACCCAAATTTTCAATCTTTCATAATTTTTCACTCTCTTCGTAAAGTTTTCGTAATTTCGTGACTTTTCAACTTTTGGTCAATTTTTCGAAATTTCAAGATTTTTCACTTTCTTCAAATTATTTATAACCCAACCCAAATTTTCAATCTTTCAAAATTTTTCACTCTCTTCGTAAAGTTTTCGTAATTTGACGATTTTTCACTTCGTAAAGTTTTCGTAATTTCATAATTTTTCAACTTCAGGTCAATTATTCGAAATTTCGTGACTTTTCAACTTAGTCAATTTTTCGAAATTTCAAGATTTTTCACTTTCTTCAAATTATTTATAACCCAACCCAAATTTTCAATCCTTCATAATTTTTCACTCTCTTCGTAAAGTTTTCGTAATTTCATGATTTTTCAACTTTTGGTCAATTTTTCGAAATTTCAAGATTTTTCACTTTCTTCAAATTATTTATAACCCAATGACCCAATAACCCAATGACCCAATGACCCAATAACCCAAATTTTCAATCTTTCATAATTTTTCACTCTCTTCGTAAAGTTTTCGTAATTTCATGATTTTTCAACTTTTGGTCAATTTTTCGAAATTTCAAGATTTTTCACTTTCTACAAATTATTTATAACCCAACCCAAATTTTCAATCTTTCAAAATTTTTCACTCTCTTCGTAAAGTTTTCGTAATTTGACGATTTTTCAACTTTTGGTCAATTTTTTGAAATTTCAAGATTTTTCACTTTCTTCAAATTATTTATAACCCAATGACCCAATGACCCAATGACCCAATAACCCAATGACCCAATAACCCAACCCAAATTTTCAATATTTCATAATTTTTCACTCTCTTCGTAAAGTTTTCGTAATTTCGTGACTTTTCAACTTTGTCAATTTTTCGAAATTTCGTGACTTTTCAACTTTTGGTCAATTTGGATATTGAAATTCCGTCAAATTTATCAAAATAATAAAAAATTTTTAAATTTCGACAATTTGATGAAGAAAGTGAAAAATTATGAAATTTCGACAAATTGGGTTATTGGGTTGGGTTATGACAAAATAAAATAAAATAACGTAAATAATAAAATAAAATAAAATCTTGACATTTCGACAAATTCACGAAAAACGTTAACAATCTTGAAATTTCGAAAAATATACGAAAAAAGTGAAAAATCTTGAAAGTTTAATAAAATGTACTAGTTTTGTAAGTGATCATTTTCTGAAGGTATAGGAATTTTAAAGAAATTAGATGTACAAGTCGATTTACCTCCAACATATTATTATTTCTAGAACTTGGACAAATGAAATCGATTCTTTTATAGTTTTAAAAGAAAAAAAAATAAATAAAATTATAAATTAGTTAATTTCGTGGAAAACTCGTATACATATATTGAATTATTTACTGAAGCAGCTGTATTTAATGGATTGTTCAAGGATGAATTGTAATTCATCGTTCTAACAAGAAAAAATATAATGTTCTAGGTAAACACGTTTAAAAAATATATGTTACATGCATAATTTTAATTATTGTAACAAAATTTACATATATTTTCTTTTAATCTAGGAGCCATAAAGAATTATAAAACACAAAAGACAATGATATTTTGTTTAAATAGTATAGAAAAAATAAACTTCTAAATAAGCTTCTGAACTAAATAAATTGCTCGTGGCAAATGGTGTGAAGATTTTATTGGTTTATGATCAAATGAAAATTCCTTGTATGGACCTTTTAATATTGTCGCTCTTAACGAAGTTTTTGTATATACTTACTTACCGATAACATGTAATTTCTTAAGCTAATTCCATGTACCCAAGGACGAGAGCGGTGGACATGCTTAGGTAATTTAGCATCACCACCGCGCACCGGCTTGGCGTAAATGAAGTCTTTGTAGCCTTGAGCGAACAATGCTACAGCGTCGAACATCAAAGCATCCTCGACTCGTAGTTTGTCCACCGACTCTATTCCGAAGTCATACAAATGAGTACCCACGAAGCTCGAGACGAATGGATTATCTGGATCGACTAATCGCAGACCGCTGATTTTTGCCCCAGTGTACCTGAATGGCCATGATTCTATTACCTGAAAATTCTGTAAAAATACTCGTATGAGCGATGGTTATGTTGATATTTCACAACCATCCAATCATTTAGCTTCACGTGTACTTGGAAAACTGACAAAAATTTAAAAGAAGTTGATATTGAATTATATTGTTATATGTGAGGTCGTCGTTACTAATAGAATGCGAAGAACAGAAGACAGAAGCGTTTCTGTGTATATTGTTCATTAAGTCCCTTGTCTTTCAGTAAAGTCATTATCTTTCGTTCATGTCGTTAGAGCAAGAGTTAATTAAAGTTCAATCTTTTCAAATAATATTGGTCTTTTTTTACGTATGGAGTTTGAAAGGTTCACACAATATTTTCTTTTTCTCGCTAACAAGTAACAATCAAAGAATCAGAAACAATAAATTGCATTTTCGCAAATGGAACGTACCAAAGATGTAACGATATATCTGTATGCATCGGACATCAAACCCACTTCTTGCGCTTGTCTCATGACATTGAAAAGGATATCATAGTCACAGTCCAGAAGGAAGCTTTTGTGCCCGGAAAATTTTGCAGCCAATAGTGGCTCACTGCATTCACACGGCATTATTTTACAGTAGCGAGCAGAAGCTTTTCGGCATTCCATCTTATTTCATTCTTTTTCATTCACCTAAAATTTGGTCCGCTGCCTAATTTGAAAGCTCGAATGTCGTGGGTGTACGGAGGACGCATCGGATAGACTTTCAGGACGTCCTGGAGAGCTATCAGGCCGTCCGTGTCCTCGTACAATATCGAGAAAGACTCCCACTTCATCCTCTTGATCATCTGCGCGTATACCTGGCCGACAAAAAGGATAGACGACTGATTTTCGGAGATGATTCTGAAACAGGAGAAGCGAGTGGTCACGGCGGCGAGCGCGTTCGTGTCCGGGTAGAGATTGATCGGTTTCACGGGACCGGGCGTCGACCTGCTCTCGCGCCTGATGACAATGTGCGGTACGTCGTGCAGCGCGCACAGCCCTTGCGTGTAGATTGATGCGATGCGCTCGTGGGGTCCTATCACGGAGGACAAGCCGAGCCCCTCGGCCCCCGACATAGAACCATTGGTGTCTGCCATTTGACCAACTGCGCAACAAATGCAAAATGTATTAATGATCCATTTGAGGATTAGTAATATAGTATAATTGGCTTGTGTTCGCTTAATTTTTTCAATATATATTGCCTTTATATTCAAATTCTATGTACAAATCTATATTATTTTTTTTATTGTGGGCAATCGTTGTAATATAAAACGGTTAGTTTCCCTTCCCTGCATAAATTGACAAATAAAGAAGTTTCACTAGGTTCAAGAACATCTCATTTTGTAACAACAGTAAAAATACTCTGTGCGAGAACATGAAATTTTCGTCTTTTATCTCAAATTTTTTATTCATCAAGATTATGAAATCTAATTGTTAGGGACATCGAGAAACCTAATATTCTCTGCCAACAGACAAGCGGAAGTGCAGAAAAGTTCACGAACAAATGTTCGCACAATCGGATGAGTGCCAAATTCCGTAGTGGTTCAAGGTTGTCTTATTGATCTGTCAGTTGAGGAAATTAATTAACAGGACTCATTAATTACTTATCACGAGAAGACCAGATAGTTTCTCGATTTTATAACCAGTTTATACGTGAAATTGAATTTTTTTTATCTAAATAAAGATATTCAATGCTATTTTCTAGTTCGATTTTATTATTTGTTGCTTTACGTATAGATGTGAGTAAACGTAGGGTCGTTTGAATTGCTCGTGTCCGTTGAATGACAATTAATTGATTATCGACTGATGACTTTTCAATTCAAAGCAGTTTCAGCTGCATCGAGTATCTTTTTTAAATATCCACATATTTTAAAAGTAGTTCGAACAAACACTTTTTGTAGATGTAAATCAAGTCGTCGCCAACTTGAACGGCCTTCGCCTCGATTGCAACCCGATGATAGAGGCTCAAGTCGACGCCGTCGTCAGTTTTGTGGATGACCTCGCAAATCTCATAGTCGTACGTGCACTCGTTGATCGGGTTCACTGCCAGCAAGAACGAGCGACGCATAAACGCATCCTCATTGAAGAAGCCACCTGCGCCCCATTTGTTCAAATAATTCGTTTCCTTTATTTAATATATATATAACGTCATGCAGTTTGGCTTACCTAGCACAGCTGTTGGCAAGGCCGCGCTACAGAGCGTGTACAACATTTACAAAATTGACGCGTGTAGGGCGTATCGCATCCACATCGTGATTCTGTATTCTGCGAATGGTGCCGCGATGTTTCACCTGCAATCATGCTGCTTTAGCGTTCGACGTATAGACGTATTCCGGACGCGCGCGAGGCATGCTATATTTGACGCAACGTAAGCGAGTGTGCGGAGAATCGTTTGCAGTTCGTTTCAGCGAAAGTTATTATCGGAAAATCCACATTAAACTAAATTGCAATTAAGCCAGTCAATTTTTAGTTGTGTTTTTATTGCTTTACTTTTCGGGAAGTCACACCTATTCGGATCTGCTACGGTGCGCCTCGTTTGACAATTAGCCGCTGAAATATTTACACATCCAAATCCAGCGCCCGTATTTTGAATATACGGATGCAATGCCAACAGCTGCTCTGTTCTCGCCTCGAGGGATATCGTTGCAGCTGAAGTTAAGGTCACTCTCGTATCATTTCACTTATTATATTTCACAACATTATTTAAATAGCTTATAGTCAGTTTTCTGTAAACAAAAAATGTTTTAAAAATGGTACGTTATTGTCTACTGTAGGTAGTGGAATTCTTTTAAGTATAAAGAGTCTAACAAAATTTACAATATAAATATTATACGTTGTACAACAATGCACACACTAGTGTAACCTGAATTATGCTGATTCATAAAAAATGACACTTTCCATTCACAAAAAGGGTAGTAAATCAACTGAATTTGTGAGTTGAATCAAACCTTCGATCAAAATAATAATTGTCTACGTATGGAGAGGCTCTGACAAAAGTATTATCAGTTTGACTGAAACTTTGGGAAAACGCATACTTATAAAATTATATAAAAAGCTGCAGTCAAGCTATATAATATTCGGTTTTCTCAAAGTTAGACTATTTTCGTCAGATTTATCTTATTATTAAGTTAAGTTTGTTGTTTGAATGGTTCCCCACCCTTTTCAGAAAAGTTATTTTTTGTTTGATAATACAAACATTCGATATTCCTTGGTCTACAAGTTAACTCCACTATAGGATAATCATAAACATCGACTAAAAAACACGAAGCCTTACGATGCACGCTCTCGGTTACTTGCGCAGACCCCTAAGGAAATTCGATGGTTCGGTCGTGAAAGGTTCTCCTAGTAGGTGACTGCATTCCTGCGAGTAAATATTCACAGAACTAAGCGTGTATACACCGATCGCCGCGAGTGAATTGTGCCATTCGCTGTGGCAGAAGAAACGAATCTAACGCTAAGTGGCTGGAGGAGGCGTCGAACGCGGCCAATCGCGCGCACTCCGGCAAACGTCTATCTAGCCACGCGGTACAACAAGCCCCAAACGTATAGCCTGCTACGAAGTTGTTGCTGTATACCTATTTATAGATCATGCGGTGCGCGAGTATGTGCAATCGCGTTTTATATATCGCGGACGCATCGACGTCACACGCCTGGAATTGAACGTCCTCCATTCGCCAACTTTACTCGTGAACGGTTTGCAAATTTGTCGTCGATAAACGATGGGACTGAACAAATCCTTTCCGTGTACTTGTCTGGCTGGATCGTTGCTTTTACCAACCTGTCGAATTCAGGATTGGGACGTAGTACCTCTAGTAGATTACTTCGCGTGATATCCCATCGTTCAATATTTCCTATATTTCTTTACTACAGAATTATAGTTTAACCTAATCGATGTATAGAACTTGCATATGGCTTCGAATTGACGCATGGATGTGCCATGGTAAAAGTGTGACACTCCTTTATATTATTATCGTAGAATAGGTTTACCACTTGCTACTTTTTAAAAATATGTCTGAGTAATTATAAGTTCAATCGGTTGCATGTATTTGATAAATAAATATTACGAATCTTCCATTCGCATAGTTACTTTTTAATTTCAACTGTTAATTATAGACGTCAAGGACTCATCTATCGGTGCGACGTTGTTGCCATATTATCCTTGATATCAAGTTTTCGTTATTCTTATTGGTCTCCACATTACGACAAAGATCAGGGGTTCGTTTTGGTTCATCTTCGCCTAAACGTCATTATGAAAATTACTATTATAAATATAATGAGGCATGTAGACGTATTGTTCCGATTCACGAGTCGCGGGAGAATTATCAGGTAATCTATAGTGTTAATTAAGCACACGCCTTCTTGAAAGACGAAGGAAAATCTGATGCTAAAGATATTTCTTGCACGGACTTTTCAAACGACCCTCGTATACGAGTATACTGACATTCAGCAGCTGAGAATATGTTGTTTCACAATGTTTATATCTGAAATGTAAAACTTATTACTACAATAAGACGACGTTTACCTATGCAATCGTTTTTTATAATAATTTATGGTTTTCTAAAAAATAAGGATATATTTCAAATTTATATATATTATATATATACGTGGGTGTGTATATACATATAATCAAATAACTTCCATAACACTGTATTTAAAATCGTATATTGCTAATCATAAATTTTGTATTTTTGGATTTTTGACATATTCAGTTGATCCTATTGAACAAGAATTTTTCGTAACAAGAACAGAATTCAATTTTCCACATTACACGGTGGATTGATTTACTTTTTTATGCGTTAGAGAAATAAGAGCTGAGCGTGTCTTTGCACGCTTAATCAGTGTAAAATGTATAATGTCAATGCATCGAAAGAAATATGTAAAATATTAAATGGAGAATAATTGAGTTGGTTTTTACAAATTTTATAATATAGTTTCAAATTTTATAATTTTTTTTATAAAACAATTACTTGAACAATAATTCTGTCAATATTGATATTTTATTACGTTACACGTCGATTTCGAGGACAAAATTATATTTTGAAACAGAAAAACAACTAAAGGAATTTACCTTATCTTGAAAACAAGTTAGCATTTAATATTTTGAATAGATGTGTGAAACTTGTACACTCTTCAACACGGGAAAGACATATTTTTCAGCTATCTTCACGTTTCATTATCGAAGATTCTGCCAGAGGTTTGAACTAACGCAAATACGGTTTTGAAAATAAAAGAATTAATTCAATTAACATGTATGTACATATCACTTTGAAAGATTATAGCGTGTAAAATTACAGTGTTCTGATCTTTCGATTTTATATATTTTGTGTATGATGATTAAATTTTTCTTCGTCACAATTTTTGCAATATCTGTTATTTTAAAGTTTATTAGCTCATTCGTATCCTTATTCTTTAAGTGTGAAAACTGTAATTACAAGGCCGGCAATATCCAGATGTATCAAAAAACAATCGTGTAAGACAGTTTAAAAAAGCTCATTTCAATTGGTCTAGTTTTGCAATTAAAAAATGAGCGAATGGTCAATGGAGATTTGTCAACTATTTGATTGTTTATGTAATTAAATGTAAGTTTTATGTACTATATTATACACGAATCTTTACGAAACACATTTAACATCTCTCATGAAGATTCAAACTTGTGTAGACATAGTACAATTACACGAACGATCTGTCAAATTTGTTTCTGTGGATCTCTGCTTCAATAATACTGTTTTAATTGGCTTCGATCGCGTTATATTCTTCATTTCGATTTTAACCGTGTCGAATAAATCAAGCTGCAATAAAGAGAAACAGCTGTTAGCCATAATCAATTCGGAATCGGCTTTTTTCCCAATTCTATACTCACCTGATTCGCTTTCGAGATCGATCGAATACTCCGAAATGATACACAGATTGTTACTATAGTAGATAACAGAAGACCAACTACTAATACAACGAAAACACCCCTCAATTGTTCTTCAGTCATCGATTCTGGGCTATTGGACTCGGGTTTCTAGAAGCAATTACATAAAACGTGTGTCGATATATTTCAATATGCTTTTGTTTGAAACTCATATGGTTCAAAGTTGGACCTTACACCGCAAAGATTGCCCCGCTCATCCCACCATTTATGCCTGAGTCCTGCTAATATAGAACTTTCTTCGAGAAGAGATATCGCTTCGTTTATCTTTTGATGAGCTGTAAAGTCTATCACGCTTTCATAAGATTATTATTCTACGACAAATATTGGACAATCGTTTCAGCTATTTACTTTTTAAGTAGGCGATGGCGTATGACTTTTGGTCAATGAGTTGACCAACTTCTTCAAGTTCACAATAATGTTTTATAGTGTACTGTATGGTCGAAGATTCCATGAAAAAAGCATATTTCGTAATATTACTTCGGACAAGTTCGACACCTTCTTCGTTTTCTTTGAACGTGTACATTTTTTTCCATTCTTCATCCAGCATCATTTGACGGTATAACCTTTGATGGTCTGGATTGCTGGAACTCTGAAAAATAACCAGAATAGAGTCAAACGAAGTCTTATTAATTAATCGACAAGCGCAATGGCATGAACGTTAATATTTTAACTGATTGGAATAACTGTGTTGTTAAAAAAATCCAATGTACTTACTTCGAAATATTTAATCGTGGACCCGTTGAGTTTAGCGCCGTATTTTATTTCCGTTTGGTCGAGTAGGTCTTTGTAGCTGTCTACTAGTCTTACAGGAGTTTGATCGAATAGTGATGCAGCTAAATTGGCAGTGTATGCATTAGAGATGATTAAACAGAAGAAATACCTGAAAACAGTTTCAAATCGTATGTTCTAACTACGAGCAATTACATGTAAAAACTGTACTAACCAAGTACCGGCTAAAACTCTTGTTGACAATCCTCTGAAAAATAGGTAATTAGCGTCGATTAAACAACCTTTAAACGTTCAAGATTAAAAAGCCAAAATAAGTTATGTCAACTTGCATTGGTGCGATTTCCGAACCCTGTTGCAAGATAGCTCCCACAGTGAACCACACGGCATTGTTGAATGTAAATTGGTTCTGCAATTCGTTAGGTTCTTCAATGCAGGGATAAGGATTTGTCCATTCGGCTGGGCAAAGACGGCCAAGGGCGAAAAATAAGATCGACATCACAATGGTGCTCAATGCTATACACAGCCAAACTTGATAGTGGAAAGGCGCGAGAAAGGAAAATAGAGTGACTACTTTCTGAGGTTTCTTCACTAACAGGCTTATGCCCAAATTCATGAAGGGCGTTGAAAACTGCACGCACTTCGCTCGGTTTTCCGTCATCGTCAAATCCGATATTGCCATATCAACTTCCTATTTGTGAAAACCAGGAAGTAAAGTAAATATGTAGTATGTTTTCTTTCCACATAGGCCCATCATTTTCACATCGTCCGATTGATTACGAAGATACTTGTTAACTTGTTAACCCTTGCGTGCTTTCAAATCGTACTAGAAATAGTTGCTTTAATTGTAAATACAAAATAATTTGCAAAGAACGTTAAAACAGTGGAAAAGGTTGAAGGAACATTCTTGAAATATAAATGTTAAAAATGTTAATTATGTTCGTTAAACAACGTTGATTTTTGATAAATCATTCGAACAATCTGACATCCAACGTGAATGAAAAAAATAGACATGGGATTCAACTTATCGATACAGGGAAAATGGTTTGTTTTGGACAAATCCAATGGACTCTCGCTCGGCATTTATTTATAAAAAATGTATGAAAAACGAGAGCCCAAAAGCTACTTGGGAATTTAAAAGATGCTTGAAATTGCTCACTCCATTAAAAACTCTTCCTGTTACGCCGTCGCAACTAATGCAGCTTGTGTAATTGCTGAGCTTTTCCCATTTGCAATTGCCATTATTCGTATTCGAATGCATGATCAACGTGTAATCGAAGTCCAATGCCTTGGACAATTCTTTTATTATATCAACAACCAATCCTTCGTAACGCTCGTTCCCCGCCATGCTCCTCGAATGTTTCACTACCATCGCGTAAGGTGGATTCTAATTTAAAACGCATGAGCTAGAGTGAAATTTTTGTGATTGCATATTTATCGTATAAAATTTGTTTACATTCGTAATGAGGACTTTGTAGTGAGGCTTTTCGCGCGACTCTTCGTATCTGAAATCGACGAAATAATTTTCAAAATTCCATTCGCAGTGTTTCTTGAGACCCGTCTCGTGGAGAGTCATCAAATCGAGTTTGAAACGTCGTCGAGCACCATCGCCGTCTATAGCTATTGAGCCCGTCAGACCCATAATTTCCGTCTAAAGTGAAATTTATCATTCGTCAAATCCTCCATGTAAACTTGATTCTATTTTGCTTTCAATGTTCACAGTAAACAATTTTACTTGAATCGAGTAATAGAAGTTATTTTTAAAATATTGCCATAATAAAGCGCTTATCATTCATCCGTATTCGTACTTGAAAATTTGTGACTTGAATAGATAAACAAATTGCTTATGAGAAATAAGCAGCTACATCGAGTCAATACATTGAATGATTTAGAATCTTACTCAAAATAAATAAGAGTAGACTCAATCGCATAATATAATCCAAGAAAACTAACAAGTAAATCAAGTGTAAACGAGTACAATAAAAATAAAAGTAAATGTTTTACTGTGCAACAATGATAAATAATTTTTATGCTTTTTATGGTTTTTAATTTTAATGCTTTTTATGATGGAAAAAATTTTTAATTGAAAAGAAAGCAATTTGAATGACTTTCCATTAACTTATGTGTTTTATTTACTCAATTGTAAAAGCTTTAATAATTGTTTTTTTTTTTTTCAATTAAAAATAATTGTTTATTTGAAAATCCACTTACATATAACAAGTAATTTCTCAAACTGAGACCTTCCTTCCAGGGATAGAATTCTTTATCGAAATCCTTGGAAAATGTAGCACTGAATAACTGTCCATTCTTATAACTAAGATCTTTGTAAGCATGTGCAAACATCATCACCGCGTCGAATATTAAGGCATCATCGAGTCGAAACTGTTCAACAGACTCGATCTTAAATACATCCAAATAATCGTTCAGGAAATCGCGGACAAATGGATTGGTGAAATCTATTAGTTGGAAACCTTTTATGTTAACGCCAGAATACTGGTACTGGCGCCAGTCGATCGCGTGCAGATCCTGACAAGAGAAAGAGAGAGAGAGAGAGGCAAAGCAATAAACAAAGCAACGAAAATTAAAAAAGAGGATCACATGATAATCGGGAGCTGATTTCGCTTGAGTTACTTACCAGTGTTGTGATGACATATCTGTAATCGCCTGTCATCATGCCAACTTCTTGTAGTTGCGTCAGCACGTTGTCCAAAATATCAAATCCGCAGTCGATGAGAAAGCTTTTGTGCTGCAAGCTCTTGGCTTTCAATAACGGCTCGCTGTGCCATATGAAACTTTGGTTACGTACGCATCGCAATGTGCACGATGTACTAACTGGATCGAAACGACTACCTGTAATTTGATCCATGACCAGCCAACTTGATTCCGTAAACGCTGTGCGTGTACCGATACATCGCCAGTATATTGCGAAGAGCTATGAAGTTATTTGTGTCTTCGTACAGTATTGAGAAAGTCTGCCATCCCATTTTCTTTATCAAATCCAGAAACACCTGTCGTGCATATGCAAAAGAGATATCAAGAGGCGCAGGTCGACCGGGCATTGCACGATATCGAGTTGTCAAAAAAGTCAAAAGCACAAAAGCGATTTTTTTTTTGCTTTGTCATTGTGATAGTCAGTAGCGTGATTGAGTTGTGCTTTACACATGTGTCGTTATTAATTAGGTATCGCGACATGCCGGGAGTAGATTGAAAACGTGGACGCACGTTGTTGACAGTTTCGGTGTCCGGATAAAGATTGATGGTCTGAGAGGCGCTGTGCTCCCGCTCGTTTTCGCGTCTGATGACGATCTGGGGTAGATTGTAGAGCTCGCAAAGACCTTGCACGTAGAGCGACGATATGGACTCGTGAGGCCCGATCACGAAAGACAAACCCTTCTCGTTCTTTATGATCGAAGTATCGTCCTTGTGATCCATCCCTGCTAGCTTTGCAACTGCGAGTGGATAATATTTTGATTTATTGCTCATTGTTAGTATGTAATGAATTCATATGACCTTAAAAATTCAACGATATTTCCGAAAATGAACGAGTAATGTCGTAAGTTGAATCAGGCAAAAATCGAAAGTGCAATTATGAAGTATCAATGCCAACGAACAATTTTGTCGAATGACGGGTATTTCATTGTCGTCCTGCGCAGTCATCGTAGAGAATTCAACCTGGTGAAAGAGACGCTTGTTGATATTCGAGTCGGTAGGACAAATTTTCTCGCAGATCTTGTGGTCGTACGTGCACTTGTTAACCGTATGAACAGCCAGTGAAAATGCTTGTCGCGTCAATTCGCTCTCGTCGAGAAATGCCCCTGGGTCGGTTAAAACGCTGAATGAACTTTGATTTACAGTGGCTACGAGAGACATTCGGACATTACCTATCACAGGCTTTGGCAACAACTCTTGTACGTCGTGACTTTCCTCCAGGCATTCCGAGTGTAAGACTAAGACAACTACTAGGTAGAGACTTATCATTGTACCTCCATTCCACAACTGTGAATACTATAAATTGTAAATTGCAGTTAATTCTCTTATAGTGCACCATTTTTTTATATTTCAAATATCAATTCTAATGAAAGAAAAAAAAAAAGAAAAAATTAAAGAACTGCGAGGATTGTTGCCTTTATTTGTCACCGATAAAATATTATTGTTTTGCCACAACGTTCATGAACAACATTCTCCGACAATTGCTATAATGTTAAATGATTATTGTTCGCTGTTACCGCATATCATCGAGTGAAAACGCATGACGTTTGGTCGCGAGCGCCGACAGCGAAACGCCGACTGACGAGTAAAACTTTAAACCGAAAGCTATTTTATTTTTAGATTATAAATGCCAATGGCTCATCTTTCAGTGAAAGAGTCGCGCGCATACGTGTTTTGCAGTAGTTCGTCCGAATTTTTCCATCGCGAAAAATCGCAACGAATGCGTTACGAACTTGCGCAAGCACTTCAGCAGCAAAGTATTTACTTCGGACAACTTGGCAAGGATATTGCTTATGCGCTGTCGGCTATAGGTCTGTTTATTTATTTTGAGATTGATAACAGCGCGGCAGCAGTAGTCAGTGAAACGCGAAGTGACGCGAGTGCACACTGCACGGGGAAAAAGATGAGCGTGATCCGAACTTGCCTGATTCCTGTAAACGCCAAGCCGTTCCGCGATCGAATGCCAAACGATTCAAGGAAAACAATGTACTCGCGTGGTGGGAGGATTCAACGATTAGCGTGAGCCATCGTTTGATGAACTCTCACGAGACAACTGGAATGGCAAAAGCACACAGCACTGAAAAGATTTTTTTCTCTTGATGTATATATATTTTCTTCTCCGTCGTCGTCGTCGCGTCTTTTCCAAGCTTGAACGACGATGCTTGCGACACTCTCGACAAGCTTTTTCTGGTACGAAAGAGGGGAATATTGAGGGGATTGACCTGTTTGTGTAATAGCTTTTGGGACAAAAATTTGAAATTCATCTTTTACAAAATTTTTACAATCTACGAAATCGAAATAAAGAGTAATCCGTACAATTATTTTGAAGTCACGCTTTTTGATATAACTTTCGTAGATCCTAGAAGCAGTTATATAGCATTGTTTATCAGAAGAAAATTACGAAATATATAATCTTCCGTTGTCGTCTTTTTCTCGTGTGGAAGGTGGTTACTCGTGTTATTACCAATAAAAAATCCTCGAATAAAATATACCACCGATAAGACATAATGCATACATAATATTTTTGTTAAGAAAATTTTTCATGTAAATGTGATATTATTTTGAAATGTTTTTATTCTTTTTGTTTTGTACACGATCAATGGTATAATATGCCTTATATGATAGGAGATACAAAACCTTGAGAAAAAAAGATTTATCAGAAATGCTAATGTAATCGTAATGTATCTATAAAAGGAAATTTTACACGTACTTGATGTTTTGACTATCATCAATTTGTGGTAAATTTCAGTAGAAGAACAATTCGAGCTATGCTCGGTTTTTCGAACGTACATTGCATTTGTCGTCGTTAAGTACGAGCATCTGACTAAAGTATACACGAACCGTTCTCACTTGATATGTACGCAGTGACACGTTTCAGAAATATTTATTGTTATTCCTTATACAAGCAGTTCTGTTAATTCGCAAAACCCACGAGTAAAAGCGAAAACCGCGGAAAATAATGACAATGGAAACTGCGTTGAAGAGACTCCTAGGCACGCGTCGTGACTGCCAAGTTATTCAAGGTGCCGTCGATAGAGCTGGTCTTCAAAGAGATCTGCTTACTTAACTCTGGTTTCAATGGGGTCGTTATTCTCAATTCCATTCGAGCGATTGTCCAAAAGCCAAGCTGCAAAATGTGAAGCGAGCGTTCGCTAGGCAGTGTCCGGGAATCGCCGTGAATCACGGCAAAAATTTCAAATTTCACGTACCTCGGACGTCTTGGAAATGGAGCGAATACTGTGCGCGAACTCGTAGATCGTGTATACGAATGACAACGCGAGGCCCACTCCCAACACATAAAAAATACCTTTCATCTGCTCGAGCGTGAGGCGTGTGTACTCGACGGTCTCCGTTTTTTTGCTCTGAAACAGTCATACATCGCGTAAATCGATTTACGATGCTCGCGAGCATTGCTTCGGCGATAAACAAACACAAACTTCGCCGCAAACTGCGCCCTTCATGTTCCACCACTTGTCTTTTAGGTCTTTGATTTCCAGCGACTCCTGAAGTAGGGACATCACGTAATTCAACTCCTTGTGCTTCGTGAAATCTATAAAAATGACAAACTTTTTCACAAGCAATTTGGATGTGTTCCTGTCCAAGGCAAAAATACACTTTCGAAAATAGAGACGGTGTTTGTCGCTGTTTAAGCATTGAAAAATAAAATAGTCGAGAGAGGGTATCGTAATCTATTTTTTTTTTGTTTGATGTAATTTTAACGTACTTTGGGCATAAGCAATAGCATATGCCTTCTGATCGAGGAGTTTGCCTGTTTGTTGAAGTTCGCAGTTGCGTTTTATTTCATATTCTATAGATGCAGATTCCATGAAATAAGCGTAATTTATGTCTTTTCTTTTGGCGAACTCAACGCCCTGATTATTATCTTTGACTACGTACTCGTTCCAATCAGGATCCATCATTTGATCATAGAGTTGTCGATACTTTTTTGAGCTCTTCGTGTATCCGATGGAAAGAATACAATTTTTTGATACATTATTAAGAAATGAGTGGCGCTTTCGTAAAAAGGCATAAGTCGCTTATTATCTTTTATCCAGTTCAAAGAATTACTGTTGAAAGTTAAGTTTATAACGATAAAATATTTTATTACGAAAACTAAATCCGACGGATATTTGAATGCAAAATTATGATCGTTCGAAAAATGTAGAAGTAAAGGTATCTCTTTATTTTCGAAAATGGGACTTATACCATTTTGATTGAGCGCAAGGAAATACGAGTAGATAAAAAATTACTTTGAAATATTGCAATGTAGATCCACCCTCCTTAGCCCCGTATTTTATTTCCGTTTGTCCTATCAAGTCATCAACGCTTTTCACAAGTACGACGGGTTTTTCTATTGTGAGAAAAGCAACCAAGTTGGCAATGTACGTATTAACGATGATCAAGCAAAAGAACCACCTGCAAGAATTCCAGCAACAAGTCGGCAGAGAGTTTTACCAGAGAGAAAAAAGATCAACTAACCACCAGCCAGCTAAAATCCTGGGAGCGAGACCTCTAAAGACGAAAAGAAAGAAAAAAAAACAATAATAAATAAGTCGAGGTTTGAGTGTGAAAACGCAAACGCACATGGGCATGATTTCAGAGCCTTGCTGCATTTTGGAGCCCATGACGAACCACAAAGCATTGCCAATAGTAAACTGATTGTGAAGCTCGGCAGGCTCGTCGATACAGGGAAATGGATTTATCCATTCGCCTGGGCAGAGACGGCCTAAGATGTAAAAGAACGCGCCCATGACGTAGAAGGTCAAGGCGATGCACAGCCAGACCAGGTGGTGGAAAGGCGCGAAAAACGAGTACCAAGTGGCCTCGGCCTTCTGCGGCTTCTTGAACAGTATGCTGATGCCCAGGCTCATGAAGGCCGTGGAAAATTGCACGCACTTCTGGCGATCCTCCGTGATTGTCAGGTCCGTGATCGCCAAGTCCACTTCCTGCGCAAATGTAATATAACGCGCGTAAAAGACAAAGTCTGGGAAGAGGATGTCTCACGTTTTTCAAAATGTTGTTCATGATGCCGGTGCACTGGCACACGCCAGTCTTGTCCTCTCTCTTGCAATTGCCATTGTTCCTATCCTTCTGCACGTAGAACGTATAGTCGAAGCTCATCCGTCCGCTCAGTTTCTTGATCAGGTCAATGACGAAGCCCTCATAGCGATCGTTGCCCTCCAGTGTATTCGTGTGATTCTTTTCGAAGGCGTAAGGAGGCGTCTGCAACGTTGACAATTCGCGCGGTCAGTCGCGTCGCGACGATAGCGGCGGCGCAGATCACACGCGTACCAGCGTGATCAGAACTCTGTAATGCTCTCTGGTCCGAGTCTTTACAAGGTAGAGCTCGCTGAAGCCATCCTCGGAGTTCCATTCGCCGACTCTCGCGAGGCCCGACTGATGGAGATTGATCACGCTCAACTTGAAGCGACGTCGCACCCCGTCACCGTCTATCATCACTGGCCCCGTCAGTCCCATTACTTCGGTCTGCAACAGTTTCGCAACGTTACTGACCGATGCGGCGATGCGCCCTCAACGCTCGGTGATCTTTACTGACTGCCAGCATGTAATTTCTCAGACTGACGCCGTCCTTCCACGGCGTCTCTTGGTCGTAAGCGCGGGGCAGCAGAGCGCCGCGCTGCGCGTGCTCGTACTGGTAACTGAAGTCCTTGTAAGCCTGGGCGAACAGAGCGACCGCGTCGAACATCACGGCGTCCTGGACGCGCAGCTTGTTCACGTGGTCGATGCCCAGCTCGTCCAGGTGCTTGCTCACGAAATCGCTCACGAACGGATTGTCCACGTCGACTAGTTGCAGCCCAGTTATGTTGACGCCGGAGTAGCGGTACGGATGGAGATTTAACGCGTGCAGATCCTGAAAGAGTCGGCCAACAACGCGGATTTCCATGCTGCTCGACGCTCCCTTCGACGGCTGCCACGCGCTTACCAGGGTTGTCACAACGTATCTGAAGGATTCCGTCATCAGTCCTACTTGCTGCGCCTGCTTCAGCACGTCACCTAGTATGCGGAAGCCGCAGTCAATGAGGAAGGATTTCTGCTTCGTAGCCTTGACTTTCAGGAGTGTTTCGCTGAAATACGCGTGCCAACTTTCAGCCAACGTACGAAAGCCAACGGACAAAGTGGCGACGGCGCGCGTACCTGAAAGTCGTCCGGTCGGAGCCCAACTTGTAGGCGTAAATCTTGTGGCTTTTTATCGGGTACATTTTCAGCAGGTTGTCCAGTGCCAGCAGGTTTTCAGTTCTCTCGTACAGTATGGAAAAATCCGTCCAGTTCAACTTTCTAATCATCTCGACGTACACCTTTCAAAAGTACGAAGCGAACGTGAAAAAAGGCTGTCGAATAGCTTGTAAGAAGCGCGACAATCTACCTTTGCAAGGGTCTCGGTGTCCGGGTAAAAATTCAACGACTGATGGAAATCGTGTTCGAAATCCAATTCTCGCCTGATGATCGCGTGAGGAATGTCGTGGATCTCGCAAACTCCTTGGACGTAGAGCGAGGGAATGCGAGCGTGCGGCCCCATCACGACTGCCAGACCGTCGCACTCACCTCCGCTGAAATCGTCTTCGTTACTGACACACGCTAGCTCTCCAACTGTCAAATCAATCGGTAAACTATCAATCGACGAGTGCTTGCGACGAAGGGACCAACTGCTAAACGCTAACGTTCCAAGGCTTTCTTCGTTGCAGTTATTCCAATGCTTTTATGCGCTCACGGAGCCCCGTAATACCTTCTTTTTGCGCTCGCCCAAGCCTTCAGAATTAAATTCAAAGTGCACGAGACGAAAATTCAATAGATAAGATGCTTTTGCGCGCATCCGAATACCGAGTACCGCAAGGTGCAACATCTTAACTTCACCGCGATCTCTCGATTAGAGCAATGTTGAAGAAAAGTTGTATAAGGTGTGGATATGCCTCAACGAACATTGTTTGTAAAGATCAATCAAGTCGTCGGCAGCTTCAACGGCAATCGCACTAAACTCGACTTGGTGGAAGAGGAGCTGGTTGATGCCGACCGGTGTCGGGTGCATTGTCTCGCAAATTTCTCGATCGTACATGCACCTGTTCACCGTGTGCACTGCCAGAGAAAATGCTCGCCTCAGCGATGAATTACTGCCGAAGTACGCGCCTGCAATCATCAAATGACCGTTAGGTTGTCGTTTCTAATCGACTCGACTAGACTGTGATTACCTATCACGGGCTTCGGAACAAACTGCCTGTAATTGTTGCTTTCCTCCAGACATTTCACGTGCAAAACGAAGGCCAGCACCAGACACGGGACGATCATTCCGATCCCATAGTATACCGGATACGAGTAGTGCCAATGTACATCTGCAATCTGAAATAAGTCGCACATTGCTGAGACTAATTCCCGAAGAATATATGTTAGCATTTGCTTCGTCAATTTTACCAAAGGGCGCCTGGCAAGATACTCCGACTATTTGGCACTGGAAATTTGTCGCGATCGATCGAAGCGAGAGCGCCGCACGTTACATCCGGTAGCGCGGGCTGCCTTTACGACTCGCGCGGAGTAAATGCCGACCCGAAGACCAAACGCCAAAACGAAAACTATTTTATTTTTAGATCATGTAAAAGCCTATCGTTGCTGCTCTTGTTGACGGAGTTACGAGTCGAGCCTTGCCACGGGGGGCACGGCAAGTCTGGATTTGCACGAGCGACGTAGCAATAACGATGCGCGTTGTCGTTCCAATCACGCTCATCTCTTTACGAGCTTGCGAATCTCGAAAAGTTTGGCAAACGAGGGAGGGGGAGAAGCAAGGTTTATTTGGCTTGATGACTTTATGAGCTTGGATTGCGCGCGCGTACACGTGCAATGTTTTGTCAGATAAACACGGGAATGGCTCTTGATCTATTTTCTTATTGATTATTTATGCGAGAATTTTGTGAGCTTTCGTTGGAACTTCGCGAAACTTCGACGTGTTAAAGCGTAGATTATCTATGCAGTTAAGGGAATAACTTCTGTCGAACGAATCTTGTGTCGGAAATGAAAAGGCGGTTGCCTCTGTTGTAATGTAATTCATTAGCAATAAGAACACTAAATGAACACTGAAGCATTTATTCGACTGCCGAAAACGTAATCAATACAAACATTGCGCACTCACCAGAACAACAAATTATCTTTGCGAACTTGTAGCTAGGTTGACTCAGGCACTCAGCTCGACTGTATTTCGACGCGAGCTTTGACGAGAAGAATTTTTTTTAAGCGCAAGCTGCGTGTATTTTTTCCTCCGCTCGCGCGTCCCTCCTTTCGACCTCGCCGTAGAGATTTTATTCTTTCTTTTGCAATACGAACTGTTACGAACTGAGTTGCCGGTACAAGTTCGGGCGTCGCAAATACAATTAAAACCATTTTTTTGTTTTCTTTTTGTTAAGCATTTTTTTCATGCACATTATCACGCTAACTTTCAAAGATATTTACGAATGCATACGCACTGGAAATAAGAAAAATAATTAATTTCAACTGAAGAATCACATTATTATCACAACTATATAGTGCTTTATTATACGAAAGCTCAAAAGTTTTACGATATTACTTTATTGACAATCAATGAATATTCTCTACAACTTTATAAAGCTTAAGCATTTATCTACAGGATTATACATCAATTTCTTTCAATAGCTAAATAATACAATACTGCAATCCGTTACATTTTCAGAAAGACAATCATTAAAGTCAAATTCTCAATATAGATATTACATAACTTATAACTATGAATGTAACGACAGCTATATTATAATATATAATGAATAGAATGTACATTATCAAAATTCTATTTTGTTTATATCAATGTGATTTATGTGAATTTTAAATCTTCAATAAAAATAAATAATTCTATCTTACAAAATGACAATCATGCATCTAATGATCGCTGTGTCTTATTTATACTTCTATTCTTGTCAATCTCGTATTTTGAAGCTAAGAATATTAAAATTTTTAATAGTGCATATATTTGTTCAAATTTATAACTTTTCCATTATTCAATCACGTACATTATAGCATAAATTAATTTGTACAAATTTATGGTTTGTTTTCTCTTTTTACTATTGCTAACGTTGTTTAGCTCGCTTTCTGTTGCATGTTTGTATGTTATTTAATACACTGATTTAACCTTTTACATGCTAACTTTGAGATTCTAGTAGTATATGCAATTTGAAATATACTAAAACTATCACTATTCATCTACGAGTAAAAATTGAATTTGCACTTGTTATTTCACAAAAAATCGATTAAAGCTTACTCGAAATTGGTGGCTTTGTGATTGCCTCGTGCAAAACGCTCGCTAACATGTTTCAAATGTGACGAGCTTAAAGCACCTCGCAAATAACAATATTTGTGAGGTGCTTTCTCTTGCAACCGAATTTTAAGACGGCGATATTAATTTCAATATCGCAGATAGGAATCGATTTGTACCGATAATTCCAGCATAATTGATGAAACACGGCCTCTTATTTTCCTAAAATGATTTATTAACTGTATAGTTCCATGCTTACAGATTATCATCCATACGTTATTCATAAATTGAATGTACTAGTGAATATAAATCTCCTATTCATAAATGTATAATACAAATGTTTCAAATAATAATGAAATTCAAAATGTCGTGCGTTTTTTTAGGCAATAATGATAATTATAATGCTGTATATCATCGGCGAATCAACATTTTTTTAAATATAGGATTCAAATAATTAAATACGTATCAGATTTTGAAAAATTACTCATGTAATGATTATTACGATTGAAGGCATGGTTAATCTTTTTGCAAACTTTATTTTAAACATCTAACCGGATACGAAACGTCTTTTCGGTTATTTATAATATTAACTCAAGTTTAAATTTTTCACAAGTATATAATGATAGTTGAATAAAAAAATTAAGCACAATTCTAGTAAGAAAAATATCTATTTATGTTGGTGCGTTTTCATTCAATTCTGAGTAGTTTTCAGAAATAAATTGACTATAACTACAAATCCTTTTGAGTAATATAACTTTATTCAGAAATGTGACGTTTCGGAATTTCATTACATTTGTGAAAAGACTATCATTTGTTGTCAAACTATGTAAAATTTGAATTGTAATGTTTAACATACTTTTTTGCATACTTAATAAGTGAAAATTAATTACATTTGCGAAACATTGCATTTTTGAATAAGTTATTATTGGTTAAAAAGATCTGAAATAGTAGGAAACTTTTTTCTAGAGAACTTTTATCTTTTAATAAAACAATAGTATATTAGCTAACTAATGCGGGAAAGTAGACTGTTGTCTCGTGTGACGTTTACGCTCGAGTTAAGTGATGCTGGAAAGGCAGATGAGATAAGAATCTCTTTCTCGAACATGTTAGGTGTAGTTATTTTTTCAAAACAACGCGTGGAAAGCACGAATTTAAATCCAGATTTTTCGCCGAGTCTCCGACAAAATCGTACTTTCTGCAAGTGCGTATTAAAAAACTATGTTCCTCAAAAGTCGAACGAAATATCTCTTTAAGAACTAAACTACAGTAAGGCATTTTTTTTCGAATAATGACGAAAATAACTTTCAAGCATATGAACTTTCTTGATTGTGCACGTGAAACTTGTTATGATCGTTATTTAAAGATTCTGCAGCAGACGAATTGGTGTTAACACGATGCCCAGTAGAACGAGACTGAAGGCGAGTACAGCTCCTGGATGTGACCTTTTGGTTGTGTTCAAAATGGAATTCTGCAAAGATCGTGAACAAAAAATCAAATCTAATGTTTCTCGATCTGAAAATTAAACTTGCACTTACAAAACAAGAAGCAGCGGGGTCGTACCACCATTTAGTATACAGATCCGTAATAATGAGTTTGTCCAGTTCGTCGCATACTTCCTTGTTGGCCATTTTTCTCTCTGGGGCATCTACATTAAATACCTTTTTTTGCTATGTGTCAGGTCATAATAATAATTGTTGCGTTTTTCTTTTTTCATTGACTCACTGTTCCCGCAAGCGATAACGTAGGCTTTCGGATCGATGAGGTAAATTTTAGGATCAGACTGCTCAGTGATTTCATCCTTCTTTGATTTGTGAATCCCTGGCAATTGAAGTTTCTGAAAATAAAATTGAAACTGCGGATGATCCAGGCCCTGTTTGAACACAAAATGTTTCAAATAATTTCTAGATTTAATGCCCATTTGCAATTGAGCAGTAATAATATGTTTATAGATGGTAATTGCAAATATCAATACATCTTCACCTCCAGATAGTTGAAGACACATTCGCATTTTTCATCATTAAAATTATCGCCATCGCCGTTGCATATATCTTCCATATTTTTCACGTCTTCGAAAAAATTATTCAGCGTCTGAAATATAATCGCCTGAGAAAGGTAGTTTGTCGCCATAAATAGGAAAAACAGCCATCTAAATTATTGGAAAAAGTACATTTCCGTTCGAATGAGTTCAAAACTGAATACAGAAAGCAAAAATTCTTTTTATTACAAAATGAACTCACAAAAATCCTGTTATTAATGTTGACGATGAGTTGCTGCAATAAAGGTACATTCTTATCAGTCACATGGCACAGAATAAAATTATTCGGTTTAAATGTTTAGCGATTATATTTTATTTAATTTAAGATATTCGCATTTACTTGTCCGATGTTAATTCTGATGTATTGGAGTCATTCCGTAGATTTTTCATCTAATAAGTCTGTAGAATCCATGATTTTTATATAATTAATGTTTACTAAAAATCTATAATAATTGATAAACTTTAATAATGGCCAAATTGTAAGTATTCATTGCAAAAGAATGATGATAATGCATCTGGTCTGAAATTCACGCGACGCGGTCTGTAGTGACAGACGAATGCGACTGCAGCATAACCAACGATGGTCTCGGAATAGAAATCTCTTATTTTTCATCTTTAGATACAAGCAGATACTGCTGCTGTGGCGCTTATTTTGGAGTCAAGGGGCACAAGTTATGGGATTTTAAAACGCGTTATCTTACATTCAAATGTAATTCCTGAATAGACGAAGTGATTCATTTTTCTTCCTAATTTCCTAATTTTTGAATGTAACGTATGATTATTTGTTATTTGTACGCGTGAAAAAAAAGATTCACTTCGATAGCAACGATTTCATAAAAAAAAAAATTACCTACAACAATCTTTAATTTGACGCTCACGTCAATATATATATTATCTTTACCAACTGATACATTTTCAATTTAAAATTATAGTAGGAGTTAGTTACATTTTAGCTGAAGCATTAGTACAAACAAAACTTATTCCATGGTAAAATTTCATTCAAATTTATTCAAGTAGAATAGCTTGTAGCTATCGAGATAATATTTAGATATTTCAATTTAGCGACAATCTTATCAGCGAACATTTAAAATTATACTTGACTTTACTTTACATGGGTATTATAGGTATCTGTCTGAGACGCCGATAAACCAATAAGCAGGCGTGAATATTTGAAATTATATTAGTAATGCATATGAAAAAGCTTAGACTATTCAAACATCGCAATGTTTGCGTACTTGTTTGCGCAAATATCTAACTGTATCTTTATATATAGATAAAAATTACATTGAACGTTGCAAAAAATCTAGTAAACGTCCACCTGAGTGTTTTATAATATTGAACGACCAGTGTCACATTGAAAATGATAATAATTTACCCTCGATATCAATATCAATTGGCCGGCCACAAAAACCGGAAAACCATTCCATTGTTACTCGATCTAATTCCATCTTTAAAATATTCAAGAGCAATTCCAACTTGCTACATTAATGATACTAGCCGTTTAGATTTTAAGATATAGCAATGAGTGTTTAATAATAGTAAAATTGCTGAAATACGTGCTTGTACTAAAAGAATAACATTAAAACAACTCGTCCGTACTGATATCTGGGTATAATAGCGAAAATTATGCTTGCGATCGGTATACCAGCTCTCAGTTAAGAGAGCTACTGCCATCTACTGAAACTAAACTAAATTAATCTGCAAAAATGGCGTCTTAGTCAGATGTGCAAGGCGGGAGGTCTTATCCGAATTACCCCAGGTACCCCCGCTCTTATTATTTACTACAGCTGATTGACTTTAATGCATCAGATCAAACTTTATAATAACATTAGTAACGAGTATCTATTATCTAAACAATGAGCAGATGGAATTTAAAAAAATTACTTTTCGCGTATTAATTAATTCGGGAAGCATGCGCACTGCTTTGGCGTTTGGACGGGAGCCAGTAGTTATAGGTCGAGACAGTTTTTTATTTTTAGTTGCTTAAATAATCAAATTATTCATGATTTTATTATGGGTGCCATTAGTTCGTCTTATGAACTAACGATTGGTTTACGTATAAATTTTTTTTAACAATTTTTTCTAGGTTTTACCGGAACTTTGGTTTGGGTGCTAAGATCAGCACCCAAGACTTATTTTATTAATTTCAAAGGAGTTCCAGTGGACGAACTAACAAACGGCAAGAGAAAAGTTGTTGCTATCTTGACGAAATATCTAACGGTATGATTAGTTCATCGATTATTTAAAAAAAATTGATTCTGGGTGCTAACTTTTAAGATCTGCGAAAATTGCGAGGTCTGAGGCCCTCGCCACATATGCGCATATGCGCGCGTTCGAGAGCGTACAAACGCGTACAAATCGCTAAAAATTTTGACAGTACCAACAACAGAAAGTTACTACTATTCCTCGCATGCCCCAAACGAACACACTTATTCCCGGAACAAACGTATCATAACCTTCAATAATATAGCGTTATGATACGTTCATGGAGATGGTAGAGATGCGGACGGATACGGACGCGAATCGCAATTCTAGTAACATCACTAAAAATATCTAGTTCGATTATTTAGTACCAACACTAACAGTAGTGAGCAAAAGTGACTGTTGTTTAAATAGGCCAAACAACCTATAGCTCTCAATCATAGGGTTTCATGACAAAAAATAGTACAGGTAACGACTAGTGCTATCGTATATAATAAAGCAACAATTACGGTATAAATATGAAAGTTGTAGGTAATTGGATAACGAAGAGAGTGAGCCATCGCGTGACTTTATAACATTATTGGAAGCCGAGAAAATGTGGAAAAACGATGAAATTTTCATTTTTTTTATAAAATTTATTCTCCGTCGGTTTTTAACTTGGAGAGCCGAGATTTGGAACTATAGTAGCTGGGTATGAATACTTGCAAGTGCGCGAAACCCTGATTCTGTGCAACATTTTTTTTCCGCGCAATTATCTTTTAAACAATTTAAGGCAAAAAATTCGGACAAGTCTCTACTAAAATCGGACAGTTTAATTTTCATTTTGAAAACAGTTTCGAAAACTATACATTTTTCGCTTCAAAATGTATATTCTGAATTAGTAAAAAAAGTATTGTAAAATGCCTTTCAAAAACGCAGAATTTCAACATTTTCGGCCGAGCGCATCGGAATAGTCGAGTGGTGGGGGGACCGTCAGCGAAGGAGAACGGCGCATATATAGTAATACAAAATATTATTTTATTCACAATTAATAAAATATTATTTTATTCACAATTAATAAAATATTATTTTATTCACAATTAATAAAATATTATTTTATTCACAACTTATTTTAACTCGGAAAATTCTGAAAAAAATTGAGAGTACTCCTTGGTAAATTTTAAGACTCTTTTGTTATTATGAATTTTTTTATTGAGTCAATAGTTTTTGAGTAAAAAATTAATCAATTTTATTCCTAGTATACATTTTTTTCAAATTAGTTTCACAAAATTTTAAAAAATTTCAGACTTGAATAATTGAAACAATTATTTTTTTTTGCTACCCTCGCTAAAAGTCGATTTTCCTGATCGCGACGCGATAGGACTTTAGGCGAGAGAGTTAATTTTCGAATTCGTGGAAAATCGAAAAATCGAAATTTCCAAATTCGCTGTAAAAAAATCTGAAAAAATTTGAGAGTATTTCTTGACTAATTTTAAGACATTTTTGTTCTTAGAAATTTTTCACTAAACTTGATAGTTTTGGAGGAAAAAATTCGTCAAGTTTAAAAAAAAAATTTTTCCTTTCGAACGCCCTTTTGAATTTCGGAAAAAATCCAACGGCATTTGAAAGAAAAGACATCTATAACACCGATAACAGTGTTTCCAATGGTGTGTGCAAAGTTTTTCCATTTCAAAATATACTTTTTTTAGAAAAAAAAAAACGCGAAAACTTTGTGAATTTTCCGAAAAACCGGCCTATAACGTTTCTGGCTTATAATTTAGGTAAATTTTGTCAACGGCATTCGAAAGAGGAGGTCAAAATCTACAAGATATGATGCTTGATAAATTTTTCATACGGTTTTTTCATTAAAAGATATGAGGATGAAAGTTAAGAAAAAATTTGTGTTATTTGGGAAGAAAAGGGTTAAGTCATAAAAAAATACCTATTGCTTGGCTTAAAAACTGTAGCGCCGAACGTACCACATTTAATGATCGCCTATCTAACCTTTACATTATTGCAGTCTATAAGATGGCAAATGATAGAGAATTGATAGACTTTCAACTACAATTAGTGGAATTAGGCCTTAATTTTATGGAAGTACTTGAATATATGAGAAGAAGAAGAAAATAAATATAAATGATATGTATTAATCATCCCAAAAACTTTTTTTACATTAGCATACTCATCAATAAGCAATATTCATGAAAATTTGAAAAGTAAATTGTAGACCTGACATTTGAACATTAAATGTGGTACACCTGTGGCGTTCCCACGGTTCGACCATCCCCATCGAGATGGCATCGGCTAGCCACGAGCGGCAAGAAATACGCTCGCTGAACATATAAGTCCGCATAGCGACTCGCGCACTTCGAGCGTATGAGGCAGATGTTACCGGCCGTCAAGCCTCACTGACGAGTCCAGCCGGTAACATCGGGACGAAACGCTTTCTTCCTTACCGACCGCCGAGTGTGAGCCTGGCTAGCTCACACTGCGACCAACCTTTTCTCGAGACTCCTCGTACGCATTCAAGCATGCGCGAACGACGCGCATACAGCCAAACACCCAACGTGGATTGAATCGCGACCCCCCCAGTTAGGTTGGTATGAGACTATGAGTGCTACTTCAGTCCGTAACGGTGGTTTTCAGATCGGCCATAGTATAACGCTCGTTCTTAAATTATATAATTAAAACCTAAAATCAAATAATCATGCATCTAAATTCATTGTTCGGCAAACAATTAATTTTAAACCTAAAAACAAATTAGTAACGTTTTAGCTTTTTATCGTATCTTAAAACGAATTTTCATTTTTGAATTTTCCCGCGGTTTCTTCGTTCAATGCAACGACGGAATTCTCATACCAACCTAACTGGGGGGGGTCGCGATTCAATCCACGTTGGGTGTACCTATGGGACCGGGGCCTTACCTTCGCGCTCGCCTGTCTTCGAACAACTCCGCAATTCTGTCCGCAACGCGCTGATGCCAATGCGCTTCGCCCGACCGCGTCTACGTGCAACGCGACAAACCTGTTGTTCGCGTGCTTCCTCCACGTCAACGGCTTCTTTCTCATGCGCGTTATTCGTTTCCCGATGCTTGCAAGCTCGCGGAGACAGCTGACACTGAGTCGATCGCCTGATAGACTCAACAATAGGGACTATTTAGCACTTCGACAAGATTGAAAAGCACGCGCCAAGGCAATGAACGTACATTACAGGTCGACTTGAGATTCCAAGATGTATGGCGATACCTGGTTCGATAGCAAGAAAATAAATGCCCGGCCAACAATATAAGCAATGACAAATCTAATCATATTTCATTTCATCATTACAGTTATCAAAAGTAACATCCGCGCTCATTATTAACAAACCGACGAATATAGTATAAGTTACTTGGCAATCGAATATGAAAAGATACAATACACCACTTAGATCATTACAATTTATTGAATCGTATTGTTTTTGGAAGGATGAATAGATATGTCAATAGAAGCTTGTAAAACACAGTTGAGGATTAATTTACAACTCGCTCGCCGAAATTTCCAAACTCTTCATTTTTTTCTACGTTATATTTTAAAAGCCCGTCATAGAAAAAAATGTTGAGGATACGTTGGCAAATTATTAATTAAACTGACAAAGTTATGTTCCAATCATACTCAGTCTCCCTTCAATTTTTATTGTCAATGCGAAAAATGAGCAAATACAGCCTATTTTATTCGGCAATTTCAAAATTTGTTCGAAAATTCACATTACCGATCGAGTCGTTATATAAGAGCAAAAATGACGTCGAACACTTGCGCATGACAACTGCCCCTTCTGGCCCTCTTGTAGCAGCAGATCGTCAGCCAGTCAGAACCTCAAATATTCATATTTTACGGAAAAATTCTTAATTTACCAGAATAATATTGGTAAGAGCTTATTTTCGCTTATTTTATTAATATTCTAAGTAAAGTTGAATAATTACTTTCGAATTTCGACAGCATCATCAAGTTATTTTGTTAGCAAAAATGCGAAAGTCAATTTCATTGATTTGTGTTCATTAACATATTTCTTAATATTGGCAAATTTATTATAAATATCATTTAATGCTTCGACGTTCCTGAAAACCAGAGTATAATAACTTTGTAATTTAATCTTTTTAATAATATTGATAAAAACTGAATATATTTTAACAATGAAAGTAGTTTACAAAAAATAACCTTTGTAATACAGATTTATGTAATCCATAATAGCCAATACTTACTGAGATTCATTTTTGTTCTGATAAATATTTTCTTTGCAGCAAATATGGCTGAGGAAATTTCCAGGCCCATGAAATACCCATACACTTTGTCTGCAAAGATTGCTCAATTCCCATTCAAATATTACTATGACAACAGCTGGGTATTCAAGTATAGTGCCTTTGCATTTATTCTCTGTATTCCAATCTTCTACAAAATTCAGAAGATGTGTAAGTACCTCAAACCTAATATGCACCTTTTTTCTCAGATTTAACCTAAATTGCATAAAAATGTATTCATGTTTATATTTTAAATTACAGCCTATAGCCCTGAAAATGTTAAGAAATGGCAAGAGACCCGTAGGAAGGAATTCAGTGGTGAACACTAATATATACCACATTCAAGTTTAGCGTAATATCAATAAATCATACTTCTTTGATTAAATGGTAAAATGTAATTATTTCTGTTCAAGGAACAATAAATAATGTCTCTAAATTGTTAAAGGACAAACTCATGTATTTTATTTTGAAGGTGTTTATTACCAAATTAATTGTATAAAACGTACATCCATTACAAATGATTTTCAATTGTGCTGTACAAGATAATGCTTAAGATCCAAGTGTATTTTTTTTTTTCATTAAAATTTGGGTAGGTCCAGCCCAAGATTCTTTTTCGATTGACATGGAAGTGTTTCACATCTCATACTCTGACACAATTAAGTACTGTTATTACATTAGTCTAATGCAAATTTAAAATTATGCAAATCCAGTATAAAAGTTTCCATGAATCAAACCTGGATTGTTTATTTTTAAATAAGATAAAATCTAAAATTTCTAGTCTAAATGAGCTTACAGTTTTGAATCTTGTGAGGCATAGATCGTGAAGAGATTAAAAATGCTCATAAGACAGGTGTAATATTTAGTTTTCAATTACTCTAAGATGTAAATACATAGTTAAATCAATAAATAATAATTTATGAACCAAGTGGATTATATAACAATATTGTAGAACAATAAATTGTAGAAGTGCTAAATTGGATACTCAAACTGAAACATTCTGAATCAAATGTCCCACACACTGGTTCTTATGTGATTGCAATTATTAGCTGAGAAGTTTAAATTTTAATCAATAATACTAATCTCAGCTAGGTCTACGAAGGAATAGACAAATATAACTCGTGTGCAAAAAAACTTGAAAAAAAAAAAAAAATAAAAAAGAGATTATCTAAGGATAAAAAAAGCGTTTTGATACCGACTACATCAGTTGTCAATAATTAATAATCTCTACCGATCAGTCATGCTCTTACACTTTTCAACATTTCACGAGCTTTCTAAATTTGTTCAAACTAAGAAAATATTTTATTTTACTGCACAACGGAGACTCCATGAGTCTCGTCTTCACAAACACATATTTATTTCTTCTACTAGCGATTTGCTTGTAAAGTTCACTGAAATACACGTACGGTTTGTAATAAAAAGAAAAGAAGAATTGATTTTTTAATTCTGATTCCGATGGAAGGCAAGTCGTTGTAAATTATATCATAATCGAAGCCGAATTTTTTTCTAGCTGTCATCTTCTGAATCATCCTCGTTATCGTCGCTGTGCTCTACACCATTTTGGCCATTTTCCTGAAGCTTTTGCATTTTAGCCTGTGGCTGCCGAATAGCGTCTTCATCGTAATTGAGGTTCAGCTCTTTACACCGCTTCTCGAAGAATTTCTGTAGCCTCATGCCGGCTCTATAAACGTAACTAATTAGGTGACGGTAAAAACATCCTTTTGCTTAGCGTCTTTAGCGCGTTCGGAAGCCAAAGATTATGATGTCCGTAATAAACAATCTTATCAGATATAGTACCAATGCCCATTTATCTGCCCATTATGCACATATATGCCGATTTTAGTTAATGAATGGATGATTATTTCGATGATTTTTCAATTTTGTATCATGCACGATCATTTGAAAATAATGGGGATGCCAAGTTATGATAGTGAACGCCAACTTTCTTTCATATCGTGTGTTTTTAAATTTGATGATATTTTACATTTATTTCATTAACAAATTTTAATTTAGTATTTCAGCAAACTTTCAATTAAAATTCAAGTAATAAAGTAATTTCCAGTTATAATTCGTTATAATGGAAATTACTTTATTAATAAACTTTAATAAATAAATAAGTCCAAATAAATAAGTATTTGTCGTTCATTTTCAAGCTCGTATCCAACAACGATGATCAGCGCAATTAGATTTCGAACACCGCCTTCAGATCGTCTCTGGCGTCCGAACTCAATGATAAGCAAGTATTAATAACAATACTTACTTGTAAACTTCACTGTGCTCAGTATTATATGTTTGAAAATTATCAAAAATCAGTAAACAATCGCTGAAAAATTCCTGGACGGTGCCATATTTGCCGTCTTCAAGTTTGCTCTTAATCGTGCCAAAGTCCATCGGTTGAGAAATGTAATCGTAATAATCAGGGACCTCGTCCTTGAGAACGGGCGACATGAAAGGCCAAGAATCTCGATGACGTTTTATTTCGCCCAGTAGTGCTAGAAGTGTTGGTTTAGAACCTTTTATCGAGTGTCTTAGCTCTTCCTCGTATTCAATTTCGGCTGCTCTTTTCGCTGACCGCCTTGTATTTCTTGAATGTTCGATTTCATCGGACAAACTGCTGTCTGTAATTTAAATTTTTACTTTAATATACACATATATAGAGTAGAAAACATTGACAGAAATCGGATTTTTAAAATATCTTGTGTATGGGTGGATAAATATACAAATAATATTTACAAATGAGAAAATATAAAAATGATAGGCATGATTACAAAAAATTAAGCGGCATTTAATTATGTTAATTTCTAGTCTATTTTTCTAGATTAAGTGCAATGATTAATAAAAAAATAAGCGCAATTAAAAATAATGTGTTAGCGAAAATTGTTTCACATGTAAAACACGAATGGAATCGATAATACAGACCGTCCCAGTCTTTCGAGTCTTTTGTAAGTAGGCTCTTGGCAAAGCCGTGGATGCGGGAGCGTGCCATAGCTGCGCAGCTTCGCTCTGACTCCCTATCCCTTTCGCGACTTCTCAATGCTATTATAAAAACATACCCAAAAACTAAGCCTTTCTTGCTCCACTTACTTAACTCTATCATTTTTTAATAATTTTATTTTTAATTGTTGGTAAACTAAACTTGATACACAAAATGCATAAACGTTTCTACGAATAAGCCCTTTGCCTAACTTTTTTTTTTATGGACGTTATTTAAAGTGATTGCAAATCAAGTTTAGTAGGTTTTCAAATTTCCTTTACAAGAATACGGGAAGGTGGTATATTACCTGGCCTCGAATTATTTTTCCTTGCTTTACAAGAATAACACGTCCAACGACCTCGCGGTGGTCTTGCCAGTGGAGGATCAAGACAGTCGGTGTGATAACACTTTGAACAGTTATCGCATTCTACAAGTTTACCATCGTGATCACATACTGAACAAACTTGGTTGTTTGATCTGAAATAAATTCACAAATTTAGTAAGTATTTTGATAAGCTTTCCAGAACTTTATGATATATAGAACTTACATTTCATGCTCACTGTCATTTTCATCTGCTGCCTCCTCTTCTTCGTCTTCACTTTCCGCCACTCGTTTTGCACGAGCATGCCTTGTTTCTTTTGTAAGGACTTCTTCTTCTACATCGTCCTCGAATTTCCTCCTTTTCTTTGCTTTCTCTTTTGGCTTGGTTTCTCGTGGCTTACACGATTGACAGAACCAATCACCTTCTGGTACGTACTAAAAGTAAGAATTGAAGAAATTTTATATTTGAAAAAAATTTTAATTTGAAATTTGTCGTAGTGTCAACTTACATTAAGTTTTGGTTTCAGGCAATACAAATGATGACCTTTATTGCAACCATCACAAAGTAACATATTTTCAGCATCTCTACGCCTCCTGCAAATTCTGCACTGTGCATTGGACGCACTCCTACTCCAAGCAATACTATTTTCTAAGGTATTCAAATGTACAAAGAGCTGGGACCAGCTAGTAGATGCCATGAGGGATTGCTCCCACCTATCCCTAGCCTCTTCATTCGACGTCTTTTTGTCTTTTTCGTCGAGACCAAGTGGTTTTTTCAGGTACTTAGGTTCGACGGCATGAGACACTTGCAAAATAGCACATGCCATCTGTTTGATTGTGGTTTGTTGCATTGAATCTGGACTCGATTCATTGCTCTCTGGTGGGCCAAGATACTTGCCTGGATCACGATAAACTTTTGTATTCGAGTTAGCTATGTCCGAGTCAGGTGTTCCAGCTCTGCTATTCGACTTTGTTTCGATTTTGATTTTATCTATTATTCCATTACCAGCTGCATCCACTGGAGTCTCGTTCAAGCCAAACACTAACTTATCACATTGCTTGTCGTACTTGCGATTGTTTATTGCGTTCCTCCAAGCCTCGCGATCGCGTACTTTTAACGAACCCAAACAACCGACTTTTAGTTTATCTTCTAAATCTAACACGAAATCGCGTAGGTTTATCTCTAATATGTCGCTGATCGGCATATCAGGAGGATACGTTGTATGATTGCTGTCGGCTTTTTTCTTCGACTTGGATGTATCTTTTGGCGGATCATTGAACTGTGTAAAAATGTAATTACGTTAATCAAAATGAATGCTAAGAAGTAAGTTGTTTTTACAAATACTTACGAGTTCGGAATTGAATCTATATTTTGGGCATTCGTTTATTGCTGCTACTATACTTTCCCTTTCATTAATAAGATTATGCTTAAGTTCCGATTCTCGGACTCCTCTCTCACTTAGTGAAGATATTAGGTTATCTAATTCTTCTACAGTGCTATAAAAGCTCCATTTAGAGCCGACTCTATTTACATGAACTGGGCAGTCTTTGTTGCCAGTGCAAGCCATTAAACTCTTGCGCATGTCCTTTTTAATGTCTTTGCGAGGAGATTTAACGCCGTTTTTTTCAGTGAAAATTTTTTGCTTCGTTTGTTTAATTTTTTTGAATGTATTCTCTTTATCACTGGTTTCATCCTCGAACTTGCCTTTCAGATAATTGTTTAAAGTATCACTGTCTGTTAATTCTGGCATGTATGGCGTACCTTCTGGAAGACACGTTCCTGGCCAAGGATCAAAATTTTCGACAAAAATACCTAAAAATGAATATAATAATTAATAAAAAAATTCTAGAAATAAAGATGAATAAATATTCATTTACCTGGTATAGATAATAATCGCCAATATTTTCTATGTGCTCTGTCATAACCCAAAAGAACCATCATTTGGTCATCTTTTGATGCTTGTTGTAATTCCTTCAATTTAATTTCATACTCTTCTTTTCTCTTTTCCTCTTTGCAATTATTCCTTGTGATCTTCTTGAGTTCTGGTTCTTCAACTTCTTCAACTTTGCCCTCTTTTTCTTTTTCCTTTTCCTTCTCTTTCTCTTTTAACTTTTCCTTTTCTTCTTTTTCTCTCTTTTGTTCAGCAATAATAAAAGATTTCAATTCTTTTTTCGCATGAAACAGCTTTTCATACCTTTCATCTATGATATCACGAATAGACGCGAATGTCAATAACTGATTAATCAAACATATGATAACGGTCATTCGTTCTTCTATGTCAAATTCACATATATTGCGATGACTCAGAGCTCGTAAAATTTTAGGCTGCTCTATTCTGAGTAACAAAGCTGGATCATCATGATTTGTGTAGCCACCTAAATAAGTAAAATAAAATTATTTAGTATTATGGTCACTAATAAATAAGCAAATATGTATAATTTTTATTACCTCTTTGAGAATATCTCCATTTAGAAGCTGCTTCACTAATACGACCGCCGGAGCTTAAAAGGTGCTGCCTCAAAATTTCACTCATTGTGTAATAGTCTAATGCAAGCTCTGATAACTGACATCCTTGATGAGTTTGACACCAGGTTGATGCCATTGTTGCTAATTTAACCGCTTCTGCCATAGAAGAGATTCTCTGGTTCTCAACATTTTCACCACCTTCTTCGGTGGAATCGGCGTGAATTTCATCTTCCTCTTCAGCCTGATATTTAAAAATATTAGCGAGAAGCAGTTGAACAAGATCGTTAAAAGCCCCAGTGACTTCTTTGTCTGTCATGGCTTTTTGCAATACATCTAATGTAACGCCATTAGAAAAATAAGTTTTAACTTCGATTTCATCATAGAAAAAGTCAAGAAACTCCAAAATCATTGCAAAGTCACCGAATTTATCATTTAATAAATCACTAGTGAATGGAGTGGCTTCTGGAAGTGGTTTTAGATCTTCACACTCTAAATCTTCTCGTGGTTTATTCCACATCCTAACGTAAGCTGCCAATGCTGCTTGTTTTAATTTTTCTTCTTTTTTACGTTCTCGCTTTTCTTCGCGTTCTTCTTTCTTTTTTGCTTTCTCTTCTAAAGCTTTTGCTTTTAATTCCTCTTTGAATTTACCATTCATTCTGTAAAATCAACATTTTATTTAAATAATTGGAAACCATAATGAATTAACAATAAATCAATTGATAATTTTAATTATTGAAAATTAAGTACCTTGGTTTTCTATACTTTTTCATAACAACACCAGAATCATTAACCTTTTTAAGAGGATCAGGTTTATCAAAAGTTCTCATCTTCGTTGGATCTGAAACAAGGAACTTATCCATAAATTCTTGCTTCTGTTTTACAACCTTCCTTGGTTTTGATGTAAAATCAGGTAGAGGCCCAGCAAACAATGAATCAAAACGTGTTTTATTGATACCATATTTCTGCAAAATACTTTCCTAAAATGAAATATGAATTATAAAAAATTATGATATTTAAACAAATATAAGAATAAGTGAAAATATAATAAGGAAATAACTGATACCTTCACAACCCATATTCCAGTGGTGCTTTGTTCGCACAGCATCCTTAGGAAAATTTTATTTCGTTCTCTGCTGTACTGTTGTTTTTTTCTGCGAATTTGCGATGCTTCGACAATCATCAATTGACTGACATCTGAATCACCACTGTCAAGCTGTTCAACCTCATAACGAAATAATCTTGCTGGTGGATAATACTGTCTATCTTGTTGATGTAGGCTTCTATAATAAAAAAAAATAAAAATAATAATATTCCTTTGTTTTTAATTTTAATAAAAAAATAATAAAAACAACTTACTTGCTATTATCTGCATTGTAAGCTTGTATTTGTTGTTCAGTAGGCTCTATAACTTGAAGAACATGACACTCGCACCAAGAATCTTCTGTAAAACTAGCTTCAACCATTTCTCCAATGAAATATCTTTCCCTGGCATATTGATATACATCCTCAATCATCTCTCCCAATGAAGTTCTGGATGTTTTACTTGCTAGATAAAGTATTGGGATTCTTAGCTAAAAAATAAAATTAAAATAGATACATAATCAATCAGCTGTATAATGTTTTTATGTAGACAAATAAAAACTGATGCAACAAACCTCCATTGGAAACTCTTTAAGACTCTCCTTAGCATGCTCCTCACATTGTAAAGCTTCCTCATAGGTCATACCCGACTTGCCAGTAATGCTGCAGGACCATACCATGGAGTTGCAGAGAATGATTCTCTCGCAGAACTCACTATAAGGATGATGATAAATAAAACATGCGAAAGTCACGACGATGCCGAAAAGGGAAAACTGCTAAATCGCAGTAACATGTAAAAGGCTTGAAGCTCGTCACGATTAGTGCGAGTCACAAGCAGGCACGCTTAACGCGCGTAACACTGTACTAGCAGCAAGCTGCCGAAGCACGAGACGCTAGCATATACTCACTTGTAATCCTTGAAGATTTCGTTGGTCACGGCGCAATGGAATACCTCGTCGTCGTCGCGAAAGTCCGATGAGACGTGTAACCTTTGAAAGGGTTTCTTTCTGAGTAACGGCATCTTTGACCGCGAGCTATCCGGCTTGACACTGCGAGCGAGAGACTCGACTCGCGCTCGCGAGACAGAGAGAGAGAACGTGCGCCCTCGACGAGGTCGTCACGCGGAAATCAATCGGCGCGCACGATAGGATGGTAGTACGCTCACATACACAGACACACACTGCGCGTTTCTTTTGGCAACAGAGAGCAAGCGGCTGATCTGACCTGTCTGTTTGTCGCCGGATGACGACAACAACGAAAAAGAGAGACTCGACGACGACAAAACGCCTTCTTCACGTCGATCACACTTGATATGATGCTCATCCGCGAGAAACGCGCGCTTTCACATATACACACCACCTGCCACTAAAGTATACTGCAGCGGAGAGGTAGGTAGGCATCGAAAACTGCGAGAGCGAGAAAGAGACAGACAATAAGAGAGAAAGAGAGAGCGCGCGCGCGCACGACGTTACGTACGTACGTTCGCTGTGCTCTCACTACAGCGGACTGAAAAACGACGAGAGATGAGGTGCTACTATAGTCCGTGCCATGCGCGCAATGCGCACAACGGAAATTGACAGCCAGTTGGTTCGTCTCGTTTCTCCCGCGTTCGCCGACACAGACTTATCCACATTTGCGCCAAATTTTGAACGCCGCTTATCGTATCGGTTCTTTCTTTTTTCAACTCTTATACTTCAATGGCAGGCGGTTGACTGCATTTAGCAATATATCATTTGCAAACTATCATTTCTATTTCGTTAGTAATGGTGAAAAGATGGTCAAGTATTGCGAAAATTATTGCAGTTCGTATTGCACTATGCACAATTTTTAACGGAAATGGGTTCATCATGAAGAAGTGCCGCCATTCGGTTATTCTACCAACTTTTGGGAGCACTTCATATCACATATGCAAAAGAACCAAATTGAGAACAGATCGTAGAATGCTATTTACGCTGAAATAAAGAAATAAACAAGCGATTAAAGTTATTTCATGTTTATTTTTTAAATCTTTGAAACACTTTCAATCGGCTGAAACCACTGGCGAGTTGCGTTTGCGAAATTATATACACACTAAAGTCAAGAGATTGAAGCGAAAGCTGTTTAGCATTGTACGCGCGTTTTTTTTCTCCACATTGGTAGTATCTCAGGGAACGAAATCCTTTGAAAATTTTAATTACATTGAACGTATAGCAATTGCATGTATGTACGTATAACAATATATACGTATGCATTGAACAATAATATACATAAAGTTATTTTTATTTTCTCAAAACTAATCATTCAAACAAAAAACTGATTTCAAATTCATTCTTTGCAAGTATTTGCAAGCCCACCCCATTAAAATAGGTAATTGTACCGTTCCAGAGATATGCGCAGACATTAATAATTAAAAAACAAAATTATATAGAAATTATGTTTGGAAGTCTTTTCAATATTAAATGCTATACAAGGCCTGTAAAATCCTATATACACAATGTTTTATGTGCGCAAATAATTTGAAAAAAAATTATAATTCTTACGTCACTACAATATAGCAGTGTTTCGAAATGCAAAAATTTCACTGACAAAAAATATATTGTTGATTCAGACCATTCACTTAATGGAGAGCGTGATTACCATACCCATGGAGCAAAATTCCTAATTTAACTAAAATCCCTAAAGTATAGGACGTATATATCAATCCAGTCGGTTAATTATGGCCAAGATTGTTTAAGTTTATATAATTGTACGCTCCCGATGGTGCTTAAGTTTGACTCTAGCAGTAGCTTTTGAGACATTATATTTCACTACAAGAGAATGCAGCATAATATACGTTTACCTGCAATTTTTCATTGTCATAAGAACTTAATATATTTTTTTTATTTACTACATATTTTTAGCTGAAAAGTAGAAAGTTGAGTCCCTTATCCAAAATAAAAATGTAAATTTGAAATAAATTCGCTAGTAAATTCATTTACTAGCGAAAATCTTTGATTAAATATATGAATATGAAATTTTCTGATTGCCGTGTCTAAATTTTACGTTATTGTTAAAAAATTAACAGCAAACATATTTCACCAATAAGACAATTTTACCCCAAAATAAATTATTTTTATATTTCATAGATAAAGAAACTTTCTTCTTTATTTTACATATAATGTTTTCAGATCTGTATAAAGGCCTCTTTTTATTTCAGTTTTCAAATTTCCCACAACATTCTAGTTTTACATGTGAAAACCTGTTTTTGTCTTTCAGTAAATAGACATTTCGTCGTTTTCTTTTTCTTCGCGCTAAGTTATCATTCTTCTACTAAATATCTACCCTTTTTTATATCGGGCACACATATTTGGCTAATCAGCAGTCATCGCGATATCCACAAATGGAAATAGCTTTTTTGTATATATTTGACAGTTCATATAACTGGCGGAACACTTCAGATATTGAACTTGCAGTACTTTGTCCTGTTTCATCAATATAATTAATTTAATGCTATATAGCTTTTTGTCAACATCATAAATTTTATCACTAGATATACATATATGCAATTACTTTCGAAGTTTGCGTGAATTTTACTGTTTTAACATATTCTGATTGTGAATTGAAAACAGATATACTTGTATAGTTTATTTATTTTTTATAGTATATATCATTTCTTAAATTATTATTCCAAATACTCATTTGTCTATTTGTTAGTATTTTCCAAAAGATCGTAGCAACGATTATCATTTATTTTTGTTTATGAAGCAAATAAACTAGTCACCTCATTTATTCTTCTCAACTATCATAATTAATGCTATATATTCAACAATAGTGTATACAAAATAAAACAAATAACTTCAATTTCCTGAACTGTATAAAAATAAAAATTATTGAAAAGAAGTCGATGCATAAATAGCCCATCCAATATTCTACTGAAGTTTATTTTAATCATTAATTTAAATATTTGTGTAGTATACTTCAAAACTGTCAGGTGTTCTTTTAATTGTCTTATCGAAATATGTAAACAAAGATTCATAGAAAAAGTAGAAAAGACACACCAATTAAACCACTAAGAATTTTCGCAGATAAACCCTCACGGAGAGACGTCACAAAAATACGACTTTGTCATCTCATAATTTTTAATGAAAGATACACATAAAAACTGTTTACTAATGACTTATAAGCAGAAAAATTACAAAAATAAAAATTTTTCATTAAAGCAAAAACAAAGCTACCTTTCCGAAGGAGCTTTGTTTGCCACTATAGGCATATATGTTACATATATATTACTAGACATTTGAGTTACTTGTAAATCAAGAAAATAAAGTACGACATTTTTGAAATCACGTCATGTTTAACTCAATTTATGAATAATATTTTCCCCAAATCCAGTTCTTTAAAAAGTGTGAAATATAATTGAATTGTAAATGAATATATTTTATTATTAGTTAAACTTTCGCATTGTACTCTTTGGCAATGCAATATTCCCGTCAAGAAAATGCTTGATACATATGTGCAATAATGTGAACCAATACGAAAATGCAATAGGAATATTTTATGAATATCCCGTCTAGAAAATGCAAGTTGTAACATTAAGTTCAGAGAAAGAATGAGACGGCAACATAACAATACGTCCCAAAATCTTCATACTAATGAGAATACGATAATTACTGAAAAAATAGACGATGTTTAAAGTAAAATTTCTTCTGCGACGTCATATCTTTATCCGCTTGTTTTATCAAATCATGTTAATAAGAGAATTCAGACTTATTCTGTTACTCCTTTCGTTAATTTACAAAATGCTGATTTTAATTTACGGAGTATCAATTCCATTAATTACAGAATTTATATTCAGTAATAGATGGCCAACTGGATACGTAAATCAAAAATATGTTGTAGAAAACATTATCTGAAGTGTACAAGTGTATGTAAACATTATGACTCAACACAATATGATAATTTCAAATGCTGCGTAGCAACATCATACAGAAGTATTAGATAAAAATATCTCAGTGTAATCAAATCAATTAATTTTCAATGATTATATTAAGCATTATGTTGGTTCATAAGAATAAGAACCAGATATATATTAAAACATAAAAAAAACAAACTATATGCACTTAAATAATTGTTTGATAAATTTATTTTAACATAGATTTTAATTACATGATTTTATATCTGTTTTATGTAGACTTGTAATGTATAATATATTGTTTAATGAATATAATTATTATAAATCATTCATGTACATACATCATATTTCTGTTATTGTACACCTGCAATGCTCTATTACTGTAATTAATAAATAATTAATAACAATGAATTTAAACATTGTAATTAATTAATTTAACAATGAACTTTAAAACAATAATTAGTAACTGTATATTAACAAAATTAAAAAAAATATTATGTTATAAATATTGAAATTTAATGATTTTATTTGGCTTATTAGAGCTCAATAATTATCATATTCATCTTAATCTTGTCGAGTTACCCTACTTTATATCTAAAACAATTTTTACGTAGTTATTTATAAGTCTCTCAATATGAATATATTCTTTGTATGCGCAAGCATTAAGAACGTGACTCACAATCAGAGTTTTCGGATATTAACAGTCGATACTCACGGCTGCATAAATATGCAAAACAAGCTTTATTTATTAAAAAATTGGTAATATTAAAAATAAATGAAACCTGTTTGCATATTTTTTTGGTAAAATATAAGTTTTCATGTGTGTGTGTGTGTGTGTGTATGTGTGCGCGTGCGCGCGCGCGTGTGTGTATAACGTTCATTACTTCTTATTTTTTAAAAATATGTTCATGTAATAATCACATTTGGAAATATTCCTAATTAAATATTAATAAATGTTTCTATTAAATTCTACCTAAGCTTAGTTATATAAATCAACTTATATATACAGATTATACATATATATAGAATGCGTTTGAAAAATCTTATTTTGATATAAAATTTTAATTGATACTGTTGAGCGACATCATGAAATTAAATGATATCAAAATTATTCTAAATTATTCCTGATAAGCATCTATTATACGTTAAGCCAATCAGTTATATAATGACATTTAGTTGGTGTTACATCACCAAAATCACAGCAGTTTTTTCTTATCTAAAAAATGAAAATTTATGATTAGTATTATTAAATAAATATAACAATAATTGAAAATCAAGTAAACATACAGGACAAACTCCACAAGGACTTTGTATAAGACCTGGAGGATCTAATAAAGGTTTAATTGCTCTATACAGAGTTCTTTTGTCACTAGTTATAGTTTTCTCTACTTTACCATCATAAATCAAAGTATCCAATATCATTTCTAGATCTGCTACAGATAATTTAACCTGTAAAATAGACATTTTAACAGCATATCAAAGGAGAGATTGAGCAAATAATTTTTTAATTACTCACTTTACTTATTCCTAAGTCGTTAATAAACATCCAAACATCATTTGATGAAGCATAAGAAGCATTTCTTTCTGCCATAGGTCCATTGACATATTTTTTTGGGCTATCTCGCCTTTGTTCTAAAAATCTGTAGCACTGTTGATTGAGAACTTCTACAAATTCAACTTCAAAATCCTGATCTTGATACCATGCACCACCAGTGACACTTGCATCAGGTTCAAGATTGTACAACATGTATACTTTTTTCCTGCTAGCAGCAACTGACTTGACAGCTTTAATCAACTTCTTTGTATCAAGACTTTTCAGAATTTTTGTCAGTTGAGTAGGTGCCAAATTTGACTTAAATCTTATATCTTTTACCCAAATTCCTTTATTTCCAGCTTCTTCTATAATAGTATACACAACTTTCTCCTCGTTATCTGCACCTTTTGCTGCTCTTGCACTTGCTGGATCTTTTAATTTATAGAATAAAGTATCTCCTTGTTTATAGAGATTAATCAAGTGCAGTGTTAATAATTTATTGATAGCTTGAGCTCTTTCAGTTGTTGGTAAATTTGGTATTTCTGCAGAGATATCTTTGTCACTGATGCCTTTGGGCTTTGTTTGAGCCATAGTGAGTATTCTGTAAATAAAACAATTAATTTACCTGTACTTCCATTGTTTTCAAGTAATTTTTTTGCTTACTTCTGAGCCACAGAATCAAGTTCTTCCACTTGACCTGCATTTTCTAAAGTTGAAGTCATTCTTTATAGAAAATTCTCCTTACTTTAACACAATTAAAGTAATGTACTTCTAATATTTATTTATATTTACTACTATCCAATGTTCATGTTACTGTTACACTACAACATTTTTGAACTATAACGATTCAATTAATAGTGCACTGTCTTTATTGAATATAATTGATGATGTACCTGTAGAAAACTTAACCAGAGATTAAAATTAAACTTAACCAGTAAAGCCCATGCGTACATTAACTATTATCTGTTTTCATATCCGAATGACGGAGACGAATACTATACTACGCAGCCATGTGCTTCCATTCGCTGTAATCACGCCAGTAAGGCTGGATCTACAATGGGGTACAAAACACAATGTTAACATGTGGTGACGGTCACATAACCTTCTTTCAATTTTTCATGCAAGTGTTGCCTTAAAGAATGAGAAAATAAGTTTTTTTATAGAAGAAAATATTATTAGTACTTACTTTGAAAAATAAATAATCCTAAACAAACATCTGCTCCTCCGCACAGTAAATATTTTAAGGCAACAGTTTAGGGTAAAAAAAATTCTTTTCTCATTCTTTAAGGCAACACTTGCATGAAAAATTGAAAGAAGGTTATGTGACCATCACCACATGTTAACATGATGTTTTGCACGCTATTGTAGATCCAGGGTAAGAGAGAAAGATAGAGTTAGAGAAATCAGCTGTGAATGTGAATTGGTTTCGTGTTTGATCAGATATTCAGAATACGTAATTAATTGAGTTTGAAAATAAATATATTTTAATGGAGAATTCTTGTGATCATCACGATGAAGATAAATTCCTAGCATCAAAAACATGGAATAAAATAATTGATTCAGCTTCAAAGGTAAAAAAGTCATACCTATATTTTTGCTAAATTTTGTAATAAATCAAATTATTAATTAAAATAAAATTTCATTATATATAATTATATTTCAGATAGGATATAGAGAAGGTATTGAAGATGGTTCTTCCACAGTTTTTCAAGATGGTTTTGACAGAGGTTATAGAGATGGTTTTAAAACAGCATTTCTCTTAGGCACTTACAAAGGTATTTCTGATCAATTAACAAAAAAATTGAAACATCCAGAAGAAATAGAAAATATTTTATCAGATACCAAAAAAAGTGTATGCTACTTGTGCGAAACACAAAGTTCTGCAGATAAATCTTCAGAGTCGATTGTTGAAGTTGAGAACTGTCAAAGTGAACATTACAATAAAATCTCAAAAATCTTGCAAGACTATTTTGATCCTATATTAAAAGTAAATAGTATTAATCCTAGTATGTTAAATGTGCATACTTGATTTTATAATAAAACAATGATATTAAAAAGTTATTTCATTTTTTTCTTACAAATTTATGCTTTTTTAAAACTGCAATTTAAATTAATATTCTTGATTTTAACTTAAATATTACTCCAAGATAAGTAAAGGATTAATATCAAATTAAAAACAAGTTGTCTATCACTTTTTATTTTTTCAATTATACTCATTAGAAACATTGCAAAACAATAATTTGCGAATAAAAAATTTTTACGCAATTCTTTTATAAATATAAACCTTCTGGGGAACCTTCCTTTTTCCTATACAACACACTTTCCTTAGATTTCTTGAAGTCTTCACAAGTAACTTTCATACGACGTTCTCTCAACGCCATAAGACCAGCTTCAGTACATATTGCCTGAAAATTTAAAACATAAATGTGTTATAATTTAGTTCCTATTCTAATAATAAACATTTCAATTTCAAAGTAGATTACCTTGATATCAGCACCAGACAAATCATCTTTTGCCATAATCAGTTCATTAAGATTTACATCGGGGGCGAGAGTCATCCTGCTTGTATGTATAGTAAAGATTCTCTTCTTTGTCTTCTCATCAGGTAATGGAAACTCTATTTTTCTGTCAATACGACCAGGTCTGATCAATGCTGGATCAAGAGTTTCAATCCTATTTGTTGCCATAACTACTTTGACATCTCCTCTGCTGTCAAATCCTATAAAAATGATAAGAAGTTCAATCTTTGAATTGAATAAAACTTCAGCAATAGATATTGTTAATAAATATACCATCAAGTTGATTCAAAAGCTCAAGCATAGTTCTTTGAATTTCCCTTTCACCTCCACTGTTGCTGTCATATCGCTTGGTACCAACAGCATCAATTTCATCAATAAAGACAATGGATGGAGCATGCTCTTCTGCAACTCTAAATAATTCTCTGACAAGCTTAGGACCATCACCTAGATACTTTTGAATGAGCTCTGATCCTACTACACGAAGGAAAGTGGCAGATGTTTGATTAGCTACAGCCTTAGCCAATAAAGTCTTTCCTGTGCCAGGAGGTCCATACAAAATGACACCCTTAGGTGGTTTGATACCCATTTCTTCATAGTACTCTGGATGAGTCATAGGAAGTTCAACAGACTCTTTGATTTCTTGAATTTGAACATCTAATCCTCCAATATCAGCATAAGTTTCCTGAGGAGCTTTTTCCAGCTTCATCACAGTAACCATGGGATCTGTATCATCACCCAAAACTCCAACCACGGCATGTACTTTGTGATTCAACAGTACTGAGCATCCTGGCTCCAATTGATCTTTGTCAACAAAGGACAGGATGGAAACATAATGCTCTGAACCGACAGAGGTGGATACAATAGCATGATTATCATCAATGATTTCTTCTAGAGTTCCCACAGACATTGGAGTTCCTCTCAAATCATCAACTTTAGATCTTTCCTCTTCGTTCTTCTCTTCCTGGGGCTTAAGACGCTCTTGATTTCTGATGAATTCCTCCTCCATGAGAAGATAATCCTTGATACGTTCCAATTTCAGAAGCTTCAGTCTGCATCTTGTGTGTGGTGTTACCTGAGGTAGTTTCAAAGCTGCATCTGGCCCCTTAGTACGACGCTTTTTCTTTCCTACTCTAGTTGGTACAGGTGGCTCGTATTTTTTTTTCTTGTCCTTATCATCCTTTTTATCTCCACCTGCTCCACCAGGGCCTGACTGATTTTGACCCTATATAATCAGTATTAAAAATATGTAATTATGAACAAAGATTTATTTTGATTGAGAAGCACATAGGTTAAGTTTTATTTAAGGTCAATAACAGTTGATACTCGACCGAAATTTAATTGATTTATCATTGAAATTGTTAATTAGAATATAATTTATTCGAAATATTTGTTAACAAATATCATTAAACAATATTTAACTCACCATTATAATAAGACTGACAAGCTTTACAATGGAAATCACAAAGTCATCAGTGGAACACAACCGCCATCTTATATCCACGATCTATTTGGATTCGATACAGTGGTATATATACACCTATGTTGATTGACACTCAAAATATATATAGCATGAAATTAATTATTCAATGTGTTTATAAGTACAAAATGTACTTTTTGTTTATGACATTTTGTAGTTTACAAGTTTATAAAGATATCAAAACATACGAACATTCGAAAAATAAATATCCTGGATTTGTAAAATACAAATCCAAAAACCGTAACTATTTACAGAATTATCATTTAGAGTCGACCTGCTATTATTTTTCAACTCTAGTTTTAAATTTTTGACCACCATGAAATTTTCAGACAAAGAAATATATTCGTCTTAATTTTTGAGAATTTATTCATCATATGAAAAACATTTTTTTCATTTTTAATGAAGATACGTATATTCTTTTAATTAAATGTTTCATAATAGTCCAGAATTTGAAAATATAATCGAAAAACAAACCAGCTTCCTATGAGCTTACAAGTTTTTTCACAATTCACTTCTATATATATCTTTCATTCACTCAATCACAAAATATTTAAGTTATTACCAAAATAATAAAAAATTGTATTTTCAATCGAGAAAAACTTTTATTATTTCCAAATACAACCATCTATGATACAATTTTGTAAAATAATTAGGTATAACCGGTCTTCGCTTATTTTGAACACCTCGCAGTGCGTTGTTGAATTATTGTTATTAATTAAAAAAAAATGTTTATTATTTGATTTTATTTTTAACTTTTATTAAGGAATCGTTTGTTTTATTTTAAATACGTACGTAATTTTTAATTTATTTAGTTTTATTTATATTCAAAAATGATACAACAATCACTTGTTTCAAGCGATTAAATGAAGTGCTTACAGACTGATCATTAAATTGTCGTATTATTTACAGTACGTATTTTAAGGAACGTGTTTGTTAAAATTTAAGTAGTCCTTTTTTGTTGTAAGCGCAGTGTTTGACTCCTATAGAACATATAAATTTTAAGAAGAAAAAAGTAAATTACAAATGATTACTAAGACATTTTTTAAATCAACATGTTTATGAAAATAATTACAAGTCGAGTAGATTCATAAAATTAATGATATATTTTCTTGATTTTATTTTATTATTATTTTAAATAATATTGTATCTATCATTAATTAAAAACTTTTATCTTTGAAATAAGTAACTAAGTTAAAATTCATGTATTCAGATGTGATTACAAAAGTTAAGTAAAATTAATGACTGGGATACAAGAAAATATATCATTATAACTTGATTTTATTTAAGTCAAATAAAATACTGCAAATAAGAGAAATAATCTATTAACATCGTTTTTATGTATTCAACAGAAACACATATTTTACTTTCGTTGAATCACAGTTGGGTGGTTTTAAAAAAACGTAAACGTCAAAGGTAACAGGAGCACAACTCTTGCATCATAAGTAATAAATTAAAATATGACATGAAACTGTACAAGTGTGTGATTCATGGGAAAGAAGAGAGGCGCTCTAAGCGAATCGATAGCTGACTTTATTTCCGGAAATCGTTTTTTCTTTATTTCTTTTTAGAGACCAGCTAAAATAATTCTAGGATCTTCCACTGCATCCTTGATTTTTCTCAAGAACATCACAGCCTCGCGACCGTCAATTAATCGGTGATCGTATGTCAAAGCAATATACATCATTGGCCGAATAACAACCTGAAATCAATCAAAAATCGTACATTTTCGTAAAGACGAATCACAAAAAAATGTTATTTTTGAGCAGTAAAACTGTCATACCTGTCCCTTGACAGCAATGGGTCTATCGAAAACACCGTGCATTCCAAGAATAGCACTCTGAGGAGGATTAATGATGGGAGTACCCATCAGAGATCCGAAAACTCCACCGTTGCTTATCGTGAAGGTACCACCATCCATATCTTCAATCGAGATCTTACCTTTCCTAGCCTTGTCTCCAAGCGCAGCCAGAGCGATTTCAATTTCGGCAAAATTCTTATTTTCGACGCTTCTAAGCACAGGCACGACTAGACCTTTTGGTGTTGCGACGGCTACACTAATATCGACGTAATCCCTATAAACTATCTCACTGCCGTCAATCACAGCATTAACAACCGGCTGATCTTTCAAAGCGTAAGCCGATGCCGCGATGAATGGACTCATAAAACCTAACTTAAGTCCATACTTTTTGGTGAAGGCCTCTTGGTTTGATTTACGGAATTCCATGAGTGCACTGAAACATTGAAAAACGAACATTTAAGTTTTCTGGAAAAACTTATCTTTTCTAAATATTTGTGCACCACAAACCTCATGTCAATTTCGTTAAATGTTGTCAGCATGGCATTAGTATTTTGAGCATCCTTTAAACGCTCCGCGATACGCAATCGCATTCTGTTCATTTTCACTCTTTGTTCAGTTCTTGTCCCGATAATTTCACGAGAATAATCTTGTGGAGGCAGTTGAACTTTGGCACCTTCCAAGGACTGAAATAATGAAATAAACATATTGTTGTAATTAAAACCAAAAAATACATTATCTTTTTAATATATTCAATTATCACCTGTGCATGTTTGATAGCTGCAACTGGCATTGATGCCTTGGGAGCTTGGGGTGGAGGAGGTCTTGCAGCAGGAGGTGAAGGTGGTGGTGGAACAGCAGCTTGGGGTGGTGGAACAGCAGCAACAACTGGTGTTGGTGATGGTGGTGATGGGGGGGCAGCTTTAACTGGTTCTGGCTCTTTTGGTGCTTCTGCTTTCGTTGAAGTTGTACCACCAGTAGCACCTACTTCAATAGTACACAATTTGGCTCCAGCCTGCACAGTAGTACCATCTTCAATATGTACAGCCCTAATTACACCAGAGGCAGGAGATGGCACTGGAACCGATGTCTAAAAATAATGGCATATTGTTATCATCTTGACAGCCAAATGTTTGTCAAAAAGTTCTCATAGAATATGAAGCATACTTTATCTGTTTCGATTTCACATAAAACTTCATCTTCTTTGACTTGGTCGCCAACCTTTTTTTCCCACCTTACATCACCTTCGCTCACACTCTCTGCAAATGGTGGCACTACAACATCTTTAGATTCCCCTGCAAATGATCCAAATAATAAATGAAAATATTCATACTACTATCACAACAATTATCAGTGCTGTGCCTTACATAATGATGATGTTGTTTGTAAATATCTAGAGTGAGCATTCCAAAGTTGAAACTCATGGGGTTTGATGTGACTGCAAAAAAATGAAACACATACCGTAACAAAACATGTCGTCACATATGTACACACACGAAGCGAGAAAACCGAAAAGAAAACTCACTGCTTAACAACTTTATCCAAAATCTTTTGTGCTTGCACACTCGTTCTAAATCCTGCAAAACATAGCCGTCATAATCAGGCGATTAGTTTATCAAAGTATGTTGACATCTACAAGTGCTCACGCGTATGAGAACAAGAATGTTTAGCTCACCTCTCTGATAATAAGTACGGGCCCCCTGTAAAAGTCAAGAGCATAACAAATTATCAAGGTATCAGTCGTCATTATCGTGTAGCAATAAGTCAGAGAGGAGACAAAAAAAATTGACAGCTAACGTTCGGTGTTCGATGTGTATGTGCCCGAAATAACTAGCAGAAAGTTTTGTGCGCGATAGGTCACGTGCATGTTGCGCTAAGGGCCCCTTTTCTGTTCTCGAGCTGTTGAACCGAAAAAGCTACACCTTGCGACAGATTGTAATTTTTCTGTCTGACACGACTTTTGAGAGAGGGATTATGTAACACGGTTCGTCGTAGTCTAAGGGTGTAAATCAGTGAATGTACACGAGCCGATATTTATTTTTTCGGACATCCAGTACAACACGAAAATATCAGAGAATGGATGACTCGTCGTGACCTGGCGACGGGTGTCTAGGTGCGATTATCTTGGGAGTCACTTACCTTGGAGTGCAGCAAGGTTACACGTTTAAGAGCGCGCGGGACGAGCCTCGTGGAATTGGATAGTAATCCGGCCATCCTTCCGCCCGTCGTTCTTTCTCGTCACCAGGGTATACACACAGCACTCACCCGTATACCATCGGCCGTACACTGTTCTCGCTCGCTTTCGCTATCTTTCTCTCTCCCACTGAATATGGAGCAGCGGGGTGGGGTATATACGACTTACGGCCACAGCTTGCGCTCTCCTCGCTTCGCTTGACTCGTGCAAATATACCGTTTTTCTCGACTATAGGTTAGTTCGTAGTATATGTCGGTCTCGCTCCAACGCCTTGGGTGGTATTACAGTGGAACGCACTTGGTATGAGTTAATGCACGAATGTCTTCAATTGTGATGAACGATCGGGTAATGTCAATTTTCGTGGAAAAAGGTAAGAATGACTAAACTGCTATTAATAAATTGTTCGTTACATTTATTACAACGTCATTGTTTATTATGTACAATATAAAAAAACGAGGCCGCGCGACAACGTTATACAAAAATTAAGTTTGGCGCATTTAACTATTTTTCTTGTTTCGTTGTAAATTTATAGCACTTATTAAGTTAATACAAGGGAATAATTGACTATTTTTCCCATCATGCTTACATTGCAATCAACGCAAGAGTTTCTCTCTATACAAAGTCTGGAACGACTTTAAATGATTAGTCTTATCATATAGGACTTCTTTTTTTCCCGTTTAAATAACACAATTACAAGCTAAGCGTTGTATACAAAAAATGACTTGATGTTATTTCAGGTTTTCATATCAAAATGACAATTGAATAGTGGATTTTTTCCATTAAACGCAGTTTGTTTTCCTATCTCGAGAAAAATGAAAAATTTTACATCTTACCATGAGTATCATAATATATATAACTCTATATGTATAAAATATATTACATTACATATTTATACAGCTTTTAGGCGTCGATTGCTCATTTCTTCACCTATACAATAGTAAAATTTCAGTTAAATTAATCGTCGACTTCGCAAATATTTATTTTGTTATAGTGCAATATAAATAATTAAAAACTTTTTACAAATCGCACGAAAACAATGCGAAAAATATATGACATTACAGAGTTTATCAAGTTGATTTCTTTTTAAATACTCTAGTGGTATTTAGATGACAGGTCGTTTGAATCACGAGAAGAGGCAAAGTTTCTATCTCGTAATTCACAGGATAACTCTAAAATAAATAATAAATTACTCAAAATTCAAAATCGTACACTCACACAATACATATTACAGTTTAATGCTGTTGGAAAATAATAAAATAAATATGGTGCTCAAACTCTTGATGATCAATTTTAGAATGCGTAGAATCTCTACCGCAGTGTCGTTCGTCTTAGAGATTTTTTAAAGCTCACACTGCCATTGGTAACAAATTGAACTAGTCTCGCACCACTCATTCGCGATTCGCGATAAAACAAAATTATTTACAGTAATTGAGTCAATCTCAATGACAAAAAAATGCTTTCAGACATTTAATAGCTTCGTTCCGCAAAAGTCGGGTGAAATGTGCACACGTTTTTACGAAAAGAAAGGAAAAAAAATATATTGAGGAACTTACATTTGGCCGGTTTTTTTCTAGTCTCTCGTTCCAAGATTAATCTCGGATAATCATAATAATATTACGCTCAAGTGAAATATTAATTCTTAGTCATGTAATACTTTTCGTCGTTCAACTAGAAGTGTCCGTATAGCGTATAAAATTTTTAGAACGCAAAAAAGTCATTCGAGTCTCCCTCACTCGTTTTTACACTTAATATATTGCAACGAATTTAGTTTTTTTCAAGCTCTCAATAGAGAAAATCTATTTCTCTTTCACTCTTTGAATGCCAACAGATAAGTACATATAACGCGCTAAAACTATGACAACGCGCTCGGACGAGGAAGACTCAAATAATAAGTAATAATAAAAGTAATAATAATAATAATAGTAATAGTAATCATAAAACGTGTCAGTCGCAAGTTCTCATTTAAGATCAAAGAGTAAGTAAATATTCCACGCAGAAAAGTTCAGAAATTAACGCGTGCTGGTCTTATTCTTGTTATAGCTGGTGTCAGAGTCCGGCTCGGAGCTCGAACCTGATGACTCGGCCGTGTTCACTAATGTCGTGCACCTCGAGCTTCGAGACCTATTGCTCGACGAGTGTCGACATTTATCGCTGCGACTGCTTCCTGTAACATCAATGATACGCAAGCCATCAACAACCCAGTCTCTTAATAATTGTAAAGAAGCAAAAAACCAAAAATCAAACCAAAAAGATAATACTCACGAGATAGCGGGGTGTGAACCTCGATCTTGGCAGTAACGGTTGCGGTGACTTTAGTAGTGATGTGTGATGGCGGTGGTACTGGCGATGTTCGACTAGAGCCGCTCGAATCTGATCCGCTACAATTCTGTTAGTAGGCAAGGGAAAAAAGAAAAACAGAACGCACATTAGTCATGTCAACACGCTAAAGTATCACGGAACTTCCTAAAATAGCAAAAACACGGAAGCTCTACAAACCTGATTAGCGCACGTCGACGTTTCGACCTTAACTTCCGGCTGTACTATGATACAAGATTCTTGCTGGCTACACCAAGAATTTGGTTCTTCGATAATCGTTGTAAGTCCACCGGAAGAAGGTTCACTGTGTACCGGGGACTCGTAGATACGATGCTGCAGCCGTTTGGGCGGGGCCGGGGGCTTAGAAGATGAGCGCCTTCGAGGAATGGGCGAGGCTGGCGGCGTGGGAGTGGAAATGCGATCCGGATGTTCGTTCGGTATTACTTCCGCAGCCGGACCGATTAGTGACAGTAGAATGGGGAAGAAGAAAAGTCCGTTGACAAGGCTCACGCCTATGAGGCTGACGAGGACCAAGACGAAGTGACGAACGATGAACTCGAATTCGGAGAACCCGAGCATCATCGCTGCCAAAAGTGTCGTCGCCGCTCCGTGGATCAATGGAGCACACATGTGCTCCAATGCCAGTCGTACTCGACGATCGCGACTGCCAACACTCGTTATGAAACTCTGTAAAATAATAACAATAAGAAATGGTCAGTAAAGTTCAAATAGAAAAGTTTTTTTCCTAGAAATTATAAATAGACAAGAAATCATATTTACCAAACAGATGTGCACGGTAAAACGCACAGCAATTCCAATGCTGAGGACCAATAATACAGCCGTGACGGCGCTAAGCTTGATCCCCGAGAGACCCATAATTCCCACGAGCTGCAGAATAGCACCAGTCAGTGCAACCCCAACGAAAATCGCCGCCCAAAAGTTGAGCAAAAGAATGCCAACAACGAAGACGCATGCGCCGAGAGCAGCTAATAGAGCGATCCCGAGGCAACTCCTCAGATCCATATATTGTTCCCAGAACACGAAGGGAATACCCGAGGGGAAATTAGGCAATCCCCTTTCCTCGAATTTCCGGCAAACGGCACGCACACTAGCGATAAGCTGAGTGATGTCAGCGGTATTGCTGAGTTTGTATAGGTAGAACGGCATCTGTGCGTACTCGATGGGTGAACTTTTGGGAATCTTCAACTCGAATTCCTTCGTGTAAGTCCACGAGATTGGCTCCGGTCGTAAGTTCGCCAGCGAAGCGCCGTAAGCTAATGCGTCATTGGCTACCCACGCACTTAAATAGTTATAAAACGCGTGTGGATTGATTATGCCCTCGGAGTTGACAAGTCTCACTTGAGTTACGAGTGACTTGTCGACTGGGTTATCAACGTCGCCGGTTTGCACGAGAAGCTTGTAGGCTAGTACAGCCTCGTCGGTGGCGTTCATGTGCCAACCTTCGGAGGTGATGCAGTTGTTTGTAAAATCTCTGTCGAATGCTCGTTGTAAATTGATCAGCCAGTTGCGGAAAAGGCCAAGCCAGAATTCGGACAAACCACCGTTGTCATTCTTTACAACGTTCTTCACTCTGACAAAAGCATCGTGATAATCATAGAGTAGCCTCTGGTGATTCGGGTAATCAAAATCACGACCAGTCACGGCGAACATGTTGTAGAAACCAAAATGTCGACTTTGAGCCGCAAGGAAGGCATGTTCGTCCGAGTGAGCTGGCACGAGATCGGCAAGCTCGAGACCATCGTCAATTCGCATTGCCTCGTACGCACTACCGATGAATATCACGATTAGGATCAACACGCCGAAGGTTTTCGTTGGCGACGAGGTGATGAATGGTGCGTAGTATTTTGACACAAGTCGAGTGAGCGAAAACGATAAGCAGTCGTCCTGCGAACAACCCGTCAAACTTGAATTCTCCGCTGATTCCGTCCAGTTCTCACTTTGTTGTTGCTGCTGTTGCTGCTGCTGCACTAATTTGGATTTCTTCGTTAGCACTTGCTGCTCAGCGGTGTGTCTTGGTTTCGAAACACTGCGCTTTGGTTCAGCAAGAGCCGGCAGACAGCAACAGAAAATATCCGAGCGCCCCGAGCGTCTTCGACGTAAATCAAGACTGATCATAGCTGGAAAAACCAGCAATGTAGCAGCGAGATTAAACAATAATAAAATTCCAGCTTGAAGGCAGAAAACGCGCATCGCTGGAATTGGAATCATCGCGGCGGCGAAGAAAGTAGCGACGTTGCACAGACTAGTCAATAGAATCGACAGACCGGTTCGTTTCAATACCACACCGGTCTGGAGATTACTCGGCACTTCGTTTACCGATAATTCGGCGTAGGTGTGCGTCAGCAGGAACATGTCTTGCACAGCCAAGCCTAAGCTAAGGAATGGCACTATCTGTGTACTCGCCGCATTGAAGGGAATACCCAGCAAAGTACAAAAGCCCAGACCTGCTGCTAAACTAGCAACTGCAAGCATCACTCCTGCCATCGCTACTCCAGACTGCGAACGCACCAGATCTTTACAACGATAGTGAGCGAAGCCAGCGTATGCAACCTGAAAAAATTTGTCTGTGTTAGGAATTACTCGTGCAAACAATAACCTGAAACTAATAGTTAAAAACTTACCATAAGCACGCAGCCAATGACCACCTTGAGAACATCGAGCTTACTGTACGCACCGAGAACGTCGTTCATCGTGGTCGTACTGAAAGCGTAAAGATCGTATCTCACTGGTTCGCTGTTGTTTTGCGCGGCCTTGAGTGCCTTTGTAAAGGAACGCTGCCACTTGTCGAGCACATAAGCAGCTTTTTCCGTGGACCAGCCGACATTGTGAACTTTGTAGTTCAACGAGTAGAAATCGTAAAGCTCGCGTTCGCCCATCAGTTGAATGACAGTTTGAAGCGCAGCTGCGCTAGTAAGATAACCGCTCTTGTTGCGCTTGGCACCGCCGACCAGCAGCTCTTCAGGCCAGTGCATGTATTTGGCGGCGAAACCGTAACAACCACCCGTTAATTCTTGTCCGATGTCTGGTGGGTATGCGGAATTTTTGTTTGGTGCTGTTTCCGGGCACTCGGGATCTTGAGGGTTGAGGCACGGCTTGCTCTGGTAGCCGTTTGTTATGCCTGCGCGCTTCATGAAATCCTCGAGCGTTGCGTATGGGAAGGTGAAATTTAACTTCTTGATCTTTTCGACCATCTTCATTGGATTAAGGTTTGTCCATTTTACTGGTGGGTCTTTTTCTAAACCGCTGTGACACAAATACATTTTGCTCGGTTAATTTTATTTTTAAGGAATTTACTTAAAGAAACTTAGTTGCCCGTCATCAGTGCACCGTAAATTAGCCTAACGGAAAACATTTTAATTTCAACTTTAAATAATTTGAAACTGTAATGACTCATCTCGATCCAAAGCTCAAATGTAATATTAAATTCATTCTAGGCCGAGCAAAAACAATGTATTTTGATCGTATAACCCCAATGACAAAGACTCCAGTATAAAAAAACACGCAGCTTCACAAACATTGATAATAAAAACATCAATTTGCTAACTATCGCCAGATAAACCAAACTACAAGAAACTCGAGATGATCAAATTTCAAGAGTCACCCGGTCCATTAACCCTCTCATTTCAAAAAAAGTATGTATGCCCCCGTGCGTCCATTAGAATCGAATTCCCTTCTAATTGCCTATACCGCAAAGTTGCGATCAGCAGCACGAGTGCAAGAGAGTATCAATTGCCCTCCATCAAAATCGGTATATCCAGTGACACTTACGGTATGCGAATGGGATCTTTTGGCCCGAGTAGCTGGCTACCCTCCCAGAAGCAATCGAGGGGTGTGATGATGGCACAAGGGGTCACGCTATCGAAAATCTGTCCAAAAAAGAGAAGAAATCGATGAATCATCTTGTTTCTCAACGCGCACGCAAAAAAAAAGTGAAAAAGGAGAACTTTTACGCGTGCTCGCATACCTGGTCGATGTAGTGTATCTCGAAGTTGGGCCCGGCCGGCGCATAGCACAAGTCATTGAGCCTCCAAATGCTGTAAAAAAGAAGCACCTTCATTAGTTATCATCTATCAAGGAGAAAAAGAAACGAAGGAATGTTTGAGGTCTCAATTGGTTGCGTAGAAAAAGAAGGAACTTACGTGTCGCCTAGTCGAACGTTCACCTGGGTAGCGATCTTAAGGACGGCGAGGTGTTCCTTGAGGGCGTTAGCATGTAGGATATTCGCGTCGTGGTCACGAGGAGTCTGTATGACCAACTGATGAGTGGACGTCGCTGGCTCGCCAAGGTTTTCGGTGGCGTACCTCAGCTCGCGCTCCAATCTGCCTCCCTCTGCGATGTATCAATTTTTCATTTAGACAAAAAAAATCGAAGCAACGAACGCATCTAGTTTATTTCCCTCGTTTTTGCCTTCTCTCGATGGATGAAAAAGGAAAAAAGAAGAGGAAGACGAAGAAGAAGCAGAGAGAGAGGAGAAAAAAAAACGAAATAACCGCTGAGAGAGAGAGAGAGAGAGCTCAGCTCAGGCGGTCCGTATCGTAGGACCACCAGAGTCGCGTGCGCGTCGAAGGTTCTCAACCCTTCCTTCTCTATCTCCGCCGGTCGGTCTGCTCACAGCGGGAAAAGCCGATTTATATTGACGTTCTACGCAAGGTATATAAGCCCACAGAGCGAGGTCAAGAATTCACGCTTTTCCAAGAAGATTATTTTCGGAAAAACTTCGATATATAGATACTCGCGCAGAGAGAGAAAGAGAGAGATGTAGTCTTAGAATGATAGAAAGAAGAGAGGAGAGGGGAGGGCATATACTGGCTTTGCCATGGCGCACGAGAGAACCGAGGCGGGCCACCCACAGCGACCATTCACCGGAACCGAGGCTCTCTCCGTCCAATCTCAGTGACGCTCAAATGTATATCTCTATTTTTTTTTTAAATAAAAGCAAGAGGCGTTTTGCCAAAAAAAGTCAAAATAGCGGCGGTCAATCAGTTGTCTTTGTTTGCGCGCAAGACAAATTTGTTTGACAAACATATCGCGCGCGTGTTTGAAAAGCAACGTTACGTCACGTGCAATCAACGTCGTCGTTCTCTCTTTCTCTCTTTCTCTCTCCCTTTCTCTCTCTCTCTCCCTCTCTCTCTCTCTCTCTCTCTCTCTCTCTCTCTCTCTCGCGTACGATTCGAATGAGAGCAAAGCAAATAGTCTCTTGTTGCTTTTTGCATTGAGATTCCGAAGGAGCGCGTGACCGCGATCTCTCTCTCTCTCTCTCTCGCTCTCTCGCTCTAAATATCCTAGCGAGACGTAGAAAGTGGAAAAAAAGTGGCGGAGCGCGCGTAAAGTCATCAGCTGGACCGAATTGCGCAAAGGAGAGAATTCGAGCGCGAGTGAAAGGGGCTGAGAGAGATTTCCGAGGAAGAAAAAAGGTGTGTGTCTCTGTGTGTGTGTGTGCGTGTGTATGCGCGCGCGCGCCCGCCAGTTAGTCGTGAGTTGAGCGTCACTGTGTTGCGAGAGCGATCGTCCGTCCATACGTCCAACGTCGGTGCAACAACAGCAGATTCCCGGTGGGTCTTTGGACTGCTTTGCTGCTGCTGCTGCTGCTGCAGGACGCTTTTCTGACTCTCTCGTCCCTCCCCGTCTTTTTTACTCCCCCCCCCTCTCTTTCGCTCCTTTTATTCTCTTTCTCCGTGCTCGCGCGCGCGAGCCACCGGCGGCGGCTAATGAAGATGTAAGCACTGCAGCTTGTGTTAGCCCGCATCGCCGGATTTCCTGAAAGTATACGCGCGTGTGCGGCGGCGGCTACGTCTGCGGCGGCGGCAGCGACGACGAAGAAGAGGAGAAGACAGACGAAGATAAGAGTGTGCTTACCCTGGACCCACAGTTGCTCGGCGCGACTGTGCACGCTGACAGATTTCAAGGCCACGCAAAAGGTCGCCAGTGCTACCACCGCGACGAAGAGGGTCTTGCCCGGGTGGCGCTGCAAGAAGCTGCCCAACTGCGATAACTCTTCTTGTAGCCTCGCTCGTATCCATACCACTGACCTCTGTCCCTCTGCTTTGCCCTGCAAACAAATACACAAGCGATCATGTTATGTTATTGTTGTTGTTGTTGCTGCTGCTGCTGTTGTTGCGTTTTGGCCTCTCGTTATCGAACGTGGTAACTTTAGCCGCGTCGCTCATGTATGGGTCCACGTGTATTGTAAACGTCCTTCCGTCTTACGCGCCCCTCCGCTCACGCGCGGGTTTTAGCCGACTCTCTCTCTCTCTCTCTCTGTCGCGGCTGCGGCTGCAAAACACTCGTGGCGCGCACGGAGAGCCGAGCCTTGTATGGACGGACACGTCTCTTTTTCAACGCGTACAATTAACCCCCAAAGGGAGCTTTGTTTACATGCTATGCCTCGATTCTTCTGTACGTACGCGCGCGTGTACCGTAACCAACGAGCGAGAGGAAAACTTCCATCGCGCACCAGCGGGACTGCATTTTCTGCATTCCCCGCGCATACCTTATAGGTATAGGCAAGAGGAGCTGGTTGCTGCTTTCCTTTTTCTCTCGCTCTCCGCGCTCGTCGTTATGGCCAAAGCCAGGTCGACTGGTCGAAGAGGGAATATCAAGTAAAACGAGGAAAGCAGCGCTAATGCAGTTTATATCGACAATTATACCCGGAACGCAAGCGGGAGAGACATCTCTATTATGACGTCGTTGTGTGCAGCCGTGCGATTGCTGCTCGTGATTATTAGCCCACTTGCGCCGCGACTTTTTCGCTTTCCTCTCGGCTGCAGATCCGTTTCGGCGTTTCTTGTTCTAAAATCGAATTTTCGAGTTATCTGGACGAATCCCATGGCTACCTGCCAATTATAGCCAGATCAAGGTGCGCGAGTTTTCGATCGACCCATTCAAGAAAATCGGCACATTGATCGATTGCACTTATAAAAGAAAACATGCGAACAAGCCAGCCTAGACACTACTAAATTAGCGCCGAAGATGCGCGAAAAGGGTTCGCCGCTGCAATATAGTTATAAAACGAACGGAAGGACTAACTAGAATGTTCCAGAAGGCAAGCAATAAATGTAGCGACTTAATGAGCGCGCCGGCTTAATAAAAATTCGCACATCATGAATATACGAGTCGTTTGTTACCTCCGCTGTATTAATTATGGCAACAACAAAAAAACTCATGGTAATTAAGCCGAAAAGAAGCTTTGATTGTGAGGCGAACGATTGTTATTCGATGAACCAGGCAAACGATTCAATCGTCGGCATAAATAAATTGCAATTGTTCATTTACGAAGGAGCGCAGCAGCGTCAAACCGAGCGTTTCATGCACGTCATCGGAGCGGTAATTAAATCATAACGACACGACTAATGAGAGATACAAAGAATGCCAGCAGCTATTGTTTTTGCATGCCGACAAAAGTAAGTGATTACGAAGAAGGGAGCAAACAAAATGGGACTATAAAACGGTCGGGTTGATAAGGTAGGTATCTCGGATGCCGCTGTGACGTTGATGACTCTATTGAAGCGCCGCGCCAGAGAGCCAGAGAGCCAGAGAGCCAGAGAGCCAGAGAGCCAGAGAGCGAGCGAGATCCTTGATTGAGATCTCTCCTCTTCTCTCTACCTTACTATATAGTTATTTCAAGCATGTACTTTCTCAAACGCGCTGCGGAGCGTTATATTACGCTTTCCGCTAGCGCCTTTTATGCTTAATTGCCATTGCTTTTCTCGACACTTTGTTGCGCGATACGATCGCCGCTCCGATTCGTTGTTCAACTATTTGTTTACTTGCAAATCGTGGAACGTTGCAAATTGTTGAACGTTCAGCGCCGACGCCAAAAATAGAGAAACGTTCTCCAACCTTGCAGCAACGAAACGAAAGAGAGATAATGAGCGGCGCTCATTAAAAATCAATCAAGCTGGTTCTCTCTCTGGGCATACTTATGGCAATCTCCTTCCAATTAACCCCCTTCGGGCAAATCAAAAATATTCCCAGAGCTCTCTGGCATTATAGATTGAAGAGGGATGCTGCATACTCGGTATATACCGGCGATCTCTTTTGACCAATCATCATCATGGTACATTGCAAAGCCAGCAATTGAATACGGCGCGGAAGAGGAACGGCCGAGCCAAAGAAAAACCGACGCTCGTTCGTCGTCGTCGTCGTCGTCATCGACGTCAGGTCTTCTCTGATGGGCGACCTCCCATGCACGTAGAAAAGGTGTCCGCAACTGTAGCTCACGTCCCGAGAAAGAAAAGCAGGTAGACCAATGGGATAGATAGTAGTCTGGCGTTGGGCGTGGAAGCAGAGTCTTCAAAAGCGCGTGCACGGCATTGCACCCCGCGGCTTTTTCCAAGCATTTTCCATCGCTCAGGAGTGCGGCTTCGGGCGGACTGCTGCCGCTGCTGCTACCGGCGCTGGTGCTCCCCTCGAAAACGTTCAAAGCGCACGTACTTTCTGTCTCGCTCTCCTGCGCGGGCTTCTCTACTCCAAAGCTGCGGCTATTTATTATTAGCTCGCTCTCTCTCTCTCTCTCTCTCTCTCTCTCTCTCTCTCTCTCACTCACTCACTCGTGGCGGCGGCCTTTAATCTCACATACCCACGCACACGCACGCGATATATAAAGCGTCGAGCGGGTGGAAAACGTGGTCTGCGTATGCAGCAGGCACGAATGCACGTGTGCTAATAAAACGCGTGTGTGAGCCGAGAGCGGTGACAGCGACGTTTGGTGAGGAGGGCAACTATCGATTAACAAATTACCTTTTCAAGCTGATCGAGAGCGATAGTAGCGTCAGTCCAGCTGGGCCTGACGTACAGATCCGACTCATGCCTCTTGTCGTCCAGCCGCTGCTTGCCGATCTTGTTGCTGCTAGTGTTATTGTTGTTGTTGTTGTTGTTGTTGTTGTTGTTGCCGCTGCTGCTGCTACTGCTAGCCTCCTGGCGTTGTTGCTGCGAGGAGGGGCGTCCCGCTAGGATCCCTGAAGGGCCGGACGCAGCGACCATGGTCCCTCGTGCATTTGCCCGGTTGCCGATAACTTGCTTTCCGCTCAGCTGGTCCGACGAGAAAAGAGGCTCGGGCACAAGTCTCTTGCTCGATCTTCGTATCCGTAGCGAACACACACACGCGAACACGCACTATCCAGCACGCACTCACTCTCGACAGCTCCTCGAAGAAAACGACCTTCTCGCTCGGCAGCGAGTCTCTGCACTGACTGGCGCTCCGCGAGGGCGGCGCTGCACGGCCATGCCCGCTGCTCTCTCTCTCTCCCGTTTTCTTGATCATCCCCACTCCCGGTCGCGCTCGCGAGAGAGAGACAGAGAGAGCAGTGCCGTCCTTTCGTTCTGTCTTTTTAGATAGGATGGGGCCCCGCTAAGGTAAACTTTGTCGGGGACAACACTGCGCCGAGAGGCCCGGTGCGCGTGAACGTTGCTAGGATACTTGGCTCGCAGGCTCGCAGGGACCACACGCGCGATCACCCCACCATGTGCCACCGCTATATCTCTTCATTCTCGTTCCTGCGAGCCGAGGCCCCGAAAACATACCGCATTGCTGCATGCATGCAAGAAAACAAAGACGCCATGCAGATAAGAGCCGATGCTGTTGCTTCGCTGCGAGCGCGGACCAATTAACCTGGATTATCCAGTTAAACGCCGAGCGTTTTCACTCTGCCCCCCCCCCCCCCCTCCTGGTCCATTCGACAACGCGTACCTGTGGCAGGAAAATGCCTCTCTCATTTCGGCCCGTTAATGAAAAGTTGTTATTTAATAATTACACGCTGCTCGAAGCAGCCGACCGCCGGCGGTATTTTTATTTCGGTAGAATTTTTGAGAGCATTCGACACTCGGCGGCTACCTAAGTATTACGACGGGCTTTGCATTCACAATTACGTGTAATTGCGCTTGTCCAACAGAAAGAGAGAGAGAGAGAATTCCCGACGGAGAGATCGAGACGTGATGTTTATTCCTTGGCGGCAGCGCATTGTTGGTTTTGGTTTTTAAAGGGAAACTTTCGGCGGGACCTCGTAAATTCAAGGACCCGTCGCAGCCGTGAAAAGCCTCGGGGATCGCGCGTGTTTCTCCGGGCGAAGGGAGTAGAGCGCTGCGCGCGCGCGCGCTCGAGAGAGACCACCCAGAGCGACAGTTTAGTGCTCCTTCTCTCTCTCGCCCGCGAGCGATTTCACGCGTGAAAATAGAAAAGAAAAGGCTCTCGGAGGGGGAGAGAGAGAGAGAGAGAGAGAGAGAGAGAGAGAGAGAGAGAGAGAGAGAGAGAGAGAGAGAGAGAGAGAGAGAGAGAGAGAGAGAGAGAGATTGACAGCGCCGGCTATTCGCGCCGTTCGGAAAAATGGACGCGAAGAGCCGCGGCTGGGTGGTCGGCGCGTAAGCGAGCAGTCCTATGCAATTTCATCGCGCGCCCGTATCCGATTGCCTCGCGCGCGCGCGCTCCTCTTTTCGATCTCTCGTCAAGGACGCCCGTTTCGGGTGGCTAATAGCGGAGCGCGACGCTTGGACTAGGCCACCCACGTGACGTGCCGGCGACCACCCGCGTCGCGCTTAGCGCGCGCTCTTTTCAAATTAATCCGGCAGAGCTGCCGCCGTTGTCCTGCAATTATTGATTGCCGCGGAGAACGTCTGCTCGCGAGAGCGTGTCGTGTCCGGCTCGCGCTGGGTGGTCTTCGTCGCGAAATCTCTCTCTCTCTCTCGCTCTCTAGCTAGCTGGGTGGTCCGACCGCTCGGCGCCTTCGAGCCTCGCTCCGCTCCTATATGCTTTTGCATACGCGCGCAGTCGCGGCGTAGCTCGTTTTCGACACAAAAGCTCATTAGTCAAGGTTTTTCTAATATACGAGATATGGGCGCACGTAGAACTAGTGTGAGCAGCGGACGTTTGAGAGAGCGCGACGCGTAGTGGTAGCCGCGAGAGAGTGAGAGACCACCCAGCGCGAGTTCCATGCCTGCTGCTGGCTTTGGCCTCGCACTGGCCCATAAACAGTCGGGACCACCCAAGTTGTGTCGGCAGCTCTCGCTCTCGCGCTCTCTCTCTCTCTCTCTCTCTCTCGCGCGCTTATATTTATTTACCGTGGCTATTTAGAGAGAGAGAGAGAGAGAATGATTCAACTGCGTGCGACGTGCTTTCAATTTTCCTCTGTGTATTTCAGCTTTACAGGCGTTAGAGCATCCGCGTGCTTTGCACAAAAATAAAAGGCCGCCTACGCGCCTCATATCATATTCTGCTCGTCCTGCGCCGAAGAAGCGATCGTCGTCTCGGTTGCTTCGCCTTCGCTGTTCCGCTGTTGCTGCTGCTGCTTCAAGTAACGACGACGGTAATCGCCAGTCGGGTCGTACTTCTTCTCCAGCATGGCCCAGTCCTCGGGTCTACGGTCTATCAGGTGGTGCGACATTCTGTCGGAGAAACGCTTCTGGGCCTCGCTGCAACCGCCGCAGTTCGTGGCCAACGCGTCCGGCAGATTTCCTTCGAAAATAAATCCGAGGATGGTTACGTCAGTGGTTGCGTGCACAAGTTTCTTTTGTTTTTTTTGTTTCGATCGGTCGAGAGTCCGTAATGAGATTATGTAATTGAAACGGGGGAGGGAGAAAAGTTTTTTCTCGTTCGTTGATTGAGAGACGTGATTTTCAAATAAAATCTCATTAGTTTCGCATAACTTCCTCTTCAAGGGAGACTTCCTAGAAGGAGCGCACGCGTGCGCGCGCGTGCGCGCTTACGAAAAATCGTTAGCTTTTAATTAAAATTCTCGCCGCTGTGTGCATCATAGGATGAAGGATGAGCGGGGGCAAATCGATCTGTCTAATTCGTATTCCGTGATTCGACGCGATTTATTTTTCGCCGACGAATAATTTATCCCTCCAGCGAAATTTCTATCCGCCGTAACGTACAATGTCTTTTGTTGGAGAGAGAGAGAGAGAGAGAGAGAAAGAGAAAGAGAGAGGGAGAGCTACGAGGTGATGTATCGACTGGTATTTTTTATCTTTTTCAATTTTGTCGATATATACCGAACGCGAAGGTGGGCTGTCTTTAATGTTCGCGAATTTTTTCTTCTACTTTTGAAAGCTGCGAGAAGAAATGAATTATGCTTGAAAAATGCTGATTGATCACGATATCTACCTCGAGAACGACTGCAAAGTATTACTGTTTCGAGTAGCGCGTTGACAGGATATCTAATTTATAACACTGCCAGAGATTGATAAAAGTTATCAAAGGAGCCGATTTCAATTTTTTCAGATCCTGCCGTCCCCCGGTAACCGATTACGAATTTTCGTAAAAGCGTATTAACAAAGCAAGAAGAAACGGTGCCTCGTACTTTCGATTCGTAATAAAGGAAACGTAAAAAGATTTTTTCTTCTTCGCGTCTCTCTTTTTATTTCGACGATCACAGGGGCTTTTATAGCGTATAATCCTTTACTTTACGATAGCGAATCCTTTTATGAAAGGGGCAATAATCTTGAAAATTTTATTGCAGTAAAAAGCCTATAAAATTGTAGTACCACGTGTATCAAGCGGCCGACCCTATAAAACTAATTGGAGCCCCATATATGTATATTTCGCCAGAAGGCGACGGGAAAAAAGAAAGAGCGAGATAGATAGATCGAGAGAGAGAGAGAGAGAGAGAGAGAGAGCGAGAGAGAGAGAGAGCAAGAAATACACGTACTTCTCATTTCAGCAGCATCGGCGGTACAGGCATTCCTCTCGAGCAGGCAGCCGACGTAGCTTTTGAGCAGCCTCTGATTATTGATGACCGCCTCGACATCGAGATTGTCATACTTGGTGGTGTAAAGCCGCTTGGCGCCCTCCTGGCCGAGGACCGCGGCGAGGAAGCAGCCGAGGCAGCCAAGTAGCAAAGCTCGCGCGCGCTTCATCGCGTCCGCACGGCCCCTTTGTTCTGAGCCGCCGCCGCGGCTCGGGTGCCGGCTTTATTAGCCGCGCGTCGCGTGTCGCGTCCGGCTAACGAGCGCGCGTCACTCGTCGCCGTCGGTCGCCTCGCCGGGCGACGACGAGCTGTCCGCGTCGTACTCGCACGCCAGGCAGCGCCGAGCCACGTCGCGCCAGCAGTCCCGGCAGTACACCGCCGCGCAGTCGCGCGCGGCGCAGCGCTCGTGCGCCCGGGCCGGCCCGGCCCGCCAGGCCTCGACCTCGCCGCACACCACGCACCGCGCCCGCGCGCACTCGAAGCGCGCCAGCCAGCCGAGCCACCCGGGGAACCGCAGCCGCAGCTTCAGCGCGGACGCGAGCTCGAACTCGGCGCCGAGGTGGCGCGCCCGCGCGCGCTCGGCGACGCGCGCGCGCGCGAACTTCAGGAAGCCTAGTCGACGGCGCAGCGTCTCGTTGTACAGGTAGAGCACTCGGCGCTTCTCGCGCTTGCGGTAGAAGAAGCCCGCGATCGTGCGGCGCGAGCGCTCGCTGTAGGCCTGCAGCAGGACCGTCAGCCAGATCGCCGCGTACGTGCCGTAGATCTTGGCGAGGACGTGGCGCGGCAGGTGGCTCGCGCGCGGCAGGCAGGCCTCGTTCGTCACCAGCCTCTTGATGCGGCGCTTCGCGTTGAAGCCGCGGATCAGGCTGCGGATCAGGCTGGCTACGAAGCCTCGCCCGGCCACTTCCACGGACATGTCGTGGTGACCTTGCTGAAATCCAAACCGCAGGATTTCGAGCTCGGTCAATTTTTTCATTTTTCAGATCTACCGTGTTTTTCGTTCGCCACCGAACGCTCCCAAGGCTATTCGACTCGACAACCTAAGATTTTCACGTTTTTACGAAATCAGTGTAAATAAAGTTATTTCTCCCATTGAATTTGTTCCTTTTGCACATGGTTTAACCTACTTTTATCTTTGAATAAAAACTGTATTAAATGAACTAGAAAAAATATTGACTTGCGAATGATCGACGGCTTCGACGATATCGGCTGCGCTGCATGTCAAGTACTGTCTTCTTAAACGTAGTTGATTTCGTAACCCTATAACGAATGTATTCATTCGAGATATATCTTTGAGATGAAGTTAATTATTCGCCAAGTAATTGCCGCGCTAACGAGCATTACCAGCCATTGCACGAGAATTATTTGAATGAGTATTCATTATGAACTCACTGTATTATCAAAGTAATTCTAATTATAACGCGATTCACATGGAGATTATAGTTTCCGCTGAAAAAGTACGAATACGCTAGCGATCGGAGCGAGCTACTCAGTTTTAATCCACAGGTTAATCGAGCGAACTTCAAGTCCACTATGAGTCTGTCTACCATCGGTCACGTCTTACTTGCTTTAGTTTTAATTAATACGACGGATCAATCAGTATGTACCGGTTACGCCGGGAGTTTTCTACTTTAACTAGCCATATTATACACATTTAGGAGAGAATTTTACATTTTACATTTTAATCATTTGTCTTTGCGAAGTATGCGATAGTGATAAAATTCGAAGATGTCGACGTGACTTACGTCAATGGGGAGTTCGTCGATGAAAATACTTTCGATATATCCGTGAACTACATCAACGCGACGTACAGCACTTTGCGATGCAAAGCAGACGTTCTGAAAAAATTTCCCGAAGACACCCGAGTAAGTGTTCCCCGAGCTAATGCTCCGATCTATTCATCGGCATGCACTTTCATCTATTCTATCACAGATTATAGCAAAATTATACGGCTATGCTTTTGGAAATTACCGGGTACCTATGGGTCTCAACGTCAACACTTCGACTTGTGATTTGAAGACAAAAACTATGTTTATGGCTCCTTTCATAACTGCTATCGGAGGTGACTTGGATAAATGCGGACCGGACGTGGTACGTTAATGCGCTAACAGGGTAATAGGTACACGAAAAAGTACCTTCTATGATAAATTCACATTTTTATTTTCAATCTATCGTCAATGTGAAACTTATTTTTAGGGTGAATATGGAAATGAAAGTTTCATCCCGATCAACTTTTCTAAGCTTCCAAGCGTATTCCCAGCAAATAAATATCTCATCGACGTCGAAGTAAGCAATAATGACCTAAAAATTGTACAAGCACAATTCTTCATCAATTTACTTTAGAAAACTACTGTGAAAATAATACAACTATGAAAATGTATGAATTATACCTTCTCTCCATTGTTCTTATTTTATTATAATCTGTATATGTAAGAAAATTAATAATAAACAAAAAATAATTCTCCCGTTCTAACGAAGAAATATTTTACATCCTTGAAAAAAAATTGTTTTAATTTTCAGTATTTGTATTCTCTTTCTTTTCGAATTCAATTTGCTCTTTGTTAAAAATATTAGCATGTACAATTGCTAACTAGTGTCAAGCAATAGGAAATGAATTTTCAAAGATGATAGAATCGTGGATGCTGTTGAAGACGAGCGTCCATCAATTAATTTCCTTCGTTCTACAATATATATTATAATATTGAAGCTCAAGTTCGGAGGCGAGTCTGGGAGAAAGTTTTAAGCATTGATATCTTCAAATCTGGGAAATTCCGAAAATCCTATTCTACTTTTCGCATACAGTGATTTTCTAAATAAAATATCTTTTGATGTTTAAACGATTAGCGACAGCTTTCTTTTTAATTAATTAAACGTTGATCGATGAGTCAGTAAGTTATTACGAAAAAATGAGTTAGATTTTGACGACGAATTCGAATTGTCAAGAATAAAGATGAACTTTTGTTTGAAAACTGTATCTTCCCCACCGAGAAAACCACCCAGAAAACTAAGAAGAAAAAAAAAGCCAAATTTCTCTAACAGTTTTGTTGGAAGTCTTTTGAAAGTCCCAACCTAATTTTGAGTCACGATACGACGGCTGTGAATCGTTAGAATTCTAAGAATTTAGAATAAGAAATTTCTCGGATAGATCCTAAAAGTGATGACTTGCTCGGCGTAAGCATCGCTTTCCGATGATCTCGCTGTCTCTTCGACTGGTTAAAAAAAAAAAAACTGAAAGAAACTGCATCCGCGATATGCGTAAATCGCACAGAAGCAGTCTCATTCACCTGAGTAATATCAATCCGCGCGTGTCGCTTGACCACGTCCAGAACTTCAAACAACAATCTGTCCAACAAAATGAAGGTCGAGGCGGTGATAGCTTCGAGAATGAGTTTAGCCGACTGGCCGATCAAATGTCTCTTCTCGGCCTTGCTCTGCGTCAAGCTGTACGGATCGATCAACACTCTCTTCTCGAGTTTTTTCAACGGCAGCAGCGTCAAGCTGCCGCGCGCCTTTCTCCTCGCGTCGATTCGCTTGAAGTACGGCGTGATGTAGACATTATCGAACTCGATCTCCCGCAAGTAGTTGCGATGGTACTTGGAGGCGTCGACGACGATTTTCACGAAGACGAGCGACAGGCAGCGCTTGATCGCGGCGACGAGGCCGCCGAAGAGGCGCTTGCGCGCCTCGAAGTCGCGGAGCACGTCGTTGGCGACGCGCGCCGCGTCGCTCGCGCCCGTCGCCAGCCGCCGCGCCTCGAACTTGAACTCGATCGTCGCATCGTTCAGACTCGCGTTCAGTCTGGCCCTCGTCTCTGTCGTAGGGACAAGCTCGCGTACATTGACTTTCGCGCGCGGCTCCTTTCGCGCGGGTACCTTTCAGAGCTACGTAGCCTTCGCCGATGCCGACGTCGATGTGGCCGTCTGGCTCGCATATGTTGCCGCCGCCGAGTGCCCGCGCCATGTCGCAGACAAATGTGAGCTTCATAGGCCAGCAGAGCATCCAACCGGCGACCCATGTCACTGTCTCGTAGCACCTGTCATAGGCGTCTCCAAACATTTTCCTAAACCGTAGGAATTCAAAAATATGCTGCTGCTTGGACGCGTGAGAGAAAAGCGCGCTTTTCCAAAGAAAATTTGCCCTTTCAGCTGGATTTCAATCATTAGTACGCCGCCGCGGCGTTCCGAGACATTGCGAGGAGCAAGGCTTTTGAATGCGAGATTCGACACGCGTGCTTATGACGCTGTTGTGTGCGCGTGTGCGTGTGCGCGCGCGCGCGCGCGCGACCGCTTTTCAACTTTACTGCGGCGACAGTCCGACGAATTTTATTCCTGCCTTTGATGGTCTCTTTCGCGTGTAGAGTCGATGAGTGTACTGGGAATTGGTGTGCTACCGTAATACACAAGTGTGTTAGAGGACTTCAAAGGATATTCAACGCAAAGTATACATACGCATTCGGAAAAAAATAAGTTCTCAGCTTTGTTCTATGTTTTCGGTATTTTTCTAGCGGAACACATTGTTCTTGGAATGAGAATTTTTTTCGTTTTTTCTTTCGATAAAAAATTACTGCTCCTATCGAATCTAGAAGAATGCAGCTGCGATTTCATTGCGAAACGTCGGGAACGAATGTTTACGAGTGGCGTATCAAAGGTGTTCTCCTCGAGTCGACCAGCGCGACCAGCGCGACCAGCGAAATGGCAGGCTGCACCGAGTTACCTGCATCTGCCGGATCCGCGTTGAAGCTGCGCCTCGCATCTCTTGGAGATCTTACGCCGGTAGCCGTCCTCGTAGCGCCGGGCGTCCGCGATTTGCTCTCGTTTCGTCCTCGCGGCCGAGGTCTCGTTGCCGATCTCGGCGCTGCCCTCCTCGTAATCCGGAAACAGCGGGCCGTCCTCGGCCTCGATCTCCTCCGCGAGCGGCTCCATGAGCTCGCTTATCGAGCCTATCGCCTCCTTTATCTCGGCCTCCCTGTCCCGCATGTCCTTCATCGCCTGCGCGTGTGAAGCGCACGTTGCGGATTCACGGCGGAACGCGGCGCGGTGTCGGAGAGCGATCGGAGCCGCGAGCCCGGCTCGACGCGGGGACAATCGTTCGAGAGCGCTCGCAGGCTGTGCGCCGTGTCGGCCGTGAGAATAGCCCGAAAAGTCGATAAGACAAAAGCGGACGAGGAGAGAAACGACAAATAGCGCCGGTCATTTTTCAGAAAGCCGTCGACTTGGGTGGTCCGGCCCGCGTTGGCCGCGTACAGCAGTGTCGCCTTCGCCCCGGCCCCCGCGCGCCCGCACGAGATAATCACCGCGTAATGATATACCTGATGAAAGGGCCGGAGCATCAAATCATACTTAGTTTTGGACAAATTGTAGGTGAGCTGAGCGGTGCAGCCGAAACTGCGCATCACCTCCTTGGCGTTGAAGCTCAGGTTGGAGATCGGCCCGGCAACGACGTATCCCAGGGCGAGCGCCTTCAACGCTCCCCGGCCGGCTCGGCCGAACAGCCCGGGGATCGTCAGCAGGCACACGCACCGGAACTGCGCGTCCGATTAGAGTGGGCCCATTTCCTGTCCGCGCGCGCTTGCGGCCTTACTTGGAGCGAGGTCGCGCAGCCGAGAGCCAGCAGCAAGTCGAGCGTGGCGCCGGTCAGTCGGCCGGCGAATGCGTCCAGCTGCAAGTCGGCGATGATCAGGGCGTAGACGAGCAGGCCGAGAACGAGTCCGAGCAAGAGCCTGAGAGCCGTGCGCGACTTTCGGTGGCTGCCCTCGCTCGGATCGAAGCAGATCCGATACAGCCTCGGGCATTTCCTCAGGTAGTACTTGAGAAGCCTCTCGTGGTTGCGCTCGAGCAGATGCCGCATGTTTAACCTTCGCGAGCCCGTGCCCGTGGAGAAAACAATTGAGCGAGGATTTGTTTTTTCAACTCGGCAATAGCTCTTTATTATCCATCTATTCTTTTTTTATATTTTATTATCATTATTTTATCTTGCGTACGTCGGACAAACATTGCTATTGTTGGATTTTTTTTTTTTTTTTTGTTTTTTTTCAAGGAGTAACAAAAACGTGCAAATTTTTTTCTGGATTAGCATGACAGTTAAAGAACGAGACGCTCAGTTTAGACTTGAACGCCCAGAGCTCTGGCTTCCTTGGCGTACTTGGTTCTGTAGACATTCTGCGGGTCGAATTTGGCGAGCACCTGGTTCCATACGTCGGGTTTCTTCGAGGACAAGTGGGTGATCACCTTCCTGGCGTTCACCCTCTGCTTCTCGGTGCACTTCTCGCAGTTGGTCGTCAGTGCGTCGGGGAGGAGAGCTGCGTAAATAGAAATTTGCCACTTTTCTTTGAGCTGCTCCTTTCAGGGCTTTCAAATTCATCCCGAAGAGTCTGCGAACGCGCAACCGATATTTTCGCCGCCCCGATCGTTAATGCAGCAAATTGTCGAGTTTGAAAAGTGCTCCAAGCATATCCTTACTAAATGCTTTAGAAATGTGAAAAAATTGCATTTTTTTTAATGCGGCCGCATTCGAAAACGTCATTCTTTTTTCTCGAGTGCTGCCTTTTTGCTAATAAAAATTGAGTACCGCGGATGTTGGGCAATTCGACAAACGTTGAGCCAACACTAGGTGAAAGTGCGGAAAAGTAAAAAAGTAAACTGAAAACTTGGTTCCAGAGTGATTTCGACCTGAGCCGGAGATCCACTTGAAAACGAACAAACATTCGGCCACTCGAAGAAGAAAGAGAGAAGTCGGGGAACCGGTAACTGCTAATTACCAATTCACACTACAGATATGTTTGCGGAGCGAACGGGTTAATATTGCAGCTAATAACTTGGGCCTCTCAACGTTCTCGCCTCTCGAGCGCCTCGCGAGCAGAGAAAAGGAAAAGGCGCGCGACGATGCCGATCGCTGCGTACTAACCCTTGAGCGTCCGGGCGTCGGCGGTGCAAGTCTGGTCGTGGAGCAGACAGTTGAGGTAGGGCTTGAGAAGGCGCTCGTTCCTGAGCACGTTGTCCACGTCGATGTGGTCGAATCTGTCGGTGTACTTCTGCTCAGCGGCGCACGCGGCGACCAGGCACAGCAGCAAGGCGAGAGCGGTCTTCATGGCTGCGAGTGACAATAAAAACGAGCCCGCGTTCATTTCTCCTCTCTTTCCCGAGCGAGCCTCTCGTCGGCTTTGCAATAGTGAAAGGAACGCGCGTGTGCAGTCGCTCTTTGCAATTTGCGCGCGCGGCTTCTTTATTATTATTATTATTATTCTGCTTTTCGCGGCCGGGGTTGTTGCACGGACACCCGAGGACGCCGCTACTTTCGAAAGAAATGATGATTTGGCGAGTTATAGGACGCGTTACGACGGTTCTGCGGCAATCGCGCGCCGCCTTTAATTGCGTATTTTGCATTGATTTATCGTCGGTCCGCCAGTGGAGCTCGCTGGAAAATCTACGTGCAGTTATTCAAAACCACGAGAAATCGTCGTTGCTTTCGTGAAAATCATTATCAGAGTTTACGTCTCGCTTTGACATTTTTCCCGAGCTGAACGTCGATAATAGACGAAGAATGCAACGAGCGTTTCAACGTTATCGGTTTCCTCGTTCAACTGCGCGCGAACGTTCGAACCGACGACGAGCACTGGCGGATGGGAAAGCTCATTTGCATCGTAAGAAATTCGCCAAAAGGCGTGTCTTCTTTTGCAAAAGCTTATTATTAGCAATGCGCGCGTAACGGTGCTAATGCTATGAAGATTACATAGTCTCCGCGTTATTCAAACTCGCCACGTCGCTCTATTTGCAGGCTCAAGGTAAGTCAGCGTTTCGCGTGCGAGCGCAACTTCATTCCTCGTTTTCCCCGTGGGTTCCGAGCGAACGCGTCAAGTCGCTCGTGCTCGTTTGACTTTGATCTGGCTTGGATCGGACGGGACAGGCCGACGTACGCGCGCTCGACATCGAAATCCGGCAGGAAAGAACGAAGCGACGCGCAGCCGTTTTACCATTGCGACAAGAAGGAAGAGGTCGCGCTGACGAAACGTCAGCTCGGCCTGTGCACCGGCCACCGCGAGAGAAGCGAGCCAGCGGAGGCACCAAGTGGTAGCCGGCGCACGGTAGCTCGCCGAGTGTAAACAAAAGTGAGAGAAGGAGACGATCACTCACCTGAGTATAAGTCGTACAATCAGGTGCAACTGCCCGAGTGGAGGCGACGAGGTGTGCTTATATACGTTCTTGCCGTGACGTCTTGTTACGCAAAAAAGCCCGGAGGCACCTCGGCCGGCACAAGGTGGGAGTCTCTTTCTCGTTCTCGCGCGTCTCCGCGCACCACTATCATCACTCTATCTTCGTTCTTCTCGCCTTTTCTTTTTCGGACGGCCAGACTGGGCTCGCGAGTTTTGCGGAAAGTTTGCCGGCTGAAACTAGCGTGTCGGTGACCTAGTTTCGGATGAGGTTTTCAACTGTCATTCGATGACTAGCGTTTTCTTCTCCCCCGCCCTTTTTTCTTCGCGATTTTGCACGACGGCAAACGATGCGCCCGTAGGTTTTTGCGAACCGATCAAACGGTTCCTCGCGAGCAAAACAAACGATGGCGTCGTGGAACAGGAATAATTCGCCCGTTGGGTTTTTCCACCCTTTTCGACGCTCCGCGAAACAAGTTAGCCTGTAGATACGCGCGGATTGCGTCAATGGATCCGGGCCGGTTTGTGACCTCTTCCTCGCGCAAAGCTTTTTTTTACCCGAAAACAACCAAGAAGAGTTCGTTCAACTAACGACTCTCGATTTTCTCTTCTGTTCCTGTCGCGCTGACTAATACATCCAAAATCATTTCCAGTTTGGTGGTTCAGCCACGTCGATTTCGGCGTCTAGTCGGGCATTTTTCCGTAACACATAAAATTCAAGCTCTCTCGTCATCCTTCATTCGCAGTGAAATACACTTTGGTAAAAAAAGAAAAAAGAAGCGGATGGGTGCAGATTCTAAATGTGTTTACGCGCTTGCTCTTGTGAATTATGAAAGAAAACATGGAACTAATAAGTTTTTCACATAGTCCTTGGCTTCGCGCGCTCGCACAATGTGAATCATCCGCAATTAACGTCGCGCGTTGACCATTTGAAGAACTGAACTTTGAACATGATGAAAAACAGACGAAAAGAAAAAAAGATGGAAGCCCATTATCCATCCGTTGTATGACGCGCCATTTGTTCATGACGATTGCGCGGACAATTGAATCGATGAGAAAACAAAACACACGCACTAGGCATTGATATTTTCTAACAAAGATGTATTGTTGAGGTTGTTTTATATTAACGCGGACGATTAAAAGCAGCAGAAAGAAATTATCAGATCCACGTATACGGAGCTATTTATCGCTCGTAACGTCGATCGGCGACCGAGTTTTTTCTCCAACATTCTTTGTACAATATCTATTCCAGAAAATCCTTGTTTTTCCTCCTTTGTAAATCGAGATGTTTTTGAATTTCAGTCACAAAAAAAACCGTCCTGCTTCCTATATCATCCATCACGCCGAACTCTTCGCGAGGGGACTTGTAAATATGCTTATTCGAAGTACTCTCGCGAGAGAAATCATTAAATACATCATAACACGTGTTAACGTTTGCGTATTCCAAACTACTACGCGGCGATAAAACGAAAACTTACATACGTATTTTGAAAACGCGTACATCGGGATGGATGTACATCGTCAACAGAGGGAAAAGAACATTTTAGTTTTGCTTTTGCTCGCTTGCGCAAAAGTTGTGACCGCGCGCACCACACGTGATAAACATAAATTTCGTATTTTTTCGTTGCTTTATCATCGTGCTCACTCGCACTTAATCGGGTCCAGGCCGTCTGGATTTCATTACTCGTGATTTTTTTTTCTCTCTTCTTAGACGCGGCCTTAATGCAGTTTTCGAGGTTTGTCGAATTTTTCATTGCGATCGACTGTCAGTCGGACGTCATGATCTCAACTCATTCGTATTCACACTACGTCTGCTTACAAACTTTTTTTCCTTTTATTCGTTTCGAAAATATCAACAGGCTGGTTTTCTCGATGCATCGGTTGTGATGCTTTGCAATTATGTTTACGGTACAAAGGCAAAGTTGTCTAACGCGCGGAGTGAAATCATAATGCCGAGTGTCCGCATTATGTAGTTTTTTTCGTGCCAGCGTTAATCATAAAAGACAGTAGAAGGAATTAAATAGATGCGTTATTGAGAAACGAATGCATAATTAAGTCAGTGGTATGAGCAAGCAAGCTTTTTACTTCATCGTTTGATAAATTTCGAAGACAATAAAGTTATCACAATATTACGTTGTTCTTGGAAAAAAACGCATCTCCTTCACGATCGTTGCACTTGACAACAGTGGACTGACCGTAGATTAATCTATCATGAGTACGTGCTGTACGAAGAACTGACCTCACGAATTATTACGAATTATTACACGAGCCAACTTGATAAAGAAATAAAAACCAAATGCCAGACTCGTATATCAAGGTAGACGTATTAAGTCGATATTCTTGTATGTTTTTTGGCGAAGATTATGCATTGGTAGGATCTACAGTCGAACAAAAAGCAATATCCTTGGCCTTCTTGAAAAATCATTTGCATTTCGCTAATAGATTCGCTATCGTTATTTAAAAGTGCAGTTGCGTAATGCCAAAAAATATAGATGAGCTTACGGATTCTTGTTTCAGTTTTCGCATCATTCTCCTTTCTTCTTTTTTTCTAGCTGTATTAATGGACAAGGAAAATAAAGGATAAGACAAAAAATGAATGTTAGAGACAAGACGTGGTTTTCAGTTTTAAGAAAACATTTTTTTGTATTTTCTGTATTTATATAATTAGAGTTGGCAATTGCTTTTTTGTTTACTTATTTAAATCTATTTACAGGATGAGGAAATATAAATTACATATCAATGCTTTTTCATTTTTCCATTTTTTTATTTTTTTGGCAGGCGTTTTCTTCATTTAGTTTAGATCGAGTTTTTTTATACATTAACAAATAACCTTTTTTCCTCTTACTTGTTTAAACCACATTTATAAAAAGTAGAAAATTTCAAATCAAATTTCTCAGTTTAATAATTTATTTCTTCATTATTAAAAATAAATTAAAACGAGAGTTTTTATTTAATTTCCAAATCAAATATAAATTCCACGTTAACATTGACATACACAGAAACCCTTCCATACATTGCTTTATCACACAGCATAAATCGGTCTTAAAAGAATACTATCATTTACAGAATGACTTTTAATATGTTTCTCATATTTACACATAGTAATATACTACACACAATTGAGAATTATTATATCATAATGAGGCAACAACGTGACAAAATTAAGAGCACGATATTTTTGTGCCTTCTTTTTATATAAGAAAACTGTACTTTCCCAGTGTTTGTTTATTATGCTCTGATTCTTCGATAAATAATTAGAAGCAAATACACAGCAATAAAAATATATTGCAAAGAAACAAACGTTTCGCGCGCGCAAGCATCTGTAGCATTCAATACTCACTACAAATGATCAAAGTTATGTATCATTCGGATACAAACTATTTACATCGTTTTTCTTAAAATTAAGATATTCTCTTTTCTTGAACCGTAAAGCTATTAAAATTAATTCCTTTTTTTTGTGGTTTTAGGTAATTACCTCTATCTTTTACATTTATACACGCTTTTAAACAACTGAATGAAACTTTTGAACAAGTTTCGCATTACACAATCTACGAGTTTGTAGATTGATTAAATATTTACAGAAAATTGATGAAATGTACCTTAGGCCAAGAAGGTAAAATAAATAATAAAATGCGACAAGTTTTGCTTAAATGTGGTCGTAAAAGTGCTGCGAATGTACGGTTAGTATATGATTTGAAAATTGATTAATTGGCGGCGATCCATCCACTAGATAGCAAATAATTTAGAATTTTACTTTCTGGTTCTGACTGAGGAACTATGTTGGATTTTTTGTTACTATTTGCATATTCCTGCAACAACAAGATAAAGCACTTAATATGACGATTGATCGAAATCGACGTGTCAACTGAATAAATAAAAATATATTTACTTGAAGTAAAAGAGTTTTTTGCGTAATGTATTGAGTTGGTTTCAAATCTAATTGAAGGCATAGTAGTTTTTCTTGTGAAGAAAGAAGATGTGCCGAAGCTTCGGATTCTATATCTCTGGTATCGTTGTCCACTTGATTTCCCGATTTTCCTGAATTCCAAGAATTGTTGCCTCTGTCGCTCGTCGAATTCGAATGGATCGAGTATTGATTTGAATTGCTATCCTGTTCCCAGTGACTGGTTGGAGTCATCATCCGAGTGGTGGCTGAAGAGTTGCTGGCTGAGTCGGCTTTTACAGTGGATTTTCGGTCGATGGAAGAGTAACTTTTTTCTTCGTCTCTGTTGTTGCAAATATAACCATGAAAAATGAATAATTTTTCTTATAAGATATTGAAAACGATCGACAAAAAAAATTGTATTTTTTTTATTCAGAAATTACGAACATTACCATGTACAGTCGATTTCGTGACCATTTCTTACTAAAAGCGAATTTTCACATGCAAAAATTGGGTGATTTAAAAAAAATAATAATATCACGTGATAAAAATTAATTGCAGAAAAAAATATGGCAACAGGAGTGAACGAGTTGATCTAAGTGAGTGACTCACCTTCTTCTTGAGGCTTGGCGATGCATTGCTTTGGATGACCCACTGCTGCCCTAAGTGAAATGCAAACTGATACAATCTGTTCAGAAATGCCTGGCAACACGCACCATAAATAAGAGTATTAGTTGATGAGAAAAGCAGCGACAAAGCTTTTCATTTTGTTGCTCACTTCATAGAGCTATTCACAAATTATCTCTCAATATCTTTTGATTGTTGCGTATATTGCCAGTTTAAGATGTTCATTAAGATAGTGTTATTTGAAATAATGGTCAACATGAAAGACTATAAACCATAGGCTATGAAAAAAGACTCGAACCATGGATGTGAAATATTCAGTAAAAAATAAACAAATGTAAGCAAAAGTACAATTGAAACATGCAACAACCATTGCCACTTAAATACCCAAGAAATGAAATGAAAAATAAATTTTCAGCTTCGTAACTTAATCATGAGATATGATTGCATTTATGATTAGCATTCTACGTTGAGTGAGTGCAACTTACAGATTTGCGTTCGGACCAATGATCAACCGCGTCCGCTTGTCCTTGGGCCATCACCTGTTCAAAGTGGGTACATTCTTCATGCCTCGTCACACCATTCTCGCGGTAGCGGTATAGTTCAGAGAGCCGTAACCGAAGTTCTCGTTCTTTTTCGAGACTTGCCAAAAATTGCTCATACTCCTGTGCTGTGTAAAATTGAGCAAAAGATCGCATACGGTCTCTGAAGTCTCTGTAATGTCACATTTAACGATAAAAAATTTTCCTCTTTTTCTTAAATTTAAAATTATTTTAACATTTGAAACCCTTACTTTTCTTCTTTGGTTTGCTTTTTTTTGCTGCTTTCCTTCTTTTCTTTTTGAGATGCGAAAAATTGAGCTACCAGTTGATAATCTCTTAAAACCCGTTTTCTCCTGGCTCTTTCTCTCAAATGACTTGTGTACATATCAACTTGTGCGAGTTTCAGTGCAATATCCAAATCATCATCTTCAGCAGGATTCAGAAACAGTGAAGAAACAAGAGATTCTGCTTCATGATTGTAATCTCTTTCAAAATCATCTCTCTGTGGCATGTACCCAAGTTGAGTAGCTTCGTCAGTTGTGATGTCTAATGGAGGTAAGCGTGACGTCAAGTCTGGAGAAAGTGGGCCATGGTCTGAATTAGTTGCATCTGTGAGATTTGGGGTATAGGTCTCAGTAGAAGGCCATGTGAATTTTCCAATATTTCCATCCAAGTACCTGGCAACATACTCTTCTTTTGCTTCTGTAATGTTTAATTTTACATTATTATCTATTAAAAATGTACATAAAATAGTAATGTGAAATTATAGAAACTATTACCTTCAGGAGTTCTAGTTTCAATGTGCTTACTGATGTCTTCCCAGTTACCATAGCCAAATTGTTCAATAGCATCCAGAAGTCTGAGATGTTCTCTGGCAGTCCAGTTACCTCTGCCAGTAAATATGCTGATGGTCCCAGAGTCCTTAATAAAATTAAAATTAAAATTAATGTGTTGAAATTGAAATTAACCAATAAATGTAGACATTTGTAATTGTTAAACTATTTTCTTACCATAAATTGATAGGAGTGATCATTTTTGTGTGGTCCAATTTCAGCTCCAGCAGAAAAGCACTAGTAAAATAAATGCAATCATTAAAAATAATTTAAAATAAACAAAATTTATTGAAAAAAAAAATTGAATTTTCAATTTTTGTCGAATTTGTTTAACAAAAATTAATTTGAAAATCGAATAGAATAATCAAAGCGGCGCTAAACCATCACATACTGCGCCAGTTTAGATCGCCCCCGCAAGTATGTATATCTACATTTTGGGCGCGAAAAGTAGAGAGAGACGGGAAAGCCGGCTTGAACGAGCGCGGTTGCAATGCCTCTACTGCGTCTATAAGCACATCTGTCTCTGTCTTACCTGCAGGCAGAGGTCGAAGTCTGAGCATTCGACGCATTTAATCCGCAGACCCTGAATATCCTCCTGGCAGTAGGTGCAGGTGTACTTAGCGTAAAGATCTGGAATAAAAAATCGATTGAGCGTCCCATAATGCACGTATAAAGACAAGCTCGATTGGTGCTTGAGCAAAAAAAAATGTAAAAATCAAATTACAACTCGTCCTCGCTTGGAGTCGGAGTTGATTCCACCTACCCGCCATCTTTAGCCCGTAGTGTTCTTCTCGAACGATCTCGAGCCTCGTTGACGTCACAGCATACCGCAGTTCCTCTGGACACTTTAAGGTCCCAGTATCGTAGCCAAGGATTCCATGACCTCAGGAGACGCCTTGTCGGTGTGTTTAGCGTCTCACCTCTTCGTCCTTAGCCGCCGCCCCAATATGCCTTTTCCAGCCTTTTCGCGGGGGGCTGTCTCGGAATATGCGTTATTCAGTATATATATGTTTACACCCAGACCTAGGGATCTTTTCTTCGATTATTCGATTTGGTCGTCTTAACTGCGCACGCTCGACAATGCATACCAACCGAGGTGGCGCTGCTGTCAGGGGCGGTTTTCGCGCCGATTGCACTTCACACCATGAAATTTCGTGAAGTTTTCATCGAATAAGCGCCAACTACTTGAGATGTTTAATCGTCGCGTATTTTCTATGTTATTCTGCTACTGCTATTATTGGCACTATACGTCTATACTTATTGTATCCACTAATGCGCTTTTCCCCATCAGTTGTTAAGTCACTCCACCTTTTTCCTTCAGTGTTGCCAACGTACTTTTATTTACGTCTGCGACCCCGATGACTACAAATTTAACACGTTTACGGTTGATAACAATAATTAAAATATTATAAGTTATTTTAATTCTTTGTAATCATAATATATCAAAAATTTAATTTGTGTTTATAATATATCTAATAAAATTCAACTATAATAAGAGATTTAACGTTACTTACATATATAATTATTTAATTCATGGGCTATCATAGCTTAGCTATGAATATAAATATAGAGTTGCAATACATGTTCTATATTGAATTAATATATAATCATCATTAGCTTAAAAAGAAAAAATAATGAGGTATATTGTATTTAGACATAAATACAACACTTATTTTGTGTTTGGGCTTTGATATTCTATATCTTAATCTAAAATCGTCTCTTTGTATATATAGACATATGTAAGGTGGTAGGCTTTTCTAAAATCTACACCGCCCACATTCGCACTTCATGTTCAACCCTTTTCTTATTTTATTATATTTTTCTGCTTCAAAGCCAAGCGGCAGTTATTGCTTCGAAGCACTGAGTCCTTCGGCGGCCTCGAAATCTCGGATTTGTAGATAAATACTGCCCTTTAAAGGAAGGGAAGGCTGCCACACTGAATTAAACTTGTACATTGATCTGTAATGAAAAAAAAATTCACGTCAAAAACAAAATCTCCTTTTTTGAAGTTGGCAAAAAAATAAACAGATCGTCACAGGCAAGAAAATTATAAAAATATATTTTAAATGGCAATAATATGTTTAATAACTATGTTGTATAATCAGCCTGATAATTTTTTGTGATATAGAAAAAATAATGAAAAAAAAAACGATATTTATATTTCGAATATGTCTAATCCAATCCATAAAAAATATAGTATAGCAATTTTAACTTTTGTTTGTGAGGAACACTTAAGGTTTCTTCAACTGTTTTGCATTCTCATCATAATTTGAAGAACTTGGAAAATATTAAAAGATTTAAAAATATATTAGGCTTTGTCAACATAATACGTGCCTCCGTTGTTACAATTTCTTAATTTTTACTTTTTCACACAATTAGGCAAAAGCTGCAGTTGGTACATTTTTTAAAGCGTCTTCTACATTCTTTTCATAAACTGCTTTTTCAAAATGTTGAAGGTATATATGTGAAAGAAACTATTTTCGTTGTCCACTTTTGTAGCTGCGATTCATTTTTAATTCAAAACTAAATACCGATACTATTATTGCTACGAACTAATTAAATATCATAATTATTTTTTAGGAATTCTAAATTCTACAAACTGCTAATTTCTTAAATATATCATGCAGAAAATTCTCTAAAATTTTCATTTTTTCAAAGATCGCCCGTATGGAAAATCCTATGAAATTCTCATATACAGCTGAGTTTTCCAAGCACCCGCATTATCCACGGTATCGGAAATATTTTTATCAGCACTTAAGAAAGACTAAATAAAGAAATATTTTTATTAACATGTAAATAATAAACTTCATTCAAAAGAATGTATCTTTCAAAAGAATACCGCATACACCTAAATTTTTGAGTATGTATATAGATTTTGGCTTCGGCGTTAAAATTTAATTATACTTTTATTTAAATTTAAAAATACACGTGTCATTTGTCTACAATTTGTTTTGCAAATTTCACGAAGTACAGATATATACATCTTCTTCAGTTTGACACGGCGAAGCAGAAAAATACATGTGATATGGTATCATTTTTAATCAAATTTAATTATCCATTTAAAACGGTAAACAATTTCACGTTTCATCAAATTTTTCTTTGTAAATTTTGAGAATTTTGCATATGTATTTTAATTCAGATAACAACGAATCTAATTTACTCTGGGAAGAAAAGACACTTTCATCATAATTATGGCTTATTCAAACAGACAACTTTTAGTGAGAAACCAGCATGGCTAAAGAAATTTAAAGTGAAACAAGCTGCTATGCAGGTACCTCGAAATATACTATTAGCAATAATAAGAGTCGTTCTACTAAACTAGTATATTTTTACAGAAAGATGATGAAATACCAGTTTTTTTGAAAAAGGGCGTTCCAGATAAAATTTTATACAATTTGACTTTAGGAATGCATATCATTGGCTTAATTTGGACTTTCAAAGTTATTGAGAGTTTGGATCATCCTCCTAAAGAAAACTAAGATGTCATAAGTTTTTGCGATATATATATAAATTTTATTTAACAAATTATCTTTGTAATACAAAAAATACACTTTGAAGGCACATAAAACTTTTGTCCCAGGTTCATTTGTTGTGATGTGTTAAAATATGTTGCACTGGTTGCAATAACTAAATTTGAACTTTGAAAGCATTCTTCCTATCACAGTGTTTATATTTAAAGTTATAATTAAAACTTTACATTAAAATCTTTCAATATAAAAATCTACTTTTTATAAACATTCACCTGTACATTCATCTTTCTAGCAATAGCAAACACACATTTGAAAAACATTATTTATATCAAGTCTTATATACTTTTATAATAATAACTGCAGCTACAAATAAATCATACTTTTCGTTTAGTCTTTTACATAATCAACTTATTACTTTATAACAAGTAACTCTTTTACGTTTCTTTTTCAAAGTTCAAATTTCAAATATTTATTTGTCTTTGATTTCTTCTGTGATTTTTGCTGTTTATTCACATCTTCATCACTCAAAGATTTATTCATTTTTATCTTTCTACTTTGAATAAAATTTTTCAAAGCCTTGTTAAATTGCATAAGTGTTTCAGAAATAGGCTTGTCCATGTATGATCTCTCAATGTTATCTATATCTTCAGTTATTGAATCTTCATCGGTAACTAATTCTTCTTCAAGCTCCCTAAACAGCTCCAAAATTCCTTTCAAACTCTCTTTTGGATCTTTATAAATATTATCTTCAACATTTGCTGTCATCTTTTTATTATCAGTTTTATTGTCATCTATAGACTGTGTTTCATTTTCTATCCATGTATTTAAAGCTTGAGCATCATCAGAAACCAAATCATTTTCAAACTCTTTAAATAATTTAATTATACTACCAATAGTTTCTTGTACATTTACTAGTTCATTCTTCCGGTCCTGTTTCTCTTCTGTAAAGTCTGACTCTTGGAAAGAACTCTTTTGCTCATACTTAAATTTTTTAGATTTATTTAGTTTAACTTTAGTTGTGGCTTCTACTTTAAAATCTTCTTCTTGATTTTCATCACTTACAGGCTCTTCAGTTTTTGTTCTACTCTCTTCTCTCTTTTCTTGAATAAGTTTTTTCACTACATCTTTTATCCGATTAGTTTTAATTTTATTTTTTATTGTGTCTCGATTGAACTTGATATCATTTTCAATTTTTTTTTGTTCTAAATTTAATATTTTTTTAATTTTAATATTATCTGAAACTTCATTATTTTTCAAAACTTTCTTCACTATGTTTTTCAAATTAGCAGATTTTTTATTCTTTTTAAAACTATCTACTTCTAAATTGGATTCTGAAGTGTCTTCAACATCATTTATTTTGAACTCTTCATTTGGTTTAAAATTTTTTTGACTTAAAAGATTTTGCGATATGATTGTTTTTTTTGATGCATCCATAACTATTTTTTTGACTTTGGTATGTTGAAAAGATTGTGGATCATGAATTTTAGCTTTTAATATACTGTTTGAATTACTTGGTTCCACTTGATCAAATTTATTCTCTATGCCTTTTTTTAAAATTGGCTTCATTTTTGGTTCACTTTTTATTTCCGTTGACTCCTGTTTGTCCTCACTACTATTATAATCAATATTCTTTTTCTTTAATGTTTTTGAAAGAATTTTCAGCTCATTTTCTTCAAAGAATTGATAATCTGTTTGAATATTTTCTTGTTCATTATTTTCTCCAGAATCGTTTTCTACAATTACAGCCTGCTCAAAATTTTCTGTTTGTCCTTCATATAACTCTTCAGTTTTCTCAGAATCCACAAGTAAATTATTATTCATTATTTCTGAGTTGTTTATAATAACACTGATTTCATCTTTTTTTATTTTCATTTTTTCATCTATAAAAAATTGACTTTTAACTGTGTCTCGTGGTGGATTGTATTTTATATTTTGTTTCCTTTTTAAAATAAATATTGATGGCCTGGTTTTTATTTTGATAGGTGGGAACATTGAGTGATAATTGAGTTCTACATTTGAGTAAGCCTCTATTGAATCTAATATATCATGAGTTTCTAAATATGGCTTAAGGTGTGATGAATATTTACTTTTGGCTTCTACTAATAAGTGTGTAAATTTTAACATCTCTGGATCATCGATTGTGATATTTTCATCTTTCGAGTAACTGTAAAAAAAGTTTAAGGTTAAATCTTTATCAATAAATTTCAGTGAAGCTTTATTTAATTCTACTAACATCCATGAAGCATTGGTTTGAGTGAACCTTGAAACTCCAGTCTGAGCTGTTAAAACATCAATGTGAACATGGATTGGTACTGGGGAATCTCTTTCAAGTCTATGTAGTCTTGCAATCGCCATGCCACCAGGATAATTTTGTTTAGCCAAGCATAATAGAAACATTGAAAATATTGTATTACAAATTATATGTCCAAGAACACCTAATGCTAATAAACCATGCCACGTCGATTTTTCGCGGTTTTCCCAGCTGAAACAATATTTATTTAAAAAAATTAAAGTAGAGTATGAATGAGTTTAATAAAAAATTTGAGAATAAAATAAATACTTACATACGATGACAAACCACAGCAGCACTTACATTCAGTAAGGGAAAAACATACATAATAAATCTTAGCTCTTTATGAGGTAAAAATGAAAAAAAGAAAACAAATGCTACACCAGGTACAGTCAAAACTCGTACTCTAGAATCCAATAACATTCCAAATGGTACAAGAAGATAAGAGAGCGCTAAACCTCTTGGTAACGCTGAATAAAAGTACCACAAAAATGGTGATGTCTAAACACAGTACATAAGGATAAATACCATTTAAATAGATTTGTGTCATTAAGAAAAGGCTTCTGATGTGTGATTTGAAGAAAAAGGATACACCCCATTCACTGCTTCTGTTGAGTATGGTGTTGAAATAAAAAACTTCTCCTTCTGGCCATAAAATTCTCCTCCAAAAATAAGAATCAACAATAATTGTTAAACTTAGTAAAAATATTCCAGTAGGTAGTACAATTTTTAATACTCTGGAAAATAAATAATATTATTCTTACATGTTTTAAATCAATGACTTTTGCATTCAAGCATGATAAAATTACCCAGCTAAAGTAATTTTCTTGTAAGCAATATCATAAAGTAAAAATAAACCCAGTAGTATAGCGATTTCTATCCTGAATATAATTACTGCGGCTCCAGATGACATAATAAAAAGAACATGTTTTTGTCTCAGCCATGCATACAGAGCAAGTAGAACTGAAAATAAATCAAATTATTAACAGTTTTAAATGAAGTATCTTCCTAGTTAAATAAAATGTTTACCTAGTGGCATAACCATAATATTTGGCAATGGTCGGCTGAGATAATACATGAAATGGTATTGTGTCACAGTAATAATGAGGAACCATCTTGTTAATTTAGCACCAAAAATTGATTGAAGGGCTCTTTTATACAGTATGAATGTAGCTAAAACAGTCGAGCCTAAAACAGCTCTAACTGAAAAAATAAGTTTTTTTTAATTCTTCGAAATAATAATGCCTTGAAATTTGAAAACTTACCAATGTATTGGGCAAAGAATTTATTAAGTTCCCAATATTTGACAGCAGCAACAGCTGGTGAAGCAATGCCTGATATTACTATTGGTCCTAGAAATGTTCTTGGCACAACACCAGGAAACTCATGATGGTCATACTGAAATGAGAGAATAACGAAAAAGAAAATAGTTGAGAACTCTTTCACCATGAGCATACTACACATCAATGTAAACACACACGCACGCACACACATATATACGTACATATATAGAGGCACAATAGTCCGACACCAAAATAAAGCCCCGACAATTATAGATATTCTATTTATAAAGAAATGTGTATGAATTAAAAGTTTATTATTAGTTTTCTAGTGTGTGCACAGTAACTAATCAAATAATGTTGACATGTTGTCACGTGTTTTTGTACAGCATATTTAGCATTTCGCGCGGACGTCAAAAAGGGTTTGGCCGGAAAATTAGCAAAAATCCTGTGTATTAAATTAAGCCAGCATACACTCGCACACGAGAACTTTACCTCGTTTAAATTAGAGCCGTGGTACAAAAGGTCGTGTATGGCTTGGAGATTGAAACTTTCTTCAACTTTCGTAAACGGACAGTATATCAAGTGAAACCCGGCGATTATTAATAATAACTGTTCCATCTTGAATGAACTCAATAAACAATTCAATCGATACAAACTGTCGCTGTCGTAGTTGTGCTAAACAGACACGCGTAAAATTCACGCCATTAGTGTGGAATTTTCTCTTTTGGAAAAAATAATGCGTTTAGAAAAAGAATAGAGATACTTTAGAGCCAAAACCACACACATCAGCAGCACGTCGTCGTCTGCTAGCGGAGCAGCAGCTGTCTGCGGGATATTTTCTGACGCGCGCACTTCCCACTACATTGTTGCCAAATTGAAGAAAGCTGGAACCAGTGGAAACGTCATAGCTGGGAAACGTCAAACTTCGTTTAAAAAATATCGTGAGATTATAGTTGCTTTATAATTAATAAAAAAAATTATCCCATTTAACAATAATGCAATGATTTCTAGGGAACCTGAGAAAATTTTTTCCAGCGGCAACGCTGCGTGAGAAGCACTACTACATAAACAATATTCAAGATTAATCTTTTTTGCGAAGTTTTCATCTTTAAGTTTCATAGAATTATCACAACTTTTTTGTGTACAATCAGATTAGTCGATCGAAACTTTAAACGACATGACAAATTTATTTATCTTTATCAAGCGAACGTGAATATTCATACACGCAAATAATAGCAATGAATAATCTATCCTGAAAAATATTTACGTTAATGAGAGTTTATTAATGTTTATAGCTTTTATTGTTTTATTTTTATATTTTTCAAAAATTATTCTACAAAAATTGTATAAGACAAATAAATTTTTAAGAAATTAAACCATCTAAGTGCTAATTGCGCGGACTTTCAATGGTTTCAAATTGGAAATAGAAAAAATTAATATTTACCTTTTAATTTTACAGAAATTTTACGCGATATAACAGATAATCAAAATCTAAAGTTTCAATAGAGCCCAATGTGTAAGAAGCACTACGACCGAATAAAATTGAAACTCTAAGATCTTTGTTTTGGTTAAATAGTAGAAAATGCTATCATAGATCAGATTAGCAACTGTCGATTTGCTGATCAAAAGCCAATTTTGCTAATTGTGATAGCAATTTTCGAATACGAGAGTCGCTTGGTAAATTCCTTTGATTGAACTGCCATCGGATATCAGAACATCAAATTAGGCGACAGATCAGTATATTTAGCTACTTGTAATTTGACGATGTATCGAAATAAGTATTGGGCAATGGTCTTTTACGACTCATAGTATGTGTAAGAGAATCTAAAGAAGCTAAGATAGTATTGACATCAGTACCTTAGAATACTACTGCATGAAATATGATAAGCTCATTAGCTTTATTACTCATTATTTCATTAAGTAGTATAAATTTTGTACGAAAAACAAAGAAAAATTACCGAGCATCAGAAGTGATTTCATATTAAAAATGTATGCACAAGCCCTTTTGGTTGCACTTCGTAATGGTGTCATTCCAGTAAAATCTTCCACAATGTTTAGACTGGCATTTGTAAATACTAAAACACACACAAACACACATGTATGTATAATTTTTATAGAATTATGATAATTCACCTAGTTGTGAATTTTTGTATAATAAAAAGCTTTCTTCGGTCCAATTCCGAGTATTAACGTAAGCGTTCAAGTGTTTCAGCATTATCCGAATCAAATACATTCTTCCAAAATCAAATAACTACTTAACGTAGTGAAGATTATTTGTTAACTTGAAACACATCAATGGATACTCGCCTTGTGACAAATGTTTCTGCAATGTTTTTATCTTTTAACAATCATTTTTGCAAACAGTAATGCATTTTTTGCATAATGATTCAGGAGAAAACAGGAGAGGACCGATTGATAACTAGTATCTTCTACATATAACTTACATCGTTTTTGCCTTTAATGAAATTAGAAAATAAATTTCAAGTTTCATTTTATAAAAGTAACGAAATAGCTGCAATCTCCAGCTAATTTATTTGGATCTGATTTCATACCTGCACGTACCTGTACCGCTATCGTTTTTCTGGAAAAAACTAGGAAAAAATGTAGGCAACATTCATGTAAAAAGAATTTTGCGCGATCGCTCCTAAAAACATTTCTTGTTCAGTCTTTCAATCTATTTATTTCTCTTTTTACTAAGCGCAAAACATGTTCGAAATCAGATAGAGGACAAGTATTCAAAAATACCAATCATGGATGAAGCAATTGTTTATTTGTAAATGATAAATATGTCATTATGATTCTACGGTATAAATGCTGTAAAATCAATGATTAGACAATGCAAAAAAAAGGAACACACGCCCGAATCTGTCAAATCGACGAGTCGCCGTATGTATATATATATGTATGTTTATATATCAATTCCACCTCTATAAATTTATTAAGATCACAGACTTGGTCAGGACAAGAAACAGAGCTGCTCGTACAAACGGAAAATTTTATTCGTTTATCATTTTTTTTCTTTTTTATTGATTCATTCGTCGTTCATTTATTTCATCACTTTTTCGTATACAAATTCGCGTACATAATTAAAAACAGTCGAGCTTTGCGTGTTGGTCACTTTTCTAACTATGTTGTTCTAATGAAAAATATATATCATTTTGTTTGTGTTGGTCTAGTATTACACATCAGTCTAGCACGAGATAAATATATAGAAAGAGAAAGAGAGAGAGAGAGAGAGGGAGAGAGAAAAAATCACAAAGCAAATATACCTGGCAATCGGATGCCGAGTTTTAGTTGCGAAAATCGGGATAAGAGTGCAGAGAGCGTATGCGTGTGCGTGGGAACGCGCGCATGGGGAACACGAAAGAGAGCAGCTGGGAGAAGAATTAGCGCTTGGGTCTTGGCTTGGGCTTGTTGTGCTGCATGGTCTCGCACTTGGGTACGTGGCGCTCGGCAGCCCCTTGATTGAATTTGCGCGAGCAGTGAGGACACTGCACGTAGTCGCTGGTGTCGGACGGCGGCGGCGGTGGCAAGTCGCTCAGCTTACCGCCGGCCGCTACGTGGGCCTGCATCTGCTTCGCCGAGCGTATCGCGTTTATGAAGTCCTCGTGCTTGCGGCGCCAGTTGGATTTTTGCGGCTCCGCTTTGCTCACCACTGCTACCGCTACCTTGCCCTGCAATCCCATAGTCGCGGGCATTGAACAAACGATCGCCGTTTGAAAGCGCGCGATCACCGACGACAGTCTCCAAATTCGTTTGCGCGGCTTGCTTACGTTAGGATTCGAGTCGGGGTCACGCCAAAGATACCACTTGTACTAATTTACGCGTGGGAACCTCGTCAGATATTGAAAGCCGAACGTCCATCTTGACGACTTTACCGCGCGATTCGTTGCACGAGCATAATCCGCTTTGACGGAAAAAAAGATCTAAATGCTTCGCCGGTACATGCTATTTCGGTAGACGTCGTAATTGCGATCCTTCGGGTCGGCTATTCAAATATTTTCCAGCCAAATCCTCCGTCGTTCATCGAGTCGCGAAACAAAACTGTAGCTCCGAAATCAGCGTTGGGAGTCATAATTGTCAGCCGCGAAATCCCTAAAGGGACTCGCGAATGCATTCGCGGCGCTCTCGGCAGAAAAGGAAGGGACATTATTGAATTTTAATTCGCGCTAGCTAGCGAGAGTAGGTTGCTATTCGTCGTTCGTTTTCTTTCTCTGTCGTTAATGGCGAGTGTCGAGCTTTACCTGCTTTTTGTTGGGCTTTTGTACGAAAGACTCGAGCTCGGTGCCTTTCACTCGATGACCCACGGCGTCGAACTGCTTTCGCTTCTTTTGTGCGGTTTTGGCACAGATCTGCTCGTGCTTGGCTACGCGCTCCGGCTGGAAGCGTCGAGCGCAGATCTTGCAGGTGATCAGCGAATCGCTGCGACGAGGAAAGAAAGCGTCATCGCTTTGATCACCAAGAGGACTTACGCGCCGAGCTGCGCCACGGCAAGGAGGCACATGGGTGCGGAGCCAAGCCGAGCTCGACGCCGTCGGAGCAGCGGGGGGAAAAAACAAATCATTAAAAGCGCGACATTACTCGGCGTTGGCGCTGCCATTGGACGGTGCAGTTGTCCTGATCGCCGGCGTCGGGGCCTTCGTCTTAGCGGTAGCGACGGTGCCACGGCTTCCTTGGCTACGGGTCGCACCCACACTCGAAGTCGACGATGATGTCCTCGGCGCTGGTGTTATCGGCACTCGTGATGCAATCGGCAGCTTCTTAACAGTTTTCAAAACCATGGCGATGAGTTATTTTTTTTTTTTTTGTTGGCAGGATTGGTTGTAAAGACACTCGTTAATTTTTGCGTATTTCTATAGTTTTCTTTTGCGCGTGTGCGCGCGTGTATGCACGCGCGCGTGTATTCGTGAATGCGGCGCTTTGGTCGCTTTTTGTTTCGCTCCGAGATACGCTTTTCTTTTTTCTTTCGGGGTTATATTTACCTCGTCGCTCTGCAGCGAATCCAAGGGGATACTGGATTTTCGCTGAGTGGCCGGATGATCGGCGGTTTCGGTAGGAACAGTGCTGGCCACGTCACCGTTGGAACCAGCGAAACGACCGAGAAGTTTCATACTGGTTGCCTTCACCACCGATCCACTTCTCGGCTGCAAAAGAGCATAAGCAAATTCGTCATTGAATTGAATTGATCGGACAAGCGGCAATCCGCGTGCGGTCATACCTCGGTGTGTTCAGGGCTTTTGGACGATGGATAAGGCGGCACGTTCTTCACGAGCGACGCAGTGTCGGTCGCCCTGGCCAGTGGGTCCGACTTTTTCGAGCTCGTCACCGGCGCCTCGGCCTTCGTCACACTGCCAACATAGCAATCGAATTTAGCGCTTACCTCCGGCGAACTCGGGCGATCGGATCGCCGCGAGCTGCAACCCGACGCATCGTCATTCTCGTGGCTCTTCTTCGACTGCGACATAATCTTCTTCTTGCACGCCGGCAGATTGGTGATCACGGGAACCCTCGCTAGCTCGATCGAATCCCTCGCCTGGAGAATCTTCTTGCCGTTCGCCTTGGCATCCCGGCCGTACTTCGGTGGCTTCGCAGTCCGGATGGTCCAAGCGCTGGTGCTACGCTCGAAGCCTCTCAGGATTCGACGAGCGCCGGTGTCCGACGAAGCGGAGCCTCTGCGACAAGCTCGCCGAGACGACGATTGTTTGCCGTCGGCTGCCGGTTCGTCGTCGATGGCGTCGAAGTGACGAAGCACCGACTCGACGGAATTGTGCCTCGAAACTCGCTGGCGTTGATAGAGCAGCTCGAACATCATGCGCTTCTGCTCGAAGGACGCGCGCCGAACGCAATTGACGTCTTCGGCCGAGAGCTTTGACGTCGGGCAGACTCGCGAGTGGTCCCGCTGCTGCTCCGCGGCTCGGTTCGCGACGGCAGTCTGTTGGTAGTCGCTCGGACTCTCGGCGTCGGCGTCGGCGTCGGCGTCGTCTCGGGCTTGCTCGCTCTCGACTTGCTTGGCAAACGCCTCGTTGCTCTCGGCTGCCTTTAGCGCTTCGACGAAGTTGGCGTTGAGCAGGTCGAGGGGCTCGTGCGACTTGGACTCCGCGGGTTCGACGCCCCTCGTCATCTCCAGCAGTTTGTTCTCGATCGATTTGGCTACCGGTATGAACCTGGGTGTGGTCGCCGCTCCTGCAGCCGCCGTCCCTGCAGCCGCCGACCCCGCCACCGCCGCCGACGGCTTGACGAGTATCGTCTGATTTTCGATCTTGGTCACGATGCTCTTTACGCGGCCCATCTTGCTCTTGCTCCTCATCTGCTGCAGCTTGCTGTGCTTCCTGATGATCTCGCATATGAGCGAGGTCGATTTCAAGGTGTTCCACGGCGGTGGGAAGCATCGCTCGCTGATTTCGCAGCAGCGCTCGTCCGGCGGCTGCGCACTCTTCTTGCGAATCGGCTTAGCCGCGCTCTCCTTCGGCTTGCGCGCCACCAGCGAGCTCTTGCGTCGCATGACCAAGCGGCTGCGATTCGTCGGAGCTTTGCACACCTTCAGGCTCGCGCTCTGAGTAGTCTTCATCAGCGTCGACGCCCTGAACCAGACCTTCCGGTTAGTCGCTTGGCTTTACTTCGGCTCGCACGACAATCGCTACACAGTATATCGGCCTACTTGTTATTGTTATTGATGATTCGAATCTGCCTGGATCAATCTGCGCCGAATGCTTTGTACACACGCGTTAATTGCTGCGATGATGATTTCGTTTTTAAGCACACATGAGAATGACGATGCGCACACGCGCACGCACGCGTACACATACACAGAGCTAGTTTTGTTTGCGGCGATGGATTAATTGGGTCACTTGTTACACATTGGCTATTGAACATAGGCAATTATTTACAAGCTCGCTGGCGCGCGCGCGAACGACCGACGAGTTTTTGACACACGCACGCAGCGCTCGTCACTCACCTGGGAATCGTCGTCTTCTTGGCGGCGCCGATCGCCGGGTTGCCGCTGCTCTTGGCATTTTTCAGCGAGGATTTGCGCGAGCCGACGTCGCGCTGCGTCGCGTCCTCGGGGAATTCGCCGTCGACGTCGACGTCGACGGCGGCGGCGGCGGCGGCGCCGCTCAACTGGCGACGTCGCCTCTCGATGTCACCCGGCTGAAATTTCGCCAGTATGCGGTTGCGCTGCAGTGCCTCGTTATCGATCACTTCGTCGATGTTTATCTGCTCGTCGGGTTTCACAGGGACAATTAAAAGAGGAAAGAGATAACGCTCGAAATGCCAAAGGTTTGCGATAGTTTTCGAGCGTCGGTTGCGAAGAGCACATATTTTTACGCGTAAAGCACGGGGAACTGACGCGACGATGCGCATGAATATTAATGATGGAATCGATTTGATTTGACATTTGTCTGCCATTGGACAATGTAGCGCTCCGCCTATTTTCATTGAATTTTCATTGGGAATGAAAGGACGCGTTCCACGGTGTCAGTATAGACGTAAATAGGCGATTTGCGTAAGCGGCACAATTCAAGCGTCGTTTTCTGGCTACGAGCTCGCGTCGTCCGAGGAGTTTCATCGGCGCGAGTAACGAAAAGTCACTGGAGCTAGGTACCGAACATCGAGTAGAGCCCTCGGGGGCATTGCAACTTCGACAAACGTTTCGTCACCGTTTCCGCAGAAGCAGGAAAAAAAAACACGGGAGAAACGCAAGAAAGGAAGAATAAAAATAATGAGTGACTACGCCGAGAGCTTGCTGCCTAGGCCAGTCGTACGAGCAGCGCAGGCATTTCGAAATTCCGGTTGGAAACACGCAGGCGGGCGTTGTAGCAGTTTACGGCGGAGCTGGAAACTACCTCGTAGTGATAACCGTTGTTGGTTGCGTGTCCGTTGACCTGCCTAATCGATTCGCCGCGGGACGAGTTCTCCTGCTGTCGGCCAAAGTTCTGCGGCACGCTGACGCCCCGGCCGCCGCCGTTGCTGTTCACGTCGGCCTTTATCACGCGCCTCGCCGTCGTCGACGCGACGATCGAATTTAACTTTCGGTTCGCCATGCTATTGTTATTGCTGTTGTTGTTGTTGTTGTTGTTGTTGCTGCTGCTGCTGCTGCTGCTGATGCTGCCGCTGCCGCTGTTGCTGCTGCCACCACCGCCACCGGTCGTGGGTTTAGCGTGGCTCGTTTTGCTGATCGCCGAGTTTTTCTTACTGCTTCTCAGAGGCTCCAATGGATAGCTCTTGTCGATGCCTTTCACGCCGTTCTGCTGTCGTCTGTCGTCGGCGAACGACTGTTTCACCTGCAACTCGGAAGGAATCAGTCGTGCGTCGGGGCTCGCAATGAGCGATCTCTGCCTGCTCTCGGAGACTGAACAAATAGCCGCGGCGCTCCTTCGTCTAACTTTGGGCGTTTGGAAGAGTGGAGAGAGAGAGAGAATGCGAAAAGTTAGGAAAAAAATAAAAAGTCGGGAGCACCTTCGCACGTAGCACTGGAAATAACTTGGGCCGCGTGGAGTCGGGCCGAAAGGACAACGGGCACGGAAAATACGATCGCCGTAATAATATCGGCAGCGTCGAAGCTGCGAACAGAACGAGACTCACTTTGGCTGGATTGGCGGCGACACTGTGATCGGAGCCATTGGAACCGGCGCTGCCTCTCTGCGCGACCTGATGCGCGCGTTGCTGCTGCTGGTCGTAAAGCCGCAGCAGCTTCTGCTCCTTCTCCTGCAGCTGCCTCTTCTGGAACCGCGCCTGCAACGCCATCAATCGCGTGCTCTCGTCATTGGCGCCTCGGCTCGGCTTGGCGGCCGCCTCGCGCGACATATTCGGGATTCACCCGACAACTGCGCCGCGCCGATGCATGCACCTGCCGCGGCGCGGCCGGCCTACACGCCGTATCATCGATTTTCAGCCGCGGCTCGCTGTTTAACCTACATACGCGCGCAACCCGTTGCGCTCGCAGGCTCGCCGACGACGACGCCGCCGCCGCCGCCGCCGCCGCCACCGCGAGGTTACTAAACTCTCTCTCTCGCTCGCGCGTACCTTCGCACAGCGACGACACCAAGATTTTTTTCTATTTATTTGGCTGTATCTCTGGAAGAAAATTGAACGGCCTCGGCGTCCATTCGCAAGCGTACAGCGCGCGACATTGATTCGCCCGCGTGATTCGCGTGTCGAGCGTGGCGGGCGATCATTAATTGACGCTCCACTTGTTTGCGCAAGGAAGTGCTTTCGAGCTGTGCGCGAGACGCCGCTTCGTTTCCGCGCGCACGCCTCTCGAGGAGAGTAATAATCTGTTTGATCGCGGCGCGATATATTCCCCCTCTCCCCGTTTTCTCTCTTTCTCTTGGCTTCTTTTTTTTTTTCTTATTCCTTTTTCCAGGAACACAAAAGTGGAGTGAGGCTGGCTGTGGCGGCTATCGAGAGCGCGAGCGCGTGATTTACGGCCAATCCCAAAGTGGATATCGGCGGTCAGATAGGCCGCGAAGGCTCGCGGCGCTCGCGCAATTAATCCCCCTCGCCCAGCATACGTTACGTCTTGTCGGCGAGCGCGCGCGGAATTAATCGTTCGGCTTGCGAAATTGCGCGAGAGGCGCGCGTCGACGAAAAGCGAAGTCGACGAGGCTCGCGTGGGAGGACATGCCAGGCCGCGGTGATGCGACGGAGAAAATCGACTTTTCGGCGCGCGAGTCGGTTTCTTTGTTTCTTCGCGTGTCCACTGAATCATTTATGCTCCAAGGTCAACTGCCAAAGATGGCCATGTGTGTCACTACCGCGATGCGAGGCTTTTTTCCTCGCTTCTTACGCTTGTTTTCTTTCTCGCTTTGGTGCATTTCATCGCAGACGGGTTTATTGTTTGGTTGGTCGTTTCGCTCGCTGCACGGGAGAACGTTTGTTAAAATTGCAACTGGATCGCCTTTGTTGGTAATTGATTTTGGACTAGCGATCGTCCAGCAATGACAAAATCACGCCGTTAATAGAATAACATGCGGATAATCGAGAACTAGTTTAAATGCGCAAAGCTCTCTGCCAAAAACAAAAAACAAAGAAGGTTCGTTATGGCAAAATTTGAACGAATTCTTTGGTAACGTATAAGTAGGTATTACAGTAAAATTCTATTTATGTCCGATTCCATTGTTATCTAAAAATATACTATAATGAGTTTCAATGCTATGAGTAAAGCTCCAATGTAGAAATAAATTTTATACCTTTCCTAGATAAATTACAGCACTCCAATTTCAAACAATTCAAAGATACAGTATGTCATGAAGTAAGTTAATTTATAGAGAACATTACACAAATTAGCGCAAGAAAAAATGAAAGTCACCATTTTTTACTTATACAACACGAAGGTTTGTTTGACGCGTGGGAAGTCCTTTAATACGAAGAAAGATGCAGTCAGATGAATAGAAACAAATATATGAATCATTATTCTCATTGGAAACGCAATGATTCACAATTTCGTGCGTATCTAAATAAAGACCTAATAACAGACAATTAAGGCAGCTTACAGTATAGATATTCGCAGCTGAGAATCTAATAGAGCGTGACACGCATACACGGCAGGCTAATTAGGTCGTCGCAATGTACGCACACGATAGAGAGAGAGAGAGAGAGAGAGAGAGAGAGAGTACATACAAATGGTATTTACCAGCATCTCAATACTATTGGGCACCTTGGCCGCGGCGTATCGCTCGACCCATGCCTTCTCGTGAAAGGACACGCCGCTGCCTCGAGCAGGAGGTCGCTCGAAACGAGGTCGCGTCACCATTGCGTCGCCCAATTCGCCCAGCTCTTACCAAATATCACGCTGCCGGCTCTTATCATCGCGGAGTGACGTCTAGCGGGCGGCAGCCTTGCTTCCGCCAACGTTTTGCGCGCCGCAGAGGTCACAGTCAAGGCCGGCGCGGACACGTGTTTAACTCGCCAATCAATCGACCGGCCGTGCTCTTTCGATTTTTACGCGCGGTAGAACAGAAGACGACACCGCGCGAGCCGCGCAATTTCCGAGGCGACGTCAACGAGGAAAATTCACGGGAGCATCGGCGCCAGCTGTGCCGCTGCAACTGCGCCAGCCCCCGCTGCCGCGAAACCGATCGCTCGCGGGCTTTCGTTTTTCTCGGGCCACGCATGCGCTCGCCCAAATGCCCAGGGGCTGCGCGATTGCACCTACCTACGTAACACCTGCGGAACCAAGTATCTACGCTACCTTTCAGCCCGGCGTTTCACTTGTTACCCTCGCTCTTTCCGTTTGTTTTTCCTGTGTACACAACCGGCGACGATTCGAGAATATCATCTATCGACCGGTCTAACGGGCGCCGAATCGATAATTTCGTCCAACGCGTGTGCATCGTTCCTCTCTTTTTTTATGTGTTTGCTCGTTCAACTTATTTTAATCATTTGGATTTCGAGGCTCGAGAATTGCGCCCGCGACGGTGTAATACCTTCGAAAGTTTGTTCGTGTCCTTACGCGCGATTAAAGATTGATCCTCGACCCTGCAGTATAACGAAATTCCATTACGTCCGCAACAATCGCTCGAAAATACGGGTAAATTGTCGAGGCGCGTTCGAAGCCAGAGCCTACTCGATCGAGCGCGCGCATCGCTCCAGTTTCCAAAAAAATTGTCTATCAGCCGAAAAAACAAGGAGAGAAAAAGGAGCACGCTTCGATCTACATAAAATCGAGGCCAATCTAATTGCGAGTGACGACCGCGAAGGAAAAAAGAACGCAAGTCGATCCATCATTGAAGTTACGTAACGCGTACGGGATCGATCGATCGAGCGCACATAAATCTTATGCAAGTTGGGCGTACGCGCAAGAGATGTCCGCTCATCTGCGTGGGCTCACCGCGCGCGCGTCCTTGTCAATGACTCTCGTATGTGTGCGCTGAGCCGTTGTTAACGAGGCGGCGGCGGCGGCGGCGGCGGCACGCGCGTCTTAAATAATTGAGGCGCGGATCGGATGGAGCCGACGCGCATCCGGGTCGTATCGTCGTGCACGCGGACAGCCGCGAAAAGAGGAGCGAGCCAGGCGCATCTCGCGGCGCCGATTAATCTCGCGAGGCGAGGAAAGAAAGCCGAGGCGCGCACGGGCGGAAGCGACGCCGCCGGTCGCGCTTGGCAGGCCATGCGAGCACGGCGCTCGCTACGTGCTCTTCCTTTCCTTTCTCGTCGGCACGCGGATCTTACCTGGAGCAGTTGGAGGCGCGACGACGTCTGCGGCGCCGCTGCCATTGCGTTCACGGGCTGGTCTTCGCTCTCTACCTGCCGTGCGGGTGCTTGCGGGCAAACGCTTCCTGAAAACAGAACAGACGCGCTCGATCATGCTCGGCGGCTTTTGCCAATCGGGGCTCGGGTCCCGCGCTGTTTTGGAAAGCTAATCCATGCAGATACGCGAACGTCGGTATTGGGTTTTCAGTCTCGATCGGCCGTCCCGACGAACGGTACGGGATTGAAAATTAATTCGACAACTTTGACGATTTGCCGCCGGACAATCCGACGATGAACGCTCGTGGCAGCGAATTCGTTCCTGCGCCGCTCGCCGAGATTTCAATCGCAAAGGAGAGACAAATTGTTTTGCTGTGGCGCGACGCGAGGCTGGAATGCCCACGCGCGTTCGCCTAATTAATGTTTATGGCCGGGTGAAAAGTCAGTTTTAATCAAAACACATTGCGGCACTTGTGTCTTGCTCGTCGCGCGTATCAGCGACCGACCAGACGTTCTCGCGAGAACTGCGAATGAGTCACGTTAGTGTCGTGACGCAAGCAGCATTTCGCTCGCTCGCACTCTTTCTCTCTCTCTCTCTCTCTCTCCCTTTGCTACCGTAAAGAAACGTTTACCATACTCACGAGACTGACTAAGTAGAGAAGATCGTCAAACGAACATTGCAAAAACCGCACAGACCAGTCTTTCGCCGCTGAGGACCGGCGTTGTACTGACTCAATCTGGCTCTTTCTCGCTGTCTCGTTCTTGTTCCCCTGCTTCTCTCTCTCTCTCTCTCTCTCTCTCTCTCTCTCTCTCTCTCTCTCTCTCTCGCCGTCGTCTTGCCCGAGAAGAGCTATATTATACAGCGCTGTTGTTATTGCTGCCGTGAGGGGAGAGGATCGTTGGCGCCTACGCGCGCTTTCTTTCGCTCGTCGCCGACTGGAAAATATGTCGCGTCGTAATACTTGCGCCGCGCGGTCGCCCCGTCCGACCCATTTGCCCAAACGCAACGGCCGAACAATCGGTCGTTAAATTATGCCGCACGTGCGCCCACGCGTTTCGGTCGAAAACGCTTGGGACTACCGCGTCGATATTCGCGCGAACGTCGAGGCGCGCAAAGCAACGAGTCGATTTTGAAGGTTCAGCCCGAGCTGGACGCACGCGAATTGCAGCTTGCGCCGAGTGCCGCTGCCTTTCGATAAAATTCCCAAAGTCTCGCCGTTTTCGGATCAACAGGGGCTGATTTACGGGATAACAATCGCTGCATTGTGATCACTCGGTTCGGTTAGCGCTACGCCTAAAGCGGCGCCCTTTTATACGTGGCACTCTCTGAAAAATGCCTCGGAGATTATATCGCGCGATTATCGGCCTGAATGAAGTGGCCACGTTGCTTCTCGCTATAATGCAATCGTTATCAGAAAATAAGGTGGTAAACTAATAATGTTATCGGTGTAAATGATGGCGTGGATTCGTAAATCAAGTCTATTCGTAAAGAATACTTTTGTACATAATCAAGTGACACAATAGCACGGATAACATTCCAGTGAGTTTTCCATTATTAAATCGCTGTTCAATTGGTTCTCTGTAAACTTAATAGTGCGAGATATAAAACCGTTGAATAAGTTCAATATATTAGACTGTGCGAGGAATAATTCATGGCACTGTAATTAGAATCGAAAATCAATCTTTCACGATTGATGTTAATTATGTATGTAGTCGCCTGTGATATATGTGAATATTTTTTTCAAATTTTGCGTTACGTAAACGGATTCGCTTACATTATGCACGGCAATCATTTGTGATACAGCGCAGTCTTGATGCTCCACCGACTCGTTCAGTTCAATTGAAGTTTATAATGCCGTTCTGATCGACCAACCCGAAGGAACGTTTTGTCACGTAGAATTCAGCGAATGATCTCTCAAACATCCCGCAGAAACGACGCGATAAAAACTTGGACGCAGCGAGCAACGTAACGATCCATGATGTCGAGTACTGCTAGCAGCTCACTACGGCACTCGGAAAGTGGGTGCCGCTCAAGCAAAAGTCTGTCGCTGCCAAGGAGCCTTCTACTCCCTCGAGGATCGAAATAATGTATTTTCGAGCGAGTCACGTAAGCGCCGCGTGTAACAAGTTGTGTCAATCTCCTCGAAGCGCGCTTCTCGACGTTTTTTTTTTCAATTTTACCCCTTTGACGACACGCGCCTCGATCACTCGTTTGCCTCGAAAACTCGATTTCCAGATGGATGATATCGCGCGGCGGAGAAAAAACGAGGAGGACGCGAGTCGCGGTACCTCGTTCCATTTGGCGTTCGGGAACGCGAATTTCCGAGGCACGGTATGGCCGAAACGTCGGTAGTACGGAACGTTTTACGATGCCAGTTCGAACAAGGTTCAAAACAACAAGACAAATCACAAAAAGAAGTCGAAGTGCTCGACGCGCGTCTCGCGCGAGTAGAGGGTGCGCTCTGTTTTTCTTGGCCAACGGAGACTCTCGAACAAATTTACTTCCCCCTGTCGGTCCCACGAGGAAAAGAGAAAAAAGAGACGCCGACGACGACCCATCGCGCGTCTATTTGCGACTCTAAAATTAGTTCGGAATAACGAATGCGAACGTCGCGACACCGAATATTTAGGCGAAGCCGTGCAATTAAAGCCCTGAGCGATAATCCGCTTTGGTCGCAGCGGAGCGGAGGGACTGCAGTGGCGAGTGTAGTAGCGCTAACGACTCCCGCAACGCGCCTCGATTATCCGCTACGGAAATCACTGCGGTCGAGGTAGGAGCCGCACGGCCTGGCGTGTATCCCATTGCCAGAGCAAAACGAGAGCGCAGGTCGCTGCTTCGCCGATCATCGCGTCGCGCGCGGCCAGCGTTCAGCGACTGCCGGCCGTCCGTCGGCAGGTGGCGCTCGCGAGATCGTCCCCGTGTCTCGCGCGCGCGTCTGACCGCAATCCGCCTACTCCACTTGCCGGGATGCCGGTAGAAAGCGCGGCTTTCCGTTCTTTCCTCCCCGTCGATTTCGAGCGTCGAATCCGAGCCCCTCGCCCGTTCGCCGAGGCGCCAGCGAATCGAGTAGCCGCACGCGGGGTCGGCGCGGCCGGGATTAACGCGGCGGCTCGCCGCGGACGCGCGACCGCTCCCCGAATGACAGATGAGCCGGCGACGCGGATAATTTGGCCCCGGCGGGTGTGCACGGCTCTGACCACTCGACCGCGTCTCCCTTGCTTAGGCGCGCGGCCGAGCGCAACGATGGACGAGCGCGCCGGCGAAGCGGCCAACGAGCGAGAGGAGACACGGATGATCCTCGCTCGTGGAAAGCTCTCGGCTCTGGCGAGCCGGCCGCGGCGAGTCGATCGAGAAACAAGCCAAAAGCGAAGGCCCCGATCGCGCGTGGGATCGGTCACGACCGTGGAGAGCAGGCCCTTGTTGGCTCGCAGCGGCGTGACGATGCCCATCGCGACCGCGCAAATTCTCCATCCGGAAAAGCCACCGTCGCATGTAGCGCGGAAAAGACTCTTCGGAGCGGGTCGCGGGCGCGAGGGCCTTCGAGTCCAAAAGGAAAAGGCCCACTCGACTGACCGATGACATTTTCGCGCTCGGCTCGATCGTGGTCGTCTCACGCGTGTCCGCTTGTGCACACGGACAGCCGGTCAACTTCTTAACCCGCTTTCGTCTTCCGAACTTTGCAGCTGCCGCGGCAGAGACGCGGCGAGGACTTTGGGAAGAGAAAATTACAACCGAGGCCTTTTCAAATTAAAAACAACAGCGTGGCCGAAAATGCAATCTGTCCGCAAGCTCCGTTTCTGCGCTCGCGGGCAGAGGCGCTTCGGCGGGGGCAAAGTCCGGCATTGAATCTCGACCAAGAATCGCCTTCGTCCGCGAAACGCAGAACGGCCGAGCGGCATGTAAACGCGTTAATTATCGGCGAGCGAGAAAAATCGATGGAGGAAAGAAAGAGGAGAGCGCCGAGCGAGACGAAGGCTTTCAAGCAGATATCCGCAGTGCACCTTCGGCATCTGGGTCGCGGAGAGCGAGCGCGAGAGCGACACAAGCGGCTCTCGAGCGTTGTTGTGTTGCGCGCAAGCTCTCGCTTGCGCCGAAAAACCAGCCCCCCAACGGCCGAACGGGAAAGGTCCCGAACACTCGCCAACGGCGCCGCGAGTCCCCAAACTCCTCCTCCCCGACCAATTATTTCGGGCGATCGCGGAACAATCGTCGATGGCCGAGAGCGAGAGTCCGCGACCTGGTTATCGATTGCCTCGAGAGAGCTGGAGCGAGAGACGCAGCGCTCGCGCGTAAGGGGCTCGAAAATTCTTGCATTGTGCATCGATGATTCGCCTTTCGAAAAGGAGAGCAGCGCTGCGCGAGAGAGGCTGGCCGCGCGCGCCGCGGGGACGGGGCGGCGGGCCGCGGCGCGCTTGCGCAAGCTCCGGCCGCCCGCTCGGCGGCGGCGGCGGCGGCGGCGGCCGCGGGGCAGACGCGCGCCAGCTCAGTCCGCGGGCGGAGGTGGTCGCTGAGGGGCACTGTCACAGCACGAGTGAGTGCGCGCGCGCGTGCGTGCGCGACGATGAGTGCAAGCGCTGCCGCGAGCTCCACGTCCCGTCCGAAGCAGTGCGAGCTCGGGCGCCGCTAAGGCCGCCGATCGGCATCCGTCCGGGGCGCGCAGCCGGGCGACAGCGCAGCGCGCGCCCGCCGCGGGCGCCGAGCGAGGGGAGCGGAGCGCGGATATGGGGCGTCGGGCAGCAGCGCTGCCGCGCATCGATCGCCAGCGAGCAGCGACGCGCCGCCAGCGAGGTTAGGCCTGTGGCGCGGCCCCCGCCGTCGCAGCCCCGAGCGAGCAGGATGAGCGGCGCGCGGCCGCTGGCGCGGCTGCTGGCGCCGCTGCTGGCGCCGCTGCTGGCGCTGCTGCTGAGCGGCGCCGAGAGCTTCGTGCTCGACGCCTCGCCGGGCTCCTACGCGCACTTCCCCAAGTGGAACGCCGACGCGCTCAACGGCAGCCTCGAGTTCGAGTTCAAGACCGAGCAGGGCAACGGCCTGCTGCTCTACACCGACGACGGCGGCACCTACGACTTCTTCGAGCTGAAGCTGGTGGAGGGCTCGCTGCGTCTCCGCTACAACCTCGGCGGCGGCGCGCAGATCCTCACCGTGGGCCGCGACCTCGGCGACGGCCACTGGCACAAGGTGCTGCTGGCGCGCCGCCGCGAGAACACCACGCTCAGCGTGGACGGCCTGGCGGCCAGCTCGGCCTCGCGCGGCCGGGAGTTCGACTTCGGCAAGCTCGCCGGCAACTCGGACGTCTACGTCGGCGGCATGCCCAGCTGGTACAACAGCAAGCTCACGCTGCTGGCGTTGCCGAGCGTCATATTCGAGCCCCGCTTCAGGGGTCTCATCCGCAACCTGGTCTACGCCGACGGCGAGCGCCTCGCGCCTAGGAGGCAGGAGATCAACAATCGGCAGCTGAAGGTAAGCTCGGGCGCGCTTACCGACCGAGCCCCCGCACCGATGGCCGAGCACCGTGCGATCAATTAGTCGGAGCCGCGACGCGGACACACGTGCTTCTCTCGCTCGGCCGCGGTTCGACGAACTCGGCGAGGTGCACCGCGCCGGCGGCCGCGCGACCATCTCCGCGCGTGCTGCTCCTCGCCGGGGCAAGCGAGATAAGCCGCTCGTCCGCTATCGCCCGCGCGCATATTTCGGCTGCACGCTAGACAGCTGTACTTTCTAATGAGCCGCTTGTTCTTCCTTAAAAGCGCCCGTCTCGTGCGACCCGGTAGTTACACTGCGCGACCAACACCGCCGCCGGATGAGCGATAAGAGCTTCTGAGCTTCGTTTGTTTGTCTGTTTTTCTTTTTGTTTCCGTTCCGGAGTCAATGCGGGGGCTTGCGCTCGCCTTCATTTTCGAAATGGACGCGGCTGGATTTCGGCTTTGCGGCCGATGCAGATTAGAAGCTTGTTCGGCGAGGGATCCGTTCGATGATATCGCCCGCGCGTCAAACATTGCAGAGGCGAATCGAAAAACTCGCGAAAGGTGATTCGACGCGACGCGTTCGCGGTAATATTTGCCGCGGGCGTCCGCGAATCGCCCGTTCACCCGTGCGAATGCAATTCCATAAACTCCTCTCTATCCGACCAAAAAACGTTTGTCCTCCTCCCGCGTTAGACTGCAATGTTTGCGCGAGCTGGGAGGGGGGGGGGGTGTCGACTTGATAAAAACTGATGAAAAGAGAGATAGAGAGGAAACTTTAGTGAACACCTGGCACTCGTCAATTAGTAATGCCCATCGCAGCGTTATTTTATTTCCGCGCTCGCGCGAACGAAATTTCGCTCGGCGCGCGAAATCCATCGGAAAAGGGATTCTTTGATTGGAGCTCTACGCCTTTTTTTCTTTTTGCGCCCGCGTTGCTATGCAATACGCATAAATGCATGCCGCAGTACGGGGGGGGGGGGAGGGCACGAATCGATTGAATTTGAAATTGGCCTCGCAGCGAGAGATGGCCGCCCTCAAAACAGGTTAATAGAGGTGATTTACTTTGTGTACGGAGTGTGTGTGTGTGTGTGTCTTTTAGTAGAGAGATGTATCGATCAGTGCAGCGTTTAAATAAGTAACGAGAATGGAATAAGCGGACCCTTCTATACACACATTGTATTCACTGCATCGATCGATGCAAACTTCCATACACGATCTTTTTTTTTTGCCACCTCTCGCTTTTTAAAAAAAGTATTCCTCGCGAACGCGTGAAAACAGAAAACACGCAACTCGGCATGAGAGAGAGAGAGAGAGAGAGAGTCTCTTATGAATTATTTGTTGGCGCGATGAATTATTCATCGGCGTAGCCGCAAAACTCTTGATGGCAGAGAGACGCGCCGCTCTGAATTGACTTTTAATCTTCGTCGCCTATGACTCCATGAAAATCGATGTATTTCCTTCTGTTTGCGAGTATTTTTCTTTGCTTCCGAGCGCGCGTGGGATACACGCAGAAACTAGATTTATAGCCGCTGCTCTCGCTTATACACGAGCTTTCGGTATCTGGGACGTATGTACATCTCGCTCTCTCTCTCTCTCTCTCTCTCTCTCTCTCTCCCTCGCATTTATCTTCGGCTTCGATTTGCTCTTTCGTAGCCGGCAAGAAGGTGGCACTAATTCAGCGCTTTTCTCTGTGTTCGCAGTGCGGAGGCCTGCCGTGCGTGGAGAGCACGAGCTCGCGGAAGCAAGCCAGGGTGAGTATCCCAACTCGCCGTGCACGCACTCGATCGAGAAACAATCCGGGCTCGAGACGCGCGATGCGCGCGACGTTGTAGGTGTTCTCTTTGTCTTGCCTTCTCGATCGACTTACACGCCTCGCTGGGTCCGATCGCCGCGTTGATATCGAGCCAGCCCGCTGCTCGATATTAACGCCAGTCGGAGAGTGCCTACCCCGGAAGCCAAGCGGATCGCCGACGAATCGCGAGCCCTTTCGCGGAAACGGCGCGTCGTTGCTGGCTGAAAAACGCCCACGCGACTGCCGCTCGAGTCCCAGAAAACGCTTCCTGAAAACACCCAACCCCGCTGCAATCAATCTTCCGAGCTACTTTACCATTCGTTCGGCCCTCCGTAAGCTGCTTGTTCCGACAAAAAGATAAAAGAAAAAAGCACGAGTCCGAGTGCTGCCGCCTCCAAGTGGCGCAGCGAGCCGCGGAAAAATTCAGATGGGGCTGTTTTCGGGGCAAGCGCGCGTATCACCGATCGCAATCAGAGCACAATGCAAAATTCAAACAATGGCCGCGCGTAGCGGCGCATTACCGCATAGGAAGCGCGTCGGCGGCGCGGTCGCGGGGATCGCCGCTGTTTTTCGGAAAACTCGGCGCGCCGGGAGAACACAGCCGGCAATCATCGTTCGCTGGATGTTTTACGACTGCGCGCGACAATCCATTAGATCCCGGGCGAAACTGCGACAAGTGCGTGTATAGAGTTCGCGCATACGCGGCACCAGTCGTAAATCGCAACTGCTATAAATGCCATTACTCGGACAGATGCAACTCGCCCGCTGCAGCTCGCGATTAACAGCCGTCCAGCGATATTTTATTCTCGCGCGATCGACTGACCGCTCGATTGTGCGCGCGGCCCTCTCCAAACGACCTTACTCTGCCGACTCAACTTTTCATATACGTACGAGGGGCTTTCAATAATCGAACGGCTGATTTTCAAAGGACATTGCGGAGCTTTCAAACGCTCATTTACTTTGTTGAGCGCTTTGAAAAACAAAAGGCTTTTGAAACGCGAAAACCGCAGCGAGTTTCTCTCAATTATGTCGATATATTTTTTGTAATTATTGTACTTGGTTTTTTTTTTCGAAAAAGCTTTTGAGTGAACATTTCAGCGAAACGAAATCCAGTGAAAGATAACCGCTCTCTTTTTACGACGTCAAAAGATCAGATTTTTTTTCCTCGTTGCTGTTTGACGGCGGTGTGCTTTTAAAAATGTGCCATACACAAAAGCTGACCCTTCAACGAAAAATAAAAGAGTACGCGAGATGACAAGGCTGAAGCAGTAATGTCATTTGATGAAGCATTTAAAACGAAAAATAACGAGAAAACCTGCTTTTGTCGCTGTACAACGCTCTATTTTTATGAAAATAAAAACGACTTGAAATCATCGTCGTCGTCATTCTTCACGTTTACTCAAGGAAATGAGGCTCGTCGTACCATTGAAAAAAGCGTCACGGAATAAGCGACCGCATTGTAAGACGGCGATGATGAAAAAGAAAGCTGTATGGCTGTGTGTGTGTGTATTTACTCGGCACACAGTTCACGCGAAAAGTTGGCGTAAAGTACCGCAGTACGCCGTGGGCCCGAAAAACTTTTAATAAAAGTCTGGCTCTTTATTATTTTCAATATCTCCGCGGCGAACTAGTTCCTTTCATCTTTCGTCCAGCGAACGAGAATACAACGAACGATGCGTATTCACGAACGAGCGCGATATGTAACTAATGACCCATAAGGCGGGCGGAGGAATGGGCGATTCGAGCGTAAAAAAGAGGAAAGTGCTTGCCGGCGAGAAAGAGAAAAATTAGCATTCCATCGCGGTGTCGTCGACCCCGCTCGATGTACACGGTGGCGCTCGCGAGGTCGGCATATATCAAGAGCGGCGGATAGTTGTCGAGGGTAGGGCGTCGAAATTTAAAATCTTATTAACCCAACCCCACCCAACCCGGCGATCGATCGCAACGGAGTTGCCTTACACGCTCGCTCGAAAATATATAACTTGCATCTAGCTTCTCGTCTGCGTGTCAAAGGCCGCGGTAATTAACATTGCTCTCTGGAGTTCCAGTCAATTCCAATCAATGACTGGGATGGATATTCTCGCCCCTGCCCCCATCGGCGATCCGTTGCCTTTCAAACGTAGCCATGACGTTTTGGAATTGCTCTTTGCGACGAGTTTTGTTTTGATATAGACGTAGTTACATATAGACTATAGACGGCGACGGGGCAACCGAGTTTATTACGGCCCGTCGCGCACCTATCGCGCTCCGCTGGTAATTGCTTTTTCGACCTTATACTTGGCAGCGAAGATATCCCGAGGTTCGCTCCACTGGAAAACTCAATAAAAGCCTTTTCGCCGAAATTCGGCTGGCCTGCCGATAGTCGTCTCGCTCGGAGCGCGAATTAACGTTTCTCTAGTATCGAATCGATTCAAAGTGAACGGGCTCCCTTATTAGTCCAGTGTGATTCCAACAATCAGAAATCGCTCCCTTCTCTCTCTCTCTCTCTCTCTCTCTCTCTCTCTCTCTCTCTCTCTCTCTCTCTCTCTCTCTCTCTCTCTCTCTCTCGGTAAAAAGCCCTCATTTTCTCCGCCCTAATTCCTATTTACCCGTCGCTCAAGCTCCCCGTGGAATTTTCTGGAAAAGATCAGGCCGCTCGTAAATATTGAATCACAGCTTCGCCAGCGCCGCCGAAGACAAAGGCAAGACCGTCGAGTCAAGCCCCGCCGCTCCGTTCGCCCTCGACGAACTTCGGAAAGCGTCTTTTGAGGCGCTTCGCCGCCGAGGTAATTTGCATGAAGCCCGCGCTGGCTGGCGCGCGGGGCGCCAACCGAACTGACGTTCCCATTGTTACGCTCGCGCGAGCACGATTTTTCCAACGGCAGAGGGGCCCCGCTTCTCCGACCATCAAAGGCGCACGCTCGCGCGAGTCCTACGTCCATTTCGCAGCCGACCGCCGCGCGGCTCTCGGGGGCTCTCTAATTAGCCCGCACTTTGACGCGGTATCGGCGATTGACCGACGCGAGCTTCAACCTCGTTATCGACGCGATACGCTACCCGCTCCTACGCTTTTTTCCCCCCGCGGCATTGCTCCCTCAAAGTGCGCTCGCGTCCAATTCTAATATACCTTACAACCCCCTCGAGGGAGCCTAACGTCTTCCTCCTTTTGGTCTCGATATTTTGGCTTTGACGCGAATATTTTTCACTTTCCACGCCCTCGGGCGTCTCATACACCGCCACAAGCGAAATTCGAATTACCCAACACACACAGAGGCAGAGAGAGATTTTCCTTTTGCCTTCTCCGCGGAGCAAAAACTGTTTAGGCCAAATGTACGTCGCGCAATTTTTATCAGCGAGACGCATTTTCACTTTTTCATTTTCGCGCGCGTTCGATGCTCTCATTAAAGCTCTGCTAACGCGTCAACCGAAAAGAATGTTCGCAGCGTGGTTTTTGCTTGGAACGTTGTTTGGATTAATTTCAAGAGGTATTAATTTTCCGAGAGTACGAATGTTACTTTCGTCCGACGGAAAATCGACTGCAGCTTTAAATTTTTGCTCGTGGATCCCGCTTGGAAAACGTAAGCACTCTCTGTCTCTCTTTCTCCTGAAAAAAAAGTACAGCTCGCGAGACCTGCTTACCCGGCGGCTTAGCAATCAATGTAAACGTGTCAGTGTGCGATGTACATCTCCAGATGAAGAAGACACGATTGAGAAGAAGGGCCTTTCTGTTAAAAGATCGCCAGCCTCATCTGATTATCGATAATGGGGTCAGAGCCTCACCGTCGTTGCTGCTGCTGTTGCTGCCGCCGCCGCCGCCGCCGCCGCCGCCGCCGCCGCCGCCGCTTGCACTTCGCAATCCGTTTAAATCCCCTTCGTGGACAATCCGTTTAAGAGAAGCTCTCATATTCGATTGGCGCGATCGATGTTGCATTCGACCGGCTAAGGAACTCAGCCTTCACGAGCGCAAAAGAGTTTCACGAAACATAATTGCTTCTGTCCCGTGCGAATTGCTTCATCTTTTTGTCATCGACGCCAATGAAATTTCAGATAGAAAGCGCAAAAAGCTCTGTCGCACTGTCGAAAAAATTATCCGCGCCCCCTCTCGCGCACTCCGTGAATCACGAGGATCGGCATTCCCGCGAAACTACGCCGAACATGGCGTGGATTACATTCCGCCGACGATGTACCTACGTTACTTTTCGCTATGCGGCGATCGCATCTACACGCGTATGCGTGCGACCGCGGTGATGCTACCGAGCGAAGTCGTAATTTTTTCATCGACGCGTATCCTCATTAGCGGCTCAAAATTCGTAAAATTCATAAAATGAAAAAGAAAAAAATAACAACAGACGTTTTCGAACACGGCCGCATCGACAACAGAGCTTTGACGCGTTAGCCGCGCATACATCTTCTTCTTCTACCGGGAAACCAATCGACATAGTTGGCGAGAATCCTGGCTAACCGCGTCGTCGTCGTCGTCCTGTACTAGAGTGTGTCTGCCCACCTCGTCCCCACCGAAGTTTTCCATCGATCGGAAAATAGTTGGCTGTCGTCCGTCGCAGGCGCCGTGTCACCTCTCTTCTCAAATTACGTCTTCCTTCGCATCATCGAAGCTCCCTTAATTGAGAGGCGCCTGGCCACTTGAATTGGAAAACTTTTCCTTTTTTCCGCGCCAATAAACTATTCATATCTCTCACTCTCTTTCGCCGCGCCAGAACATTCATTCCCATGCAAATGCAGTCTCCTGGTAACGACTCTTGCTCTCCAGAAAATAATGGGGAAGCCCGCGACGTTTCGTTTGTCCACGAGAGAAAGGCACTAATAACATGCAAATCATGCCTGCTAGCCGCGAGCAGGCGCGCGTGCGTTGGCGAGCTCGTGAACGTCCGTCTAATTATTTCCCACGGCATTGTCGTAAACATCTGCGCCTGGTCGAAAAAATTAATTGCAACTGGGTCGCCTCCTCCACCCCTACCCGCTAAAGTTCATTATGCACTCGCGTGTTCAGCGCTCTCCTCTTTCCCAAATAAAACAGCCAGAAGCCGGAAAACGAGCACACGACGAAACC